AAATTCAAAGATGTTAAGTTGTCAAAGCCAATAAAAGCATTTTTCTCAATCTTTCTGATTTCATTATTCGCTGTAAAGAATTGTTTTTAACTTTTATAATTATAATTATATATATTTACATAATTCAAGAAGCTTAAAATGAAGCGATGATGACAATAATCCAAACATATCATGAGTTAATTCTGGCAATTGGTTGTGATTCAAAACCAGAACATTTAACTTGTCCAATCCATTAAAAGCATTTTTGTCTATTTGGTTGATTGTATTATTTTCTGTTGAAAATTAAATAAATAAATTTAAATGAAATTAAAGCAATGAAATCTTCATATTTATCATCAGAGTAGAGTCTTCAATAATTATTATCACATTTTTTACCTAATAATAGATATTGCACAGATGACAATGGTACAAATATGTCATGATTTAATATTTGTAATTGGTTGTGAGTTAAATCCAATAGTGTTAAATTTGCCAATCCATTAAAACTGTTCTGCTCGATCTGCTTTATTGAATTTCTCACTATTTAAAAATATCATAAATTAGATAAATAAATTTGACTGAATTTTTCATATTTACTTAAACGAAGATGTGTTAAGGAAGATAATTGTCCAAATGTATCATTATTTAATTTATTTAATTTATTGCCGGCCAGATACAAAAATTTTAATCTCTTCAATCCATTGAAACTTCTTTCGTTGATATTTTCTATTTTATTATTGCCTTTAAAGAATTAAAATGTCAATTTAGATATTTATTCATTTATGATTCAAGAAATTTTTGTTTCTGAATGTTTTTGTCTCGACTTTAAATAACAACGTTCGACATTGAATGTTTTTCAGACACATGCATTGCGAAACATCAACTCATTAATCACTTACTCAGTTCTAATGTTCCCAGAGAAGTCAAATCTTTGAAGACATCATCTTCTAGTGTTTCAATTAGATTACCAGACAAATCTAACTTTTCAAGATTTGACAGACCAATGAAATTGAAGTAATGAACTTCTAAAATTGAACATTCTTCTGCATCATAACGCTTTAGATTAGGAAACACTGCCGACGTGTTATCAGGCAAATATTGAACATTTTTGTTTTTATTGATATATAAAGATTTGGTTTGCAAATCAATTCGTCCCGAAAATGTTCTCTCTTTTTCATGAATTGCCTCATCAATATAACAAGTAAATTCGCGTGACCATCTGTCTTTTTCTACTTTTCCACATGTGATCGTCTCATTTCCATTAACAGATATGGCACCAGAAACAATAAGCATTAAACTGATCAAAGATATTATTTTCCTGTAACAATCACTGATAACATCACTAAAGATTCAAAAGTAATTAAATTTATTAATTTACCACATTTCAACTTGTTCTTCATTCGAAGACGTTTCACTGATTACTGAAAACTTTATGTGAATATGTAGATTAGGATTTCTACAGTCGCAGAACCTACTTCAGATTGTAATTTAAAAAAAAATCATCAAACATTGTTTTGACCCCAGGCTGATAACTTCAAAATAGAATTTGATATGAACCCGAATTTTATAGACATTTTTAGCAACATTAATTTAGTAGAAGCAGAAAATGTTTGATTAAAGTGAACAATGAAATGAAAACTAAAATATATTAATACTTACTGATTGATATAAAAAAAAGTCTGACATAAATGTTTTTTCAATGCACTGATTGCACTTAAATAGCTGATGATGATTAAAAACGAAATTAAATCTCTTCAAAATTAGGTACTTTTACTCTATTTCATAAAAATAAAATCAACAAGTGTTTGCTGTCAGTTAACTTCAGACCTCTATAATAAATTACATCAATCAAATCAAACTATCAATTTATTGAAGTGACTTGAAATTTCTCCTTTCTTATTATCGATTTAACAAAAAAATTATTTGCGCTAAAATTTCAACCATTTACTGTCTTGGAACAACAGTTGGCTTGGTGATTTTCATATTATTTTTTTCCAAGTAGAAAATAGATAAAATTAAAAGTGGTTTAAAATATTAAACATAATGCCAAAAGAGAAGAAAACTAAGAAATCAAAAAAGGCTGAAGACGACGATCAACAGGATAGTGAGTTAACATCTGTTGATAAGCAATTTTTTGAGTTGCAAATTGAAGATACTAATAAAAAGCTAAATCGTCTTCGAACTCATAATGTTAAAATAGAAGAAAAGAATGAACAATTGGAAGCTACTATAAAGCAGATGGAAGAAAATCGCAAGGATGTTACCTCGTGAGTTAAAGCAAACTTCTCAGAAATCCCATCAGCGTTAACACGTAAATTTCTTTTTCAGATTCCTTAATAGAACACTGCACGAAAAAGTCAACACCATTCAAGAACTGGAGAACAAACTCACTGAACTTTCAAAAGTTCGATTAAATGAAAACGAGAATTTTAAAAACCGAACCGCTGAATGGGAAAATAAATTCAAAACAATGCATGACAATCTTTCCTCAGAGATTAAACTTTTAACAGGGAAATTGAATTCAATGGAAGAGTTTCGTCTCCAGCGCGATGATTTGATGGCTAAATTCGATACTCAAGAGATGGAATTAAAAGAGCAAGCAAAGATACACAAAGCAACACTTTATGATATGGAGAAAAAAGTTATTTTGGACAAAGAAAGAATGCGTAAAGATGTTGAAAATAAGCTTTTGGAATTGTCAACTGAATTCACTAAAACAAGCGACTTACGTGTCGCCGCATCAACGCAACGTCTTGTAAGAGAAAATATTTCCCTTAGTAATGACATCGACCGAGTAATGCTTTTGAAGGAAAAGCTCCAACAAGAAAACGAAGAAATAAAGAAGAAACAAAACGAGTTTCAAAGTCAATATGATGCAAATATTCTGGAAAAGAAATGTTTGACTAAAAATCTTGAGCGACAGTTGTGTACAATCAAAAAGTTGACATCAGAATGTGAGAATTTAACAGAACAAAATAACTGCTTGAAAGAAATTAAGAGAACTTATGAAGTAGCACGAAAAATGACCAAAGATAGTCGAAGTGAATTGATCGACATGCATAATAAAATTAGAATTCTTGAAGATCATGTTGCAGAAATTGATAACGACCGCTTACAATTGAAGGCAGATGCAAATTATTATCGTCATGAATATAACCGAGTTACAGATATAATCAAATCAGTACGGTCAAGTGTTTTATTAGCACTTGAAGGAAACTATGAGCAAAGTGATCCAAATCTAAAAGTCTCCCTAAGACGAAATCTGCTTACAGATTTGTTGAATGTTTTGAACAACATCGAAAGACACAGAAAAAAGGTTTCTCAATCCGGTCCTTCCGGAAAAGCTGAAGATTTCTATAGTCAAGGAGATTTAGGTATGATTCCTAAAAACGGAGAAAATTAAAAATAAAATCAAACATAGCACAGATACTGAATTCAAATAATTTCTTTGTGAATTTTAATTATCTATTCAAACTAGAAACTATATGATACATATAAGTATGAATGGTCAAAATATTATTAATATGCAAATAATTCAGTTAACTAATTACGGAGGCCCCACCTTTGGTGATGGGTTGTGATGGTGTTTAAATAACATCGCAGAATTTAATGTTTATTTGTCAGAAATTCTTAGGTTGAGCATTTACATTTATGGTCTTTATAATTGCCTGATATTTTAACTTTTAACTTCTCAACTCAATTATTCACTTTATTCACATATTTACTCTTTCCATCAGACAAATCAGATTCCAAATAACAATGAAATTCTGGCTTTACTAAACTGCAATAATCTTACATTTAATCTTGTACACATCGAGAAAATTAAATCTAAAAACATAAAATTTCATGTCATTTAGATTAATTTCAAAAGTAATGAGCTACGTGCGCAAAAACTATTTCCAATGTCATTAACACTGTTCATTTTGTGGGAGCTCTAATTTCATTCTTCTTTCCCTTCAGCATTACAACGAAATTAAAAATAGAATAAGAAAAACGAATGAACTGAAATAAAAATTAAATTTCATATCAAAGTGTGATGATGTTCATTAAATGAAAATTTTAAATGAAATTTCATTACCAAAATCAAAAGTTCCCTGTCGATATTCCAGATGAAAACTTTGATTTTCAGTGGACGTTAAGTGTACTGCAACAATGTCCGAAACATTTTCTTCTCACTTTTTGACAGCATCCACCAGTTTTTGTCATAAATCATCAATGAAATCTCTTCTATCTGATGAAGAACAATCAAAATCGAAAAATAAGCTTCATTTAAATGAAATTCTATTCCAAACATAATTTTACCTTTTCCACCATCAAACTTGATCCATAACAATAAACCCAAACATCATAAAGAACGAAGGGAGTGTACATAAAATACATCATAATAATATGAAAATCCTCAATCACAGATACGAAAGCACCAAGAGTTAAAACATCGACAGAAAAGCTAATGAAGATCACCATTTTAAAACATTCATTGATGTCATTGATAATTAATTTGATTCTTTGAAGAGATGCGAAAATATCTTTCAACTCTTTCTTGTAACTTATAACATGATCAAAAATAAGATTCTGATACTCATTTAGAACTTTGTCGTGAAGCATACGAATATTCATGCAAATATTGAAGTAGCAACAGTGAAAGCATAATCTGAATATTTCTCCTACATAAATTGATGTAACTGCTTGAAGGATAATAACATCTTGAATAATTCCCATGTTTGCTTCAAATGGCCAAACTTCTCGCGTATACTCATCTGATAATTTTGAGTCGAATGTTATAACCACAGAAGTGGATATTGCTAGTATAAAATAGAGTGTTAAATAAACATAGGAATAATAGTTGAAATATTTCAGGTTTTCCGAAGCTTTTCTTGACGAATCTTTGCACAATAAGTTCATAATTGCTTTCAAGCATGAGATAATCTTTTCAAAATAATGATTGAAGAAGAAAAACTTTAAAATATTTATCAAATAATTGCAGTTTTCCAAAAAATGGGTAAGAATATAATTATTGAACAGGAACTTGTAAATAATTATGAAAATCTGTTTAGGTAAAAGTAATTGTTAACGGTTTTTAACAAAATGTGATTCTCATTTATTTACAAAATAGAAAAAGCTGAATGTTGATAAACCGATCAGGAATTGGCGCCATCGTCGCTGCCAAACATCATCAAATTTGAAAGGATGATAGCCAAAGAGAAATAAAATGCGATTCATTCCTTCAAATCCCATTTTTGTAATTTTTAACTTCTAAACGACTGACAATAAAATTTTCGATGAAATATTTCTTTTTACTTTCTTCACTCCACAACGATATTGAAAATAATGGAACGCGATTTGGAAATTTTAATTTTCTATCCACGTAACCTCCATTAAATAATTAATAATCATTGAAGATGGAGAATTTTTGAAGGGTTGTTGGATATTGTTAAAAGCTCACTTATGTATGTAAGAACTCAAATTTCGTGTGACAAATTAAAAAGAAAGTCTACAATTGTATGATGTCATTTACGTTGTTTTCTATGTATATCTGAAACTCTTTCAAACTTTAGTTTCATCTATCACAAGTTGTAATACTTTCTTGCGTTCCAATAAATATTTAAAACTCATGACCATGCGATACATGCGTCAAAAAAATTAAATTTATTAAATTAATTATCTAATCAATGAGATTGAATGTCAGAGCGTCATCAAAAGTTTTCCTTAAAAAATGTACTTACAGCCTGTAAGTTACAGGGAACTCTTACAGGAAAATCTAATCTATTTGTGTATAAAAAATCTCCAAGAATAAAATGTAGATTTTTTTGAAGATTTTTAGGTTGAGTATTTAGATAGTTGGTTTTTAGAATTCCTTTCCGTTCACTATTGCAAGAAGAACATTATTTCTAAATTGACAACTCAATCATTAACTTTATCCATGTATTTGCTTTGCCCTCAGAGTCCACACAACAGTTACATTTATTCTTGTACACTTCGAGGAACCTAATTCTGAATACATAAAATTTCATGTCATTTAGATTAATTTCAAAAGTAATAAGCTATGTGCACAAAAACTCCCTTAAGAAAAAAATCCTCTACAATATACTGGTGAGAGGATAACTAATATTCCTAGAAAGTACATGAAAACCATGACAACATCGCGTGCTTTAATTCATCAGATTATTCCATATATCTTCAATCATTGATATATTTTATAAAAAAATTAGAAGCCTAATGAGATGAAGATGTAATAAATAAAAACAAATAAAAAAGATCATACTCATAGCCGTTTTTTTTCAATCATCAATAATTAATCACCAGTAAAAAAAATATGCTTAAATTGTTTTTAATGATGCGTTCATATTGATTGCACAGAAATAAGGAAAGTTCATCGCCATTTACAATTTTTTCCAAACTATTCATCAAAGTTTTCAACATAATCAGATATAACTTCGTATCTTGAATTGCATAACTTGAAAGCGTAAAAATGGAAATATTAAATGAGAATACATGGCCGATGGCCATCGTAGTGTTTTTTCTGGCTGCACTGGAGCCTTCCCAAAAAAATGACATTTTCAAAAATTTGCTCTGTATTTCTTAGAATTTGCCTTTAGCAAAAGTTTCTTAGCCTTTAGCTATAGAAGTTTCTTTTTCTCAATGGTGCTTTTGCCGGGTAATTTTATGATGAACAACCCCATGCTTCATATGATTCGAAAGAAGCAAGCAAAGAAGAAAAAAAAGAGAAAGAGAAGAGAAAAATGAAATTTCTCATTGTTTGTCAGATACTTGGCCCCTTGCAAGGGGTAATTCATCAATAAAATAAGCCGGCAAAAGCACCAGTGCGAAAAAGAAACACTACGAAAATTCCAGGAAAAACTTGGCAAATTCTTGGAAAATGACCCGTTTTTTGAAAATCACAAGTGCTCACTGGAGCATCATTTTGAGGGAGCCAGCAAAAGCACGACGATGAATTACCCCTTGAGATAATTGGTAAAGTCAACTTGTATTTCTCAGTTAATCTCTATTTTTGGCAGAGTTACAACGTGGAGTTTCTTTTGTGATCTCAATATATCAAATCACTCGACTTCTGATCAGGCAAAACTTTTCTGTTTGTTAATTTTTAAAATAAAGTCCATCAATATTTTAGTAATAGTTAAATATAAGTGAGAGAATTGTTACAAACGTCAAATGATTTAATCAAAGGTCAACTAACCTCACAACGATCTTTTGATTTAGATTCTGGTAGCATAAAAATTATTAAAATGGTATGTACATAAGTGGACACGTAAAATCACGAGAATTTTTATTGTAATGAGTAATTTGTTAATTCTTTTTCGTTATCAGATATTACGATTGCTTCTCATCATTACTGTGACATTTGCTCTGTTTAATAATGCTATGCCATCAAAAATTTTATTTACCGTCGCATTTGCAGGGAACAGTCATTGGCTCATGTTTCAACCTCTTATCAATGAAGTAAAGATAATATTTTATGATATTTTAAAATTATTTTGAATATTTTATCATTTAGCTATTAAGTCGAGGGCATGAGGTGACTGTTATCACACATTTTGAATTGAAGACTGACTCTAAAAATTATCGTCAAGTTCTGATTAGACCAAAATGGGATTGGGATGCAATATGTAAGAAAATATTTGATTAAATATCACTTGAGATTTATTATCAGATTCTAATCTTTTTTAGTCAACATGACAATACCATTTGAAGTTGGTGGAACATATGAAAGTCCTTTTTTCAAAGTCAAATCATTGTGGGACTACGGAATTGCAACAACGAAACATGCATTGGACTCACCCGTTGTGAAGAATTTCATAGAAAATGACGTAACAAAATTTGATCTCGTGATTAGTGAACAATTTCAGCAAGAGGCTTTTAACATGTTTGCACATAAATATAACTGTCCATTGATAGTTATTGGAACTTTAGATTATGCTGACTTTATGGATCATGCGAAAGGTGCGTTGACTTCTTGGAGTCACGTCCCACATGCCTTAAGCTACTTTTCTGATCGTATGACGTTCGTTCAACGAGTGGAAAACACAATTCTTTCACTTTATGATGCTATTGGTAGGAAATTCTTTTACCTCCCCAAACAAACACAACTGGCACGAGAAGCTTTTGCTTCTCTTGAGAATCAGTTGAACACTCGACTACCATCGGTTGAAGAGCTTGAGAAAAGAATTTCAGTACATCTCATTAATAGTCATCCGGCTTTTTCATATCCACGTCCGAAGATGCCTGGAATGATTGACATAGCTGGGATTCAAATTCGTCCACCAGGAACTCTTCCAGATGACATTAAAAATTTTCTTGATGATGCTAAAGATGGAGCGATTTACATGAGTTTCGGATCATTCTTAAGAAGAAGAAGTCCAGAAAAATTTAAAATAATTACTGACACATTTAAAAACCTTAAACAAAAAATTCTCTGGAAATGGGAAAGTGAAAAAATTCCGAATTTACCTTCAAATGTCATGGTTAAGAAATGGCTTCCACAATCGGATGTTTTAGGACACAAAAACGTGAAACTTTTCATTGGACATGGCGGGATTTTCGGTACACAAGAAGCTATTTATCATGCAGTTCCGTTAATAATTTTCCCATTCTTCGGTGATCAACATTTAAATGGTTTCAAAATTCAAGAAGCTGGAATGGGTTTGCTCGACTCAATGAGCACCATCACAACAGATTCTTTAACAAGAATCATCAATAAAGTTCTTAATAATGAAAGTTTTGCTCAAAATATTAAGAAAGCTTCGGAAATTTTCCGTACAAATCAAAATGAACCACTTGACACTGCAATATGGTGGATCGAATACGTCATCAAGTTTAAAGGCGCTGCACATTTACAATCACCAGCTAAGAATCTTCCTTGGTATCGATATTTACAATTAGACATCGTTTTCATCGTATTTGGTGCTATTTACATTATTTATGATTTGGTCAAACCACTTTTTAATAAATTTGACAGCAAGAAGGATGAAAAATCAAAAGACGACAATCGTAATAAAAAATCTAAAAAACAAAACATAATGAAAATATATCGAAGAAAAAGAAATTGAATAAAGAAAATTAATTTTCTTACCTATTAGCTTTGCCATGCAGGAACAAAATAAAATGAAAATGAAAAAATTGCAAAACATTCTGTTTAGATATTTACACAAGCTTTCCAGACATTTCCATGTTGAAACTTTTTTTTTCAGTTGCTCATCGGCTGTTCAAGTGAAAACGTTGTAGATTATTGTCATTTCAGTTCTCGTTGTTTCATGTCAAAACGTGACGAAAAGTTATTAGAATATAAATCGTTGCACAATTTTATTGTCGTCTATAAGTGAAGTATTTTTAATCTTTCAAATTATTATTTTTATTGAATGCGATTATTTAAGGATTTTATTCATAAAAGTTCTGACGTGTAACATTAAACGTGTCAAAAAGAAACTTTCTCTCCAGTAAATGATTCGATCTTCACATTTCAGATCACAATGATTAAGTGGCTTCTGCTCATCACAATAGCAGCATCATCAATTTCTGCTTCTAATATTCTTGTGTTGTCACCAATGTCAATAGTCAGTCATTGGTTGTATCTTGAAGAAATTATTAAAGATCTTTTAATACGAGGTCACAAAGTGACTGCAGTGACTTCATACCTTGCAAAGAAGAAACATGAAAATTATACTACAATTAATATTCCCTCATTGAATTTAGAGCTACAGCATTGTAAGGAAATCAAAACTTTTTCATCTATATCTTCTAACTTTTCAACTTTTAGTCGGATCAAAAAATGTGTATGCTGGAATTTACTCTGGTGAATCTTCTTACTTTTCATTTTATCAAAAAATGGGATTGCTGGTCACGGAGAATCTTTTAAAAAATCCAAAAGTTGGCGAGTTAATATTATCAAAAGATCAACAATTTGATTTAGTTATTGTTGAACAAATCTATGTCGAAGCTTTTTACTTATTCGCTCATAAATTCAATTGTTCTTTATTAACAATTGGTGAGATGATCAAAATTATATTTCTTCAGCGTTTAATAACTTTGATTTTTTTTAGCATTACAAGGACATTCAACTGTGATAGATCGCACAATGGGATTGTTTACACCGCTATCACATGTTCCACATCATGCTCTAACTCACGTTGATTCTAAGATGACTTTCGGTCAACGAGCTTACAATGCATACATCTCGACTTATGAATCCTTCATCAGAAGATTTAGTTACATTCCAAAACAAAACAAAATTGCAAAAAAATATTTCAGTGAAGGTGTTGAAGGGGAACTTCCACATGTTGCAACAATGGAGAAGAAAATTGCTTTGACTTTGGTCAATTCTCATAGCAGCATTGAAAATCCAAGACCAACAATGCCTTCACAAGTTAATATCGGTGGTGCACATATAAGAAGGATCTTAGCTCTACCAGCAGATGTCAACGTAATGTCAAATTTCTAACAAATTCTTTTACATTTAACTTTTCACATTTTTAGGAATTTCTTAAAACTGCTGAGAACGGATTTATTTTCTTTTCATTTGGCACTTTTCTTAAAACAGACGCAATTCCAAATGAAATTTATACAGAAATTATTGAAGCATTCAAAGCTTTACCTTATAAAGTTTTAATGAAGCTCAGCGTTGATCCCCCAGCTGATCTTCCACCAAATATTATGGCACGTCGATGGTTCCCTCAAAGTGATTTATTTGGACATCCCAAAATGCTTCTCTTTATTTCACATGGTAAAGATAACATTTAAATTAAGAAATTTAATTTCTTTTTCATTTATTTTCTTTCAAGGTGGATGGCTTGGAGTGCAAGAAGCTTTGCATCGTGGAGTTCCAATGCTTTTCATTCCATTCTTAAATGACCAACATCGAAATGCTGCCCGTGCTGTTAAAGAAGGCTATGGATCTGTTTTGCAATTTGATGATATTACTAATGAAAGTCTCGTCAAGGAGATTTTAAAAGTTACAGCTCCAGAATATAAGGCTAAAGCTTTGGAAATGTCGAAAATATTCAAAGACAGTTTGAATCAACCGATGCAAGAAGTGACATTTTGGATTGAATATGTAATCAGAAACAACGGTGCGCAACATCTCAAATCAACATCAGTTGATCTTTGCTGGAGCAAATACTCTATGATTGATGTTGGATTTTTCTATTTCTCAATGTTCGCCCTTAGCTTCTTATGTTCATTTATGATCATTAAATTCTCTATAACAAAATATCGCGGAAGAGAACAAAGAGGAAAATTCAAATATTATTAAAATGCAATCAACATTCCTTGTTACATTTCCTATCTTACTTGAGTATTTTGAATAAAGGAAATAAAGAAAATTCATTAAAATACGATGAATGAGAATTAACAGGAGTTTTAATCGGGATTAGTATCGAGATTAGGATTCCGTTTTAATCTTCTGTCAAATCTAATCCTTTAATAAAAAGCTGTCAGATTGCTGTCAGAATAAAAATCTATTCAACTTCTGTTTGTCAATAAATTGAGGATTCAGTCAACAATCAACATCAAAATTTCCTAACAAAGCAACACATTTTTATATAGAAACATTTTCAAATGATAAAATTTCATACAAAAAGATAAAATTAAATCCCAATACCGGATAAATTTGATGGTTAAAAAAATATCAATGAAATCTTTGAAATTTTACAATTTTGCTGAGGGATTGCGAGTTCCTGGGAAGCCCAATCTGTACAAGCCAACAACAACAGCTCCTCCTAATCCGACATTATGTTGAAGAGCTAATTTAGCGCCTTGAACTTGACGTTTTCCAGCTTCACCTCTTAATTGCCAACACAATTCTGAACACTGTGCAAGACCAGTTGCTCCAAGTGGATGTCCTTTGGAAGTGAGACCACCGCTTGGGTTGACAACATACTTTCCACCTTAAAAATACAAAAGTTAATAAATATTTATCTTATCTTGAAATTATCAAAAGACCAACCGTAAGTGTTATCGTTACGTTCAACCATTTCGTGACCCTTTCCTTCTGGGCACAATCCTAAAGCTTCATAAGAAATCATTTCGTTTGCTGAGAAACAATCATGAAGTTCAACAACATCAACATCTTGTGGCTTGTAATTTGTCTTCTCAAACATTTTTCTTGTGGCATCTCTGGTCATGTCATAGCCAACAAGTTTGATGCTGCTTTTGCTGCTGAATGTTGTTGCAAAGTCAGTCGACATTTCCATTCCAACAATTTCAACTGCTTGAGCTTCAAGTCCATGTCGACGAACAAACTCTTCACTGGCAACAATGCAACATGCCGAACCATCAGATGTTGGACAACATTGAAGCTTGGTGAGAAGTTTGTAGATAACTGGCGACTTCTGAATCTGCTCAAATGTGTACTCTTCTTGGAATTGCGAGTATGGATTGTTAACAGAATGCTTATGATTCTTGTATGCAATCTTAGCAAAATGTTCGGGCTTCGATCCATAAAGTCTCATATGTTCTTCACCAGCATTGCCAAACATTTGAGGTGTTGGTGGTGCACTTCCAAATCCAACTGTCTCCGACATTACTTGGAAATGTTTATCCATTGGACTTGTACGGTCAGTGAATTTTTGACTCAATGATCCACGTTCCATTTTCTCAAAACCGAGAGCCATAATGCAATCGTTTTGTCCATTCTCAATCAATTGTTTCGCAAGGAATAATGCAGATGATCCAGTTGAACAATTGTTGTTAACGTTGTAGATTGGAATGCCGCTCATTCCGACTTCATACAATGCACGTTGACCTGAAGTTGAATCGCCTAAATAAAATAGAAATAAATTTCATTAAGTAATCTTCATTAATTAATTAAGTTTGACTTACCATAAACATATCCGACAACAGCTTGCTTAACTTCTTTGTAGCTAATCTTAGCGTCAGCAAGTGCCTTTGTTACGGCTTCCTTCGCCATATCAGGATAATCAAAGTCTTGTCTTCTTCCAGGCTTTTCAAACTATTTTTAATTCCATAGACCATAATTAAATTATTTTAATGATTTGCAATTTTTCATCTCTCAAATTATTTCTCTTTCGGAATTTTTATCTTTTCTTATCTTTAATTGGCTTATCTTTCTGATTATGAAGTACACATAATAAAAAGTAAAAAACAATTTTTTTATCGTTAGACCAAAGTTCATGAAAACATTGGCTGTTTAAAAGGTAAAAGGAAAGGTCTAAAGACCACAATTAAAATATTTACACTTGAAGAGTGTAGCTGAGTGATATTCAGAAATATTTTTCCTTATTAAACTCACCTTTGTCATTCCACATCCAATAACGAAAACTCGGATTTTTCCCATTTTGCTATTTTTATTTCTTTTTTCGTTTTTGTAGAAATTTCAAAAGTAAAAATTGAGTCTGAATACAAAACTTTACGTTGATTCACCTCCAAGGGTTACGTGCAAGTGACTCCAACGAATAAAAGTAATGTCGCTTTTACTATGAATGTTGATGGAGTTAAACTGACGATTGATTAGAATTTCGTATAAAATGATAAAGTTTTGAAGAGAATGAGAGAAGTTTCGAGTCTCTCAATTTATAATCAAACGAATTTTACGTGTAAAAGCTTCGGTCAAAGCTTTTTAAATTTAATTTGACTAACTTTTAATTTTATTAACTTCCTTCAAATTCAAATTATCATATAAAATTTCTTTCTTATTTTTTTCTTTCTCATTTTCAATTTTCCAATTCTTACTTCTCATGAAAGGTGTAAGAAGACGTTCATCAAATTCTTCACAACCTCCAGTCATCCAACTAACTGGTAGTGAAATGAGAAACATTAAAATTAAGCCTAAAAAGCTGTAGTACATGAAACTTAATCGGAAGATCAATGGAATGTCTTCAGTCGATACTTTGACAGAGTTATCAGTAAGTAAAGAAACATTAAAAGAATTTGTGCAACCATCAACACGAACCGGCAGTGGAGGTTCCTTTGGTAATGATTGAGAGCCAACAATAATCGTACCAATAACCAAAAGTGTTCCAATTGCACCACAAATGATCCCTTTTGTATTTGCTGATTTCGAAAACATTCCTATTGTAAAGATGCCCAAATGAGTGCCAGCAAATAAACCAATAATGACATAATTAAGTCTGAAAATTTGTCCCATATGTTCAACAACAAAAACAAGTGAAAGTGTTAAAATTCCCAAAAGAACAACTAGAACTTTCATTATGTTACTTGCTGTCTTCTCTGTGTTGTTTGGGAAATTATGTCTTATAAAATCTTCATAAATCGTCCCTGAAACTGTGTTCAGACTTGATGACATTGACGAAAGTGCAGCTGAGAAAATTCCAGCAATAAAAAGTCCTGGCAGTCCAGGAACTTTTGAAGCTACATCCATAACGAAATAAGGCAGAATTTGATCAATTTTTTGTATTCCACCAGATTTCACAGGATCGCAACTTTGAAATTTCGTGTAAATTATTAAACCACCAAAACATGCGATCAATTTTATACTAGTCAAGCCTAACACAAAAACCCAAACAGATTTTCTTGCTGTTTCAATATTTGGAACAGATAAAAGTCTTTGAATGACTGATTGACTAATTCCATGCTTTGAAATCCACGAAAGAGTTAATCCGATAGTATAAGTCCAAAATGAAGTGCGAACAAATGGTGAAGGGTTTAAACTAAAAAAAAAGGTGAAGTTGAAATTATTTTGGCAATGTTTTTATCAATTATAACTTTTACTTGAACAAGATCAATCTGCCACCATCGTCTGATGTTTTCAGAACATTTTGAATTCCTCCTGTCGACATTAGCCCCAAGACAGTGACACAAATCAATCCACCAACCATTAATACAAACTGTAAAGTGTCAGTCCAAACGACAGCTTTCAGACCTCCAACGGTTGTGTAGAAAATACAGAAAATGCTTGTGACGCATGCAATGACGTGAAGACTAATTCCCGAAACTTGGGCAAAGGCAAGTGCTGGTACATATCTTATAAAAGATAATAATTGAAGCAGATAAACGAAAAGCTGTGAAAACCTTGAAATAATTTTTAAACTCACATCACGACTGGCATAAACATTATGTCAGCTGTAATGTAAATAAAGCTAACGAACAAGCGAATTTTTCTGCTGAATCTTATCTCGAGATATTTGAATGATGATGTTAGTTGAAGGTCATAAAAAACTGGCAAATAAATGTAATATACGACAACTCCTAACTGGAATAGTTTTTTATGCTGTTAATTAATTATCAAATGTGATTCAAATTTTTATACCAAAACCGTGGAAATACCCGAAAGTGCGTATTCTGATCCAAAACTATAAACTTCAGCTGGAACTGCAAGAAATGTTGCACCCGATATGTGACTTGCTATCAGAGATGCAGCTACTGGTAGGAAACTCATAGTTTTTCCACCAAGCAGATATTCAACTGTGTTGTCTTGTTTTTTCTTTGATATAAATCCGAAATATATTCCGATCAGTGCTGACAACCCAAGCATGAAACCAAAAACTACATAATTAATAAACGAAAAGTGATGTTGCGATTCGTTTAAATTCATCTTTAACCTTTCAAATGATATTTTACACTGATATAAAAGAATTAAAATTTTCATCACAATTCAAGTTTTTCATCTCTAAAGATTTATAAATCTGATAAGAATTTTGATATATTGCTTTCCGAATGTGAATTTTTTAATTCCAAAGGGTTTTAAATATTAATTTGATGAGTGGTTTGGTAATTTATTTCAATTCCGATGTTAATAAAAGTAAAGACTTGTCTCTTAAAATTATTTATTAAGAATTGAATTTAATCTTTTTCTTACACTTAAGAAAATTCAGTCTCAGTTTTATTCTGTTATGATAATTGAATAGTTGATAAATGTGAAACTGATCTACTTATCGACGTTTTGCTTCATTTGATGAACTTTCGTTTTCAACTTATTGCACGCAATGCTCACAGTGTCGTCATTTATTGATGACAATGATTGGAAACATTCCGAAGATGTCTGAAAGCATGAAAATTAATTACAATCTGTAATTCCTTTTCTTATTTCTACTCACCAGTTTCAGAATTTGTTGTAAGAAATTACGAGATGGAACTTCGTCAAGCAAAGCAATGAGCAGACTTAAAGTTAAAGCTTGAATTTCTGAAGTGTTTTCAAAAGAAAGGCAACTGATAATAATTTCAATTCCATTTTTATATTCATTAATCATTCTGGTTCCTTGGGTGCAAATACTCAAATTATAGATGTACATTAGAGACATTCTTTTCAGCAGTTGACCAGCAGGCATTTGAATTCGTGGGTAAATGGTTAGTGTGTTACAAAATTAACGCTTAACGAAAAGCTTCTCAACACAAATGGAAAAAGCACAACTACCGCTTGCCCTAAAAATCTGCAATTTCTACAGCATATTCTTTGATTATTATTGCAACTTTCTGCTTTTTAAAGTTTCAGAAAAGTTGCTTAATTAATCATCAAATTAAATTTTCCCGAAACCTAAATTTGGTTAGTTGTGTTACAACCTTTGCATCGCTTCGTTAGTGTGTTACAAGATGCCTTGGTTAGTGTGTTACAAGACGCAAAAGGAAATTTTTTTCATACAAAATGTAAACAAACTTTTTTTGCGTCTTTGAATGTTAGCATTTTATGAAGTACCGAGTAAGTTTTTTGCATTTGGCGGTTTGTCCCTTATCACTTTCTTATGTTTTTTAGAGGTAGGGTAGGACAAGAATTGTGAACACAAATAAGCTCTTAAGGTTTTCGTTTCTCCTTTAAAAGCTAATAACAAAGTCCCCAGTTTAGGATTGGCCATTGGACTTCTTACAGTAGGTTTTCACACTTTTCCTACATTATTTTGCTTTTAGACTTTTTTGAAATATTGCTTAATTAAACTACAATTTGCTTTTAAAAAAAAGTCAAATGTAAAGGTATTGTGAACACAACTTTTGCATCACCAAAGGTATTGTGAACACAAGATGCAAAGGTATTGTGAACACACCTTTGCATCCTGTGTTCACAATACCTTTGGTGATGCAAAGATATTGTGAACACAGGATGCAAAACTAAAAAATGAGCCAAAACAAGTTTGCATCAGCATTTGTTTACATTTTTTAAAATTNATTCAGTCTCAGTTTTATTCTGTTATGATAATTGAATAGTTGATAAATGTGAAACTGATCTACTTATCGACGTTTTGCTTCATTTGATGAACTTTCGTTTTCAACTTATTGCACGCAATGCTCACAGTGTCGTCATTTATTGATGACAATGATTGGAAACATTCCGAAGATGTCTGAAAGCATGAAAATTAATTACAATCTGTAATTCCTTTTCTTATTTCTACTCACCAGTTTCAGAATTTGTTGTAAGAAATTACGAGATGGAACTTCGTCAAGCAAAGCAATGAGCAGACTTAAAGTTAAAGCTTGAATTTCTGAAGTGTTTTCAAGAGAAAGGCAACTGATAATAATTTCAATTCCATTTTTATATTCATTAATCATTCTGGCTCCTTGGGTGCAAATACTCAAATTATAGATGCACATTAGAGACATTCTTTTCAGCAGTTGACCAGCAGGCATTTGTATTCGTGACAGATTTTCAAAAATATTGTGGAAAAGTGTCAAACCAGCATCTTTGTTCAATATGCAATTTCTTCCATTTCTATGAGCTGATATGTTGATGGTAATTCCTATCAGTTTAGATTACACTGCACTCATAAAAATTAAAACTTTAAATTTTATCTTAAACCTCACCAATAAGCGACATGAGAAATTTGAATTCATATGATTCAGGCAATGGCATTTCATTCTTATAAGTTGCCATAAAAGAATTCATTGTTACGTTGGTCATTAAAAGGAATTCATAAATTGTATTCTAAAGAAGAGAAAAGAATATATTATTTAAAAGGATTTTCGTCCTAAAACTTTTTACCGTCTTGATAAAAGTGTCGATCGAATCTTCATTTTTTGATACTCTCCACAACATCGAACCTAAGATTGCACCCATTTGTGATGTAAATGTAACTTGCATTGATAATTCACTGCATAAAAAAATGATATTAGTTTTAATTTTACTGTAAATATTGACTCACTCAGTCATATGCTTCAATTTCATGTCATGTTCATCAAGTTTTCTTTTCAATGAATCCAGTTCCTTAGTCGCAGATATTACGTCAGCTTTGTATTTTTTTATTCTTTTATCACTTGCTTTAATCGCTAAAATAAAAAAGTTAGTCTTTTATTGTATCAAACAATTTCTTTTTCTTTCTTACTTCGTAGAAGAATCGGAATTTCACTGTTAAGATGCTCAATATAACCTGTGGATTTTTTAGTCAAATCTAAAGCTACGTCACAACATTTTTTATCAGCCTTATTACTAACAGCGATTTCATTTCCAATGTTACTCAAATCACTAAGAAATTCATACAGATTTGACAGAAATTCATTTAAGACAATTGACGACTCTTTCTATGAGAGAAAAAATGAATAAAGAATGATTTATTATTTTAGAATTCCAATTTATCTTACCAAGAGTTTGATAACTTCAACATGTATCGTTTGAATTTCTTCGTCACAATATTTTTGTTGTGAATTATCGGATGAATCCATCTTTATTAATGTTTTTTAAAGTTTTTTTGTTTCATACGTTTAAAGCGCAAGATCTACTTGTAGACAATTTGAAATTCCCGCTGTTCTACTTTTTCGAAATTAATTTCGAAAACATTCCGAATGTTTTGATTTTTTGTGTTTACCTATTAAAATATAAATTTTGTACTTTTTTTTATAATGTTTGTCATATCGTTTAATGTTTCTACATTTTCTAAAAATCTTTTGTTCAGATCATTTTCGTCAGGTTTATCAAAAGAACTTAAATCTCTACAAGAACTATGCAGAAAGTTCTCAGATGAAGAATTAAACCCTGTTGCAAGTCAACTTGATAAACTTGGAAAATTTCCAAAGCAACAAATTGAGAAGTTGGGTGCTTTAGGAATGATGGGAATTTGTGTGCCAACAGAGTATGGAGGTAGTGGTATGAGCACCTTAGCGTTATCTATAATTGTTGAAGAATTATCTCGGGGCTGTGGATCAACCGGATCAATTGTATCAATACATAATTGCCTTTATGCTAATTTAATTCAAAGGCTTGGAAGTCACGATCAAAAACTTAAATTCCTCAAGCCACTTGTTAGCGGGTCTAATATTGGAGCTTTCGCGTTAAGTGAATCAGGTATTTAAAAGATATTTTTTAATTGTTTGATAATATCAAAAAGGAGCTTGTACCAGATGCTGGAAGTGATGTAGCGGCACTATCTACCACTGCTATTAAAAAAGATGATTCATATATTCTGAATGGTTCAAAAGCTTGGGTGACATCTGGCATTGAAGCAGAAGTTGCTGTCGTTTTCGCTACTGTTGATAAAGCTTTAAATCACAAAGGCATCACAGCGTTTATAGTGGAACTGAACTCACCAGGTGTTGATAGAGGAAAGAATGAACAAAAATTGGGAATTCGTGCAACTTCCACATGTTCTCTTGGATTTATTGATGTACAAATAAACTCTTCCAATATGCTTGGTGATTCTGGAAATGGATTCAAAATAGCTATGGAGCAGTTGGATCAAGCGCGGATTGGAATTGCATCGCAAGCACTTGGAATCGCTCAAGCATCTCTTGACACTGCCATAACATATGCTAGTCAAAGGATTGCATTTAAAAAGCCAATATTAGAAATGTCTTCTGTTCAAAATCGTCTTGCTGATATGGCATTACGAATAGAAGCTTCAAGGCTTCTTGTCAGAAATGCAGCCCACTTAAAAGATCAAAATGTACAAACAACAATGCACACATCAATGGCAAAATGGCATGCAAGTGAGACTGCAACTTTCTGTTCTCATAATTGCATTCAAATTCTTGGCGGCATGGGAGTTGTTGAAGATTTTTCTGCTGAAAGATTCTACAGAGATGCAAGAATCACTGAAATTTATGGTGGAGCAACAGACATTCAAAAATTGATTGTCGCTAGTCAATTAAAGAAAAATTATGGTTTATAAGATAATTTTATATTTTTGGGATATGTTTATGGGATTTAAAGGTTTTATTTTTGAGGGCGTTAAAAGGATATTGTTGTACATTTCTAATTAGGTATATTATTAATAAAGATATTTTATTAATTAACTATCCAATATAAAAATGTTTTCCTTTAATTTAATTTTGTTAAAGTTTCAGTTGTAAATTCAATGATATTTATTTATGAGCAGGTACATAGCACGTCAGCTATTATTTATTTCCGAATACTGTAAGATAATAAAAAATGTTGTAATTTTGTTGCTAAAAGGAATGAACACAACAACAGGTGTAAGATATCTTAATCTTAAGAAAAGAAAGAACATCTGACGCAATATTTCTTTGTTGCTTCTCTTCTCTTATCATAAAGTTTAATATTTGAACTTTTTTGGCCCCACGTAATTGTTCAAATATTTTTACATTTTAACAACTTGATAATATAATGAGCCAAAAATAAGCGAAATGATTTATTGAACTGTTGTTGATTTCAAATCTCACGTATATTAAAAGTCATATAGAAACTTTCTCTCTCCTAAGTCAAGTGTGATTAGTAAAAGTTTAATTGGACAAATAAATCGGATTCACAAAAAAAAGACATGAAATGAAACTTTTCTTTGTCAATTATCCTGATGATTCAGGCATTCAAATGACATACAGCAATTAAAAGATATAACTTATATCAAAGCTTATCTTCACAACTCTGCAGAATACTGACAACAATTATATAAATTTGTTAATAATGACAAGGGAAGAAACAAATAAGAGTTTCATGTGTCATGTCAAACAAAGAACATTCAACATTCAACTCTTTTCAAAGCAGCTATAAATTGAAGGGACATGAACGAAAATGTATTAAATTGATTTAACATTTGAAGAAAGCAGTAAGATTCAGCAGCATGGGTGGAAAACGTTGGAATAAAGTTAAAATAACAGACTACGCTCGATTAAGCATTAATCCAATGAGAAAGCTTAAATTTGAGACGAAAGTTATTCCAAATCCGAATTTAAAGCCAATTACACTTCAACTAGGAGATCCGACGGTTTTTGGCAATTTCCCACCAGCTAAAGAATTTTTGGATGCTTTTAAGAAAGCAGTTGATCACGACACATTTTTATATAATATCGAATATGGAAAGATTGAAGCACGTGAAGCTATTGCAGCGATATCAGGGAATGTAACTGCTGACGATATTATTCTCACATCAGGATGTGCACATGCAATCTCAATGTGTGTATCAGCTTTGGTAGCACCAGGTGAAAATCTTTTAATTCCCCGTCCTTGCTACAACTACACATCATTGACTGATGGTAATGGAATCGAAACGAAATCTTACAACTTGGATCCATCAAAAGATTGGGAAATTGATTTGGAACACTTAGAAAGCTTGATCGATCCGAAAACTCGTGCAATTTTAATTAACAACCCAGGAAATCCATGTGGGAATGTCTTCAGTAAAGAACATCTTCAAGATTTTCTTGAAATTGCAGAACGACATCAATTGCCAGTTATTTCTGACGAGGTCTACGAATACATGACCTTCCCGGGAGTTAAGTTTCATCCCACTGCTACACTTTCGGAAGATGTTCCAATTTTAACATGCAGCGGATTGACGAAAAGATTTCTTATACCAGGTGTTCGTATGGGATGGATCATCATTAATGATCGACAAGGTGCACTTATTGATGTCAAGCAAGGTTTACGCAATATTTGTGGAAGAATTCTTGGACCTAATTCAACAGTTCAATATGCACTCCCAGCAATTCTTCGTAATACTCCACAAAGTTTCTTTGATAACACTATGAAAATTATCGCTGTGAGTTTTTAATATTTTTGTAAATATATTCAAAGACTTTAAAAGACTTTTTGCTTTTTTTTCCCACAGCGACACGCAGAAATTACTTACAATCTTCTGCAACAAGCACCAGGTCTAATTCCTATTATGCCAAAGGGATCAATGTTTGTCATGATAAAAATTGAGTTGGAAAAGTTTCCTAAATTTCCGACATGCAGAGATTTTGCTGATGGATTAATATCAGAACAAAGTGTGCTATTATTCCCTGGTGATCCAGGATTTAATTTTGCAGGTTTTATAAGAATCGTTTTGACAGTTCCAGAAGACCTTTTAACTGAAGCTTGCTTACGCATTATACAATTTACTAAAGATAATATCCAAAAATAATATTTTTTGTGTAACCATAAAAATATTTTACGAATATTGTCATTAATCCTCATTAAATTTATTAAAAAAATTATTCTAAATAAAGTCTGTATTTTCACTTAATTAAGTCTCTATGCGCCCTTGATTGAATAATCAGATGGTTTCAATAATTTTTGTTTGTAGACTTCAGATTCGTTACGATAATTTTCAAAAAGTTTTGAGAAACAGTAGAATGAGGAAGCGACGGTATGTCGGACTGTCTTAAGTTATTTTCGAAAATAATAAATTATCAATAGCACAACACTTTAATTTAAGTTTAAAGAAGCTTAAAGACTTTTCCTATACTTCTACCTTATGAAGTAATTTTGCATTAGGTCCTTTAGAAAAGGGCATTTTATTAGTTCAGTAATTTAATGTGAAATACGCTGAACTTCAAGGTAAATAATTTTTTCCTACTCATTATTGCTGCCTTTGTTTATTTTTACTTCAAGTGTTTTCCTTCTATATCTCCCTACCTACCTTGTTTACCCAGCAAAACGATATTAATTGGCTCTCAACTTTTATTTTTACTATTTCAGTTCAGTTTTTCTTAGGAGCATGAAGGTTGTTCATCTTTTTGCACTGTTTTTGGTGTCATTAAACGTAAAAAGTTCAAAAGCCAAAATCTTAGATGAAAATCAACAAAATGGATTATTACAAACAGAAGATACACCAACCATCGAGTCAAAAAATAAATCGGATATTATTGATAACGAGACTTCAGTGAAGCCTCAAAGTCCATGTTTTCATGTTGACACTCACGAAATGTGCCTAAATAAAACTGTTTCATCTCCAGCTTCCAGTTGTGAATGTGAACAGCATCCAGAACACCCATTTGCAGTTATATGTTGCAATGTTACTGATAATTTAATCAAAGCTATATCATGTGCTGGTTCCAACACTTCATCATACTTAAGCATTCACATAATCAATGCTAAATTAGTAGAAATTAACGTTTCGCAAATGAATCTTCTGAAACAGGTTGACTCATTCATCATCACTGATGGAAACATAAGCAGAATAAGCGGCCAATTTTCACGATTCTCGTCCATAAAGTGCCTTAATTTTTCTAACAACAACATAACTGAAATCAACGAACGTGCCTTACTAAATTTAAATCAGCTTCAAATTTTGGATCTGTCTGCAAACAATCTCACAAAACTTCCCACTCCTCCAACAACAGCAAAAGTCGACATTCGTGGTAATCAAAAGATTTCATGTAAAAACGTTTCATCAGCAATTGAACGAGGAGTTGATTTTCTTTTTAAAGACATTTCTGTATGTGAAGTTGAGACTGTTTATCATTGGTTCAATTCTACAGCTTCAATTTCAATCAAAAACTTGGAAAACATGAAACAACTTGATGACGATTGCCCAAGTGGATGTAAATGTGATCCGGACCGAATGTATTACTCAAAAATTGAAGGTGGCGAGAATAGTCTTGTCTTCATAGCAAAAGTTGATTGTTCTAATCTGGGATTAACAAAACTTCCACATAAGCTTCCGGAAAATACACTTTCGTTGAACATCTCCAACAACAGTATTACTTCTTTGTCATCTCTTGTTGATAATGATTATTATCAGAATATAAGAAGTCTTTTTGCTGATGATAATTTGATCACATCAATTGTGGAACTTGAAGGATCAAAATTTTTAGAGAATTTTACTAAACTCTCATTGAAGAATAACAAGATCAAACATATTCCGTTTTATATTCTGTCCAATCTTGAGCGTAATCTTAATGGAAAGTTGGTTTATCTCGGTGGTAATAAAATTCACTGTGAATGTACTACATTTAAAAATCAAAGAGTAAGAGAAAATTTTATTCATCATCTACTATGATTGTTTATTTGAACATATTTCTTTATTCCCAGATTTGGCGACTTGTACAAGACTGTGATAAAATTTTATGCGACAACATGAAAGCGAGGATACTGGAATTAAAAGAATCACAACTCTGCAAGTCAGGATATCATGATTGGGCTAGTTATATAGACTATCTTATAGTTATCGAAGTGATTCTTCTCATAGCTTTGATAACAAAAGTATCTTATGATTGGTACGTCTTTAAAAATTCTGGATTCTTGCCAGCGCCGGCATCTTGGATTATTTTATTCAATCAGAAATAATCTTTAAATTTATTTTTAAGAAAAATACTAAATGTGAGCTTTTTTCTAGCCTTACACATGTGAATTTAACATTTTTATGTAAGCTTAAATGTATTTAAGTTTTATCATGACAGAGAAAAAAAAAATATTGTAACGGTTTAAAATTCAAACTTTTGTGTTTCGCATGCTTTTTTCTATTGTATTTTCGAATATCTTTGTGGTTTGTTTTTCGCATGCATGCGGAAAAATATTCTTCCCTTGCGGATAAGTTTCTTATTTCAAGTTTGATTTTGAAAAATAATATTTTGAGTGGAATAGAAGAAAAGCTCAAAGACGTAGAATGTTGAAAACATTATTTAATTATCCAAAGATGATAAAGTAAGAATTGTAGTTGAATTTTACTTGTTATTAACCTGGATTTTTTCACTTTTAGACCCTCAACCATACTTTCAAGTTCTATGTCGGTTTTTCATCCTCATTTCGTAGATCCAGTTTTCAAAAGAAAACAACAGGATGAGATCTTACAAACACCAGAAGGCTTAAAGCTAAAGCATCTCCCTATAAAGCCGGCTCGGAATAATGACAACGACAGTGTTTTTCATAATGACCGTGTCAGTAAATTCACAAATTATATCATGAAATGTGGCAACAAGAAACTTGCTCGTGATTTGCTTAATAAATGTTTTGAGAATATGAAAAGAATTCAGTTAGCAAAGTATAACAAAGCAACTACTGAAGAAGAAAAGAGTAAAATTGTGACAGATCCAGTCACTATTTTAAACATGGCTATTGAAAATGCACGCCCAATACTGAATGTCTCTCCAATCAAACGAGGTGGTATTAGATATCAAGTTCCAGTACCAATCAGTGAGAAATATTCATACTACTTAGGATCCAGATGGCTTATTGAAGCGTCAAGGGAAAAAGAAAAAACAATTCACCTTCCTGAAAAAATGGCTTATGAACTGTTGGATGCAGCTAATAACGTAGGCAGAGTTGTTAAACGAAAACAAGACCTTCATCGTCTATGTGAAGCTAACCGAGCTTATGCTCATTACAGATGGAGCTAAATAATTCAAGGGAATGGATGTAATTGACAATGTTTACTTATAGATTGAATAAAAAGAAGAAAAATCTGATCAAGTTCTGCCTAAATTTTTCTTCATTGCACCAAGAAAATGTTCACTAAAACACCATTTTTTGATAGGTCGATCAATTTTATTTATGACTAGAAGCGTTTATAATTAAACATTTATAAGATTCTTTTTATATTGAGTCGATAAGATCAAAAGCCGTTGGAATTTCATTGAAAATAGAGCCACGTTTATATCGATACTTCAGTTTTCTTTCTGTGAACGGATCTTCGGTTTGTATGTCGATGGTTTCCGTGTTTGGAAGAACCAATCTAAAGGAAATTGCACAATTAGAAAGCATAAAAGAAAGATTTTTGTAGACACTCACCTAAAAGCATGTAGGAATAATCTTGGAGGTCTCATGTCGCTTTTTGTGGAAGTATTATAAGTATAATCACCAACAATAGGATGTCCAATCTCCAAACAGTGAATTCTGAGTTGATGTCTTCGATTAGTTGTCAATGGTAGCAGCAACAATTTTGTTACAGGTCGATCGTTAAAATATCCTTTTTCAAGCACTAAGAATTTTGTTATACTTCGCCTCGCATTTTTGCAATAGAGTTTCTCTCTCGAGCTGCACATTTTCTTCGATGTATCTTTGTATCTGGTATCCTCGCCGATATTAATATCTATGATTTCAGTTTCACAATCGACATGGCCATTGACGATTGCCAGAAAATAGAATTTTGAGAATCTCTGTTGTTCCAAACTATCCCAGAGTTCTTGAAATGCTTTTCGATTAAGTGGAATACATAAAATTCCTGATGTTGCAAAATCCAAACGATGTGCAAATAAAAATTCAGTAATTTCTGGTGCAAGAACATCTGGATAAAGTATCTTGAGTTGAGATGTTACAGTATTCTTTGATTTGTCGTTGGAATTTAGAAGGACATCATGTTTTTTGTTAATAATTAAGAAGTTACTGCTTTGATAAAGTGTTTGAAATGTTTCTTGATCCTTTTTCTTCTTGTGAAAACGCAGTACAATGCTGAATAAAAAATCGAAGAATCTTGTGAAAATTAATGTCAAAAAGTTTACAATTTTGTGAACCAGTTCATTAAAGAAAAACTGTAAGATCTTGTCAACAACTTCTTCAAAACTTATAATCATCTTTATATAATTTATTATATTTAAAATTTATAGCTAAATAGGTAAATAGAATCTTTTCAACGAATATTTTCTAATCGATATTTATTTTTATAATTTTTTTTATGAATGAAAGGAGTACGTTCAGGTGTTTTTTGTTTTTCGAATGAAATTTATTCAAATTTTTGATCGTTATAAAAATGTTGATGTTTTGAATCAAAGTAATGTCTCACTCCTTGGCAGCATCTTCCTTCAGAGAAACAGTTCGATTGAAAACCAAGTTATCCTTTGATGAATCAGAATCAACTGAGAAGAAACCAATTCGTTCGAATTGGAATTTATCGTAAATCTTTGCAGAAGTTATAGCTTTGTCTGCAAATGATTTGAGAATCTTTAATGAATCTTTGTTGCAATCACTTAAGAAACCATTGGGGACTTCATTAGGATCTTCAGGATTTTTATGCAAGAACAAACGGTCATAAAGTCTAACTTCAATTTCAAGAGGATTTGAAACCCATTGAATGAATGCTTTCGGCTTTTCAGACGTTTCCACTTTTTCACAGGAGCAAATCAATTCAAGAACTTTCCCATTTGCATCTTTCTTAACTTCAATGACTTTCAATACAACACCAGCATGACGAAGTCCAACAGTTTGAGTTAACGATAAACGACGGTATCCTTTCTCTGCGCTTTCTTTGAAATCAGAATTCTCGATATACACGACACGATCAAAAACAATTTCGTGAGTTGACTTGCAGTCAGTTTGGGCAGGAAAATCAGGAACTGTAAGCTTAACTGCTTTTTCTGAGATAAAATTCGTTATAGTGACTTTTAAAGGCTCCAGAACGACAAGTCTACGTGGGGCAGTGTCATTCAAAACATCTCGAACACTCGCTTCTAACATCATCGGATCAACAGTTGAAAGGGCACCAGTTACACCCATTCTAGCACAAAAATTGTTGATAGCTTCAGCAGGAAAGCCTCTTCGACGTAAAGCTGTGAGTGTAAACAAACGAGGATCGTCCCAATCGCTGACAACATTTTCAGCTATAAGTTTTGCTATTTTTCTTTTTGAGACGACCGTGTAATTGACATTAAGTCTTCCATATTCCCATTGAACTGGACAGTAAATATCAAGAGCGTTACACAGCCAGTAGTAGCTAGATCGACGCGATTGGAACTCTTTTGTACACATTGAATGTGTGATGTGTTCAATGCTATCACATAAGCAATGCGTGTAATCATAAGTTGGATAAATGCACCAATCATTTCCAGTTCTATGATGAGCAATGAATTTAATTCGATATGCCACTGGATCCACTTTTCCTTCTTCTAAAGTTACTTTCATACGAAGCGTTGCAGCTCCCTCATCGATTTTTCCATTCTTCATGTCTTCAAACAGTTGAACATTTTCATGGATTGGACGATCCCGCCATGGACTTAATTCTGTATTGAAGCCTTTCATTTCATCAGCAGTTTGATGACAAACATATGCAAGACCTTTTTCAATCAATTTAACTGCCCATTCATAGAGTTGCTGGAAGTTATCCGATGAATGAGTGATCGCATATGGTTTGTAGCCGAGCCATTCCACCATGTCTTTAATACCAACAAAGAACTTTTCTTCTTCCTTTTCTGGATTCGTATCATCATAACGTAAAAAGCAAATTCCATTGTGAGCCTTTGCATAAGCAAAATTAATGTTGATTGCCTTGGCATGACCAATATGCAAGATTCCGTTTGGCTCGGGAGGAAATCTTGTGCGAACTTTTCCCCCAGTTATTGCTAAATGTTCCTTTAGTAAGCGAGCAGTGTTGGAAGTAGCAACGTATCCGTCTGTTTTGTAATTCTCACCTGGAGCATGGAAATGAACTTTGTTTTTCATCAAATCCATAATTGAAATAGCAGAATCATCAACTGCATTTGTTACATTCGTTACCTTTGATTTTACTTCATTAACAGCAGGTTTTGAAGGCTTTTTTCCTTTTGCTGGTGGTGGAGCTAAATCAGCTTCCGTTTTAGGACCCAACAAATCAAAAATTTGAACATCAACTTCAGATTTCACTGCTTTTCCATCAGCCCATGGCAGTGACGTTCTGACTTCTTGCAAAATTTTACCAACATTGAATCGATATCTTTGTTCAGTAATTTCGGCTTTATTCTTCTTGATTACTTCTTCAACTGCTTTGTCTATCTCCTCAGGTGTTACAATAATTCCTACACCACATTTCTTTTCAAGTTCTGCCACGTTGATAGGCGAGTTACTAATTCCATGGTTTAACACATATTCCAGAGAAAAATCCACTCGAACAGTTGTGTCCAGTTTATTTGATGTGATTAATAACACCAACAATTCTAGGTGACTCAAAGATTGAGTCTTGATTTTAGAACAAAGATGATAAATGAGAAGGCCAGTTCCTTTAGGTAAGTTAGCGACATTTATGTTGTTTTTATCCAAAGCAGCTAGAGCTAATGAAAACGTCTTTGTCAAAGATGCATTCTTTAGAGTCTCCTTTGCTTTTTGTTCACTCAAACCAAGTGTCACTAATTTCGGCAGAAGATTGTCCATCTTATCCTAAAAAAATATTTTACAATCATAAGTTATGAATATTAATGAAATTAATGAGTTTTAATAATTAAGTGCCAAACTTGACAATCACTTTGATAAACTTTATTTCATTAATAAATTAAAATATTACAAAATCAACAAATTTTCTTACTTTTAACTGAGAAACCTGATGATGAAATCTCGTGTAAAAAGTAACCAAAAGCAAAATATTTTTACTAGCTCATGTACTCGTTAAATTTATGGGAATTTGAAAAACAATTGCGAAAATTATTATCGTCAAATGTTGAGATTATTTTTATTCCTGTCGAGGTCTGCTTGTCAATCTGATTCTGTCTTGAAATCAAATTCAATCAAATATCTAAATAGTTAGTAATTTTTTTATTCAAATATCCATTTAAAAAAATCCATTATAAATTAGAAATGCTAAGCTGTTTGAGTTAAAATAAATTAAATTAAACATATTCTTAATATTTATTAATTTTTCTTTAGATTAAAACAAAATTCATCTAATTTTTCCTTACAATCATTTTCCTCTAATGCTGTTAAACTGTGATTGTGTTTAATATGAAACACTGCAGCATCTTTCCTTGTAAAACTTGATTGACATCCAGGGATGAAACAGGGGAATCTGATCCCAGCATGTCCCATTTTATGAGTGAAAAGTCGTTTGGGATCAGAAAAGCCTTTTCCACATGCATCACAAACAAAACGTTTAAGTCTAATGTGAACTCTTTCAACATGTCTTTGTAAACGACTTTTATTCAAGAAATCCTTTTTACATTTTTCGCACTGAAAACGTCTTTCTCCATGAACATTCTTCACATGTACATAAAGCATTCGATTTGTAGCAAAATTCTTTCCACATTTATCACACATGTGATCTCTGTTCATGCTGTGCTTGTTGAGCTTATGATATTCCATTTCAGTCTTAGTATATGACTCATAATCGCAAATATCACAATGAAAGTTTTTAATTTTGTCATGCTTTCGTTTGATATGATCAACAAGACTACTTTGTCGTTTAAAAGTTAGATTGCATAACGAACAAACAAGTTTAGTTTTACTTTCTTCGTGGCATCTGTCCCAATGAAGATTAAGCATGACTTCATTAGCTGCAGTATATTCGCAATCATTGCATTTAAGAGTTTTTGGGAGATGATGAGCAAGCATGTGTCGTACAAACGTCGTCCTTGTATAAGTTCCGTACTCACAAAAGTCACAATAAAAATTCTTAATGTTCTGATGGAAAGCTTTAATGTGATCTTGAACGCCTCCTTTCAACACTTTTCCACATTCCGGACATATACTGGATTCTGATTTTCTTTTAATTGGTTTTGCGTGTACATTTTTAATGTGTTTATTAAGCTTATATTTATTGGCGCCTTTAAAATCACAATATTCACACTTTAGAGATTGACAACGAAGCATGTGACGATCCAAATTATTTACCTTAGAAGAGCAAAGTGGGCATGTAGAACGGGCAATATTTTTTGAAGCTCTTTTGACTTTCCCAATTTTAGTTGCATTAGAAGTTGTTTCTGCATTAAATTCATCTTTGATAATCATCAGATTTTCATTTGTTTCTAGTTTTACTTCTGGTTTTGAATTTTCTTCAAAATTCATTTCATAAAGTTCCTTCAACTCCTCAATATTTTCATTTTGAATTATTTCAAGGAATTTATTCTGTTTTGCAATCGTCAATGATCGGAAGTCACTAAAACGATGAATTTCATTCACACATTCATAACAAAAGTTTGATGCAAAGTTAGAGGACTGAAGATTAAGTTGAGTAATATCTTTTAATAGATTTAACAACTGATGCGAGTCAATTGGATCTCCAGTTTCATATGCTTCAAGCATTTTAAAGCAGCAACGACAATAACTAAAGCAGATGATATCCAATTTCTCCTCTGGCTCAATTTTTACACTTACAAATTCGTGATGGAATACTTCAGAATTATTAACTTTAGCTTCTTTTTTTGTTTTTGTCATTTTGCAAACTTTTCCTGGTTTACTTTTGCCTCGTTGTTTGCTAGAAGATTGCTGTGCCAGTTCTTGATTACATTTCCTTTTACTCCGTTGCATTTTTAATATGATATTGCGAAGTTTTCTCTGACAAATTTTCTACTTTCCGGTGAATCTAAAAATTTTCAAACTTTCAATATTGTTGTTTTGATTGTAAATTCGAAATTGAAAATTTTCGAACTCTTCAACCAGTCACGTTCAAACCTTGATGTAATGTAAAACTTTAAAATTTTTATTCATCAAAATCAGTCTGGAAATACAATTAAAAATTGACTTCAAAATTTAAAGTTCAAGTTCCTATTTCTATTTATTATTTAAGGTTTTTTTTTAGATTAGCACAAAACTCATTTATTTTTTTTATGCATTCATTTTCCTCTAATGTTGTTAAACTGTGGCTGTGTTTTAAATGAAACATTGAAGCGTCTTTTCTTGAAAAATTTGATTGACATCCAGGAATGAAGCAGGGGAATCTGATGCCAGTATGATCCATTTTATGAGCTAAAAGTCTTCTGATATCAGCAAAGCCTTTTCCACATGCATCACAAACATAGCGTTTAAGTCTAATGTGAACTCTTTCAATATGATTTTGTAAAAGACTTTTTATGACATATTTTTTTCCGCATTTGTCGCAACTAAATTGTTTTTCCTCATGAATATGCAGCATGTGTGCTTTTAGAATCTTATTTGTTGCAAAACCCTTTCCACATTTTTCACAAATGTGATCTCTTTTCATACTATGCTTGGTGAGCTTATGATGTTTGATATAGTTCTTATCATATGTCTCGAAATCACAAAGATCACAAGCAAATTTCTCTAAAAGCTCTAATGGCTCATGCTTTCGTTTGATATGATTATCAAGATTTGTTTTCTGTCCAAAAGTTACATTACATATCTTGCAAATAAACGACGTTTTCTTATGAGTTCTATTCCAATGAGCTCTTAATATTACTTGATTAGCTGCAGTGTATTCGCATTCATTACATTTAAGATTCTTTTCGAAATGTTGAATCAACAGGTGTTGCATAAACCCTGTTCTTCCATAAGTTCTGTATCCACATAGATCACAACAATAATTTTTGATTTTACCGTGTAAATTTTTGATGTGATCATAAAGACGTCTTTTGACAAATTTTCCACATTCCGGACATTCATTTGACTCTTTCTCTTCTTTAATACATTTTCCATGTTTTTGACGAATGTGCTTCTCTACTTCACTTTTATAACGTGCTTTGAATGTGCAATATACACAATTTACAGGATGGCAACGAAGCATGTGACGTTTCAAATGATGTACTTTTGATGAACAAATCTTACAAGTTGGACAAACAGATCTTCTTATTTTTTTTACTTTGACGATTTGAGTTTCATCAATAACATTTTCTGTTTGTTCATTCAGTTGTTCTGTTATAATCACTGAGCTTTCATTTCTTTCGGATTTCACTTCTTCCACTTGATTTTCTTCAACATTAATGCTGCAAAGTTCCTTCAACTCTTCAAATCTCTCATTTCGAATAATATGAGTGAATTTGTTTTGCCTTGCAACCATCAGCATTCGGAAATTGTTGAAGTTATGAATTTTATTTGCACATTCATAACAAAAATTTGGAGCATAATTTGAAGGGTAAAGATTGAGTTGAGTAATATCTCTTAATGTATCTAATAATTGATGATGCTCAGTTAGATCTTCAGTTTCAAATGTTTGTTGCAATTTGAAGCAGCAGCGACAATAATTAGTAGAGATGATATCCAAATTAAATTCCGGCTCAATTTTCACACTTACAAATTCTTGTTGGATTACTTCAGAATTATTAATCTGAACTTGCTGCTTTCTTCTTTGATTCTCTGTTTTACTTTGATCTACAAGTATCTTAGAAGATTGTTTTCTAACTTCTTGCGTACATTTTCTCTCACTTCGCCGCATTTTTAATCTGGTATTTTGGTGTTTTCTGTGAAATATTTGATGATTTTTGTTTTTCGTTGGTTCCTTAGGAATTTTTGTTATTGTTTTGAAATTTTCAATTTTCGAATTTCGAAATAATTTTTCAAACCCAGCTCAAGACTCGTTTATATCACTTTTCAATAGCACTGCTGCATATGGTGCTTCAGGAAAAGAATGAAATATCATTCAAGACTATAGACCTAGCTTGCTCACTTCTGACCTACTTGCTTGTTCAGCTCAGCTCTTCTTTTTTTCTGCTTGCTTGATTGTTCAAGCAAACTCGTCTATGAAATAAACATACAAGACTCATACGATTAACTTTAATTGAAGTATTTAAAATAATTTTCACCTTAAATATGTACAAGTTTTTGATCATCTGATATATCTACATTTGATATCTCTAGGTAGTGTCGCAAAAATAGCCAAGATGAAACATCATATTTTATATTTTTGTTTGTTGACTTCAGTTATCTTCTTTCACATAATTATAAAAGCAGAAAAAGTCTTCAACCCTCTTGACCAAAAAATATATGTTCGAGGTGTTCAATGTAATTTTTCTGAGCGCTTTGTATATCCCAATTACACTTGCTACGCAAAGTCATACAACCGTTCCTTTTCTACAATCAACGTTCGAGCTTTTATGAAGAAACCTGTTAACAAAATATTTGTCAGTAAAAAAAACTTGGAAATATCCTTTAATTGTTTTAATTTTCACTTCTCCATCTTTAGTTTTCTATGAAACTTTACTACAAATATGTAACAGTTTATCGCGAAGTGATGCAATTTCCTAGATTTGAATTTTGTAGTTTGATGGATTTTGGAACATCAAATAAGTTGGTAGAAGAAATATTTCGTAATATCAACTAAAGTTCTCCCGGATTACTTCATCGGTGTCCTTATTATGTGAGAAAATTTTGCAACATATTTTTAATGATATTAATTTTTTTTATTTAAAGAGTCTTGAAATAAAGGATCAACCAATCGTGTCTGAAACAATCCCTTCATTGATTCCATCGGGTGATTACAAAATGACTTTTTCCTGGTATACGGAGAAGGGAGTTTGGTTCCAACATACAACGGACTATCTCACTGTTGACTCACCTTTGAAAGAATCTTTTGGCAAATGATTAAAAAAAGTTTAGATCTCTAGAAATAAATGCAGCAAATAAAAAAGATATAATCAACATTTAACATTTTAAATTATTTAAAATTTTAGTTAGATATATAAACTGTCCGATATTTTGTTTTAAATATTGTCAATTTAATCGTCAAAGATGAAACATCATTATTTACATTTTTGTTTGTTGACTTCAATTATCTTTTTTCACATAATTATAAAAGCAGAAAAAGGTTTCAACCCTCCGGTTTATCAAAAAATATATGTTCGAGGTGTTTATTTATTGTAATTCTTCTGAGCGCCTTGTTTATCCCAATTACACATGCTATGCAAAGTCTATGCAAGTCATACAATCGTTGATTTTCAAGTATTAATATAAGATCTTTTATGAAGAAACCTCTCACTAAAATATATGTGAGTAACTGAGCTTTCTTTTGAACAAAGGGATTCAATCATTCAATCATATTCACTTTTAGGTTTTTATGAACTTTAGTACACATATGGAACAATTTATCGTGAAGTGATGAAAACTCCAAAAATAGAATTTTGTAACGTGATTGAGATGGGAATATCAAATAAGTTAATAGAAGAAATATTTCAAAAATTCAAAATCAAGGGATATTTTCTAAAGAAAAATTAATTTTAAGTGCTTTTTGCCTTTCAGAATAAGTTTAGAAGAGAAAATCAACTTAAATACCATGCAGATTATTGCATGATTCTAATTTGTAGGTGTTAATGGATGTATCGTTCGGATTATCATTAAATAAAACTGCGAGCATGCCCATAAATATTTCTGAATGCCAATTAAGTCAAATTGTGAAGCAAATAAAATAAAAGTAAAATTAGTTTTAAAACTGAAACCAGTGAAGAAAGTCGAATTTTAAAATGCGGAAATTAGTTTTCCTTATTTTTGTGATTCAAATAATAACTAAAGTAACTAAAGCTTATAATGAACATCCTGATACGCGTTATTGGACAAAAATATCTCACCCTTTAATTTATTTTGTTCACAATGATATTTTTGAAAGATATAAGGGAAGGTTTAATATTCTTTATTACAATTCGCCTGAAAGATCTGAAATGATGGAAGTACAAGATGAAATAAATATTCTTCTAACACAACTTTCGGGTGACATTATTTATCAACTTGAGGATTATTCCGAACCTTTACCAAAGAAAGAAAAGAATCCTCTAGGAAGAAGAAATAACGTCGTCTTCTGTTACACAAGAGAATCATTGCTGTCGTTTAGAGAGAAACTGAATTCAGAAAATTTTGATTCCAATAGTTATTTTCTTATCGTTTCTAAACCGAGAGATTTACTCGAAATTCCTAAAGTATTATCTGTGCTATATACAAGTTCATGGGCCACTGAAATTCCAAATCTTTTAATGATGATTCATATCCCAGGTAATCCTGACGTAATTTTGTATACATATTTTCCATACCAAACAAATGTGTGCAGATACTTAAGACCTCACGTAATAAATAGTTACGATCTTCAAACTCATAAATGGAAAAACCATAAATTCTATGGAAGTAAAACTCATAACATGTCTGGCTGTCCCTTACGAATTGCAACTTTCAACTTTGAACCGTTCATGATGGTCAATAAAAATGATGAAGGAAAGTTAATTGCCAGTGGCATCGAAGGCGATCTTTTAAATTTTTTGTCTGAAACGATAGACTTTACTCCAGAAATAATTTTGGCAGATGAGAAATGGGGAGAAATTTATGATAATGGAACAAGTTCTGGTGAGACAATTGAAGTTAATGATTGATTGTGGAGATTTATTAAATTTTATAATCAGGTGCAACGGAAATGATAGTCAACAAGGAAGCAGATATAGCAATAGGATATTTTATATCTCATCCTAATAGAGAAAGCGTGATGTTTTCGTCTCTTGTTTATTACACATCTAATGCGATTTGGGCTGTTCCACCTGGAGAAATGTATACGGCCTTAGAAAAACTCATGAAGCCTTTCGACACTTCATTGTGGATTGGTTTTTTCATCGTTCTAATTTTGGCGTTTTTAATTATAGAAATTATAAATTTTTGCCCTGAAAAAATTCAAGATTTTGTGTATGGTGAAAAAATAAGAAATGTGAGATTGAACGTTGTAAATGTCATGTTGGAAGTATCTTTACCTAAAATTCCAGCAAGAAACTTTGCAAGGACTGTTTTAATTTTATTTGTGGTTTATTGTTTCCTCATGAGCAATTCTTATAAAGGAAGTTTATTCAACTTCATGCAGAAAGATTTGAGAAATCCTCCTTTGGATTCAACAGAAAAACTTTTGCAAAATAATTTCAATTTTTATGCGATGTCAGCTTCTGAAACTTCTTTAAATGCAACACAAAACATTTTTAAGAGAACATCATTTGTAGATGATGAAAAGATCATTGAAGAAATTTATGATAATCTAACAGATTCATCATTTAAAAATGCTTTGCTGGTGCCAGAAGAAAGTTGGGCATACAAAAATATTCATTCAGAGTCAACAATAAATTATAATCGAGCAAAAGATGTAATGTTTCAGCAAAATATGGTAATCTACATGAACAAACTATCAATCTTCAAAGTAGAACTGGATAAAAGATTAAGGGAGTTAGTATGTTATGGATTTATTGATATGTGGGCAAAAAAATACACGACTTCAGGATTTTCTTATACAGATTCGACCCAAACAACTAAACAATTAAACTTAGAACACTTAGAAGGAGCTTTCTTATTGGTTGCTGTGGGTTGGTTTTTATGCATTTTCATTTTTCTGTTTGAACTTTTCTATTTTAAATTGAAGAAACTTTTGAAGAAAAATTAAATTCAATTCTTTGATTACAATCGACATGCAGAATTAATTAAAAGCAAAAGATTTCAAATAATGTATTGTAATTGTTGATTGAAATGAAATGTTTGTTGATCATTCACGATTGATGTTTTTATTCATGCATTAGCTTGAACATATTCTACCAACTCGCAAAATGTTTGCCTACATGCAACAATTGCAATTTGTCATGAAAATTGAATAAAGCACTAATCAAATAAAGTTTTATGACACGAAACGTGTGTTTGTTTGTTCTGATTTTATTCAAAAAATAGATATTTAGCTAATAATAAATAAATATTATTTGAACACTTCTAATTTCAATTAAACGAGTTGAATAAAATCTTTTAATGTTCTTTTTTCTAAACAATGATTCAATCATAATTGTTGAACAAATCCCCTAAGCTGGAGATGTAAAAATCAGGAACTTGATTTGCAAGATCCAAATCTGTGTCACCATTGTTGATTTGATTGATAATATCTTGAACTTTGTCAATCTTATGCACGCCGGTTTCAACTAAAAGTGTCTGGAAGTTGTTTTTCTTCCCAAACAAAATGTCAGTATTGAGGCGATCGCCAATCATTAAAAACTTTCTGCTGTCACGTTTAATCTCTTCTTTGAAGAAAATATCACACAACCAATTTTCCGGCTTTCCCATGACAACCGCTTTGCGCTCAGCGCAAGTCTCGATTGCCTTGACAATTGCACCAGTTCCAGGTACAACAAAGTTGGGCATTGGGAAACGCTCATCCGTGTTAGTTCTAATAAAAAATGGAATGAATAATACCTGAATTTAACATATTGAATTAAAAACTTACGCAACAAAAATTGTCGATGGATTGTTGAGGTAAGAAGCAGCTTTCATCATTTTTGGGAATGAGAAATTCTCATCAAAACCAACAATGACAGCTCCAATCTCGGGATCAGGTTTGAATTGTTCTTTAACAAGAGAAACAATAGTGCCATTCATGACATCAGGTCCAACTCCAACATGTTTTAAACCGACCAAATCTAATTCTTTCGATATCCCAGAACTTCCGACGATATAAACTTTCTTGTTGAAATTTTGTTGTTTTAAGTATTGAGCTGCAAGATATGCAGTTGAGATCATACCTTCCTAGTAATAAACAATTGAATCAACTCTTTAATATTTTAAACGCTGTAATTACTCACCATCCCGACATTAAAATTCATAGTTTTTGCTTTCTCAACCAACTCATCCCGGGTTTTTGTGCTATTGTTTGTTATGAAGTAAACTTTCTTTCCCATTTCAAGCAAACGATTAATGACAACATTACTATTCTTTAGAATATTGTTGTAAAGCCAAAGTACACCTGAAATTGTTTGTAATATTGTATGTTTTAAGGTATGAGGAGAAATATTTGTTTATGCTCACCATCGCAATCAGTTAAAATGACCTCAAATGAATTGATCCATTCACGGATTTGAGATTTACTAAATGTTGAAATATTGATTGGAAGCTTTGGTGCCATATTTGTGATGTATTCAGTTTGATTCACAAAATATTTGTTTGCAAAAATTAATGATTAAATACATGCAAAAATTGACTTTTAATTTTGCAAGCGTTTTTAACGAAGTAAGCTTTAATTGAAGCCTAATTCTTGACACCAGCTTTGCTACACTTAAGATACAATATTAAGTTACACTTTTATACTATGTTTGTTTCACTAATTTAGATCAAGCAATGGGGAATCAATACTTGATTCTCATTGAATTGAAAGGTTGTTGAAGGGTAACCGTACTCAGCTGTGTAGTAAAATTTATAACCCACACATTGACACATTGCAATTTCGAAGAAAACGCTGCTAACTTCATGCGGTAGATTTGAATGATAAAATACCGTTAAAATTGCTTAACGTAAGATTAGCATCAACATCGGCTTTTGAGATAAAAATTGATTATTAAACTATGAATTATAATACACTGCCTAAATTGATAAAAAATAAATTAGGTACCATGATTAAAATAGGTTAAAACATTAGAGAAATCACAGAGAAAGTAACCGATTGGTGAAAATAAAAGCATTTCCTAAAAAGATCATAGCCTATCAATCAATACTTGATTGACCTTTATTTTAATTTACAAAGCATTGTAGATTAATGGAGAAAGAAAAAAACTAAAAATGTCTTGCTATAATCAGCTGTTGCGTATATGAAAATATCATAATAAAAAGAAAGCATTTCTCAAAGGTCAAAAATAGCTGCCGGCTTTTCGATTGCTTTTATTAGATGAAAAAAAAAAGCTATTAAAGAAATCTTCTCTCACTCTCTAACTTTTCCGCTCAAAAAGATCTTGACATAAAAATATATTTCAATGAAAATCTTACGCCGAGACGATCCCTTCACTCTTTAAAAATTTGTTCCCCCTTTTCAGTTTCGAGTAGATCGTGGCCGAGTTTAAATGCGTAAAATCGCGCTCCACATAGTAAATAAATTTTATTTTGAAATATAGAAAAGCTTGAATAGATTTTTTATACTTTATTGGGTGCTTTTCTTTTCGTTTCTTCATTGCACACGATAGGCATACATACAGCGGGAAAATTCTGTTGTTGTTATTTTTAAATAATGTTCCGCTGAAAAAAAAACATAATAGGTGTTTGCTTTTAACATTCTCGTCACTGAAAACTAGTTTCGCAGGCAAAACTGATGTCTTGAAGGATATTTAGTAAATGTATAGTGAAGAGAAAGTGTGAAAAATCATATGAAATTATGATTCAGGAAGTTTACATAAATAAGTTTAAAAATCTCTAACGTTGATCGTTGCCAAACTCTCCATCAGTAGACAAATTTAATGATTTGTTAGCCATCTCGATGTTTGTTTTTCTCCCTCGCAGTGTGACTCAATTCAATTAATTTTCTTTTCATACTTAATTTCACGAACTAAAAGTTAAGAGATTTTTATTTATAAACACACGCGAAAAAATAACGCCAGAATTATTCATGCAAAATGTGTGTATAAGCCGAGTGATGATGTTTTAGTCTGACTTTAAAATGTTGTGAAAATTATCATTTTTCCGAACATTTATTTCTCTTCTTGCATTCTGACGAAAACTTTTGATAATTTTCAAGTGGAACTTTTACGCAACTGATGGCATTTCAAGTGAAAGAAAGAAGAAGCGAATACATTTACTTATGATGAGAATTATGCATGCATGGTTTCGACATGACGTGCAATGTATGAAGAATATCATTGTTAATGATGTGGAACCGCTTCAAGAAAAAAACGAGTAGGGCATATAATAAAGTTTATGCCGATTATCAAAGCGCAAAGCTATTCTTTTTGTTCATCGTCTCAGAATCTGCTGAGACGAAAGAATCACAAAAAAAAATTCTGAGAATAGAAATTAAGTGGTGGAAAACGAATGTTCAAAAGTAAAAGGAAACGTACACTCACAGATGTAAAGTTTGTGCTTCAAGCAGTCGGCAGAACATTTAAGTCAAAAAGACAATGACAAATATTGTGTATAATAAATTAAAAATTAATTGAATTTTTGGCGTTCACATTTACTCGTATGCTAACTTTGTCATGAATGAGTAAAGTTACGCTGATAACTTAACGAACAGCGATTCAATTAACTCAATTAACCATGTTCAATTGAAAATTCGTGAATCACAAATAAATATTAGATAATCGTTAACTGTCTATTTGAGTACACTTTCAATATCATCATGTTTCATGAGTCAGAAGCCAAAAGAAAATGTTTTCACATTTTCACAGTAAAGTGACGGAAAAAGAGACTTTCTCACTTGCAGCTGAGTCCTCAAGAAAAAAAAAGAAAAAAATCGTCGCCGCTGCTATTTATAAACATTTCATTCCCATCTCGTTTCATTCGGTTCTTGTTGGATAAATCTTTTCAGTCTGCTTTTTCTTGTGAATGAAACAAACCGCGATCGTTAGCAAGAGAAGCATTTGTATAATTCACTTATATTTATTACATTTGTCGATAATTTGATAGGGTGCAATGATCACAAGTCTTTAGAAATTTCACGGTTGATAAGATTTCTTACGAAAACGTTTTGTTCTGTAACTTCCTTTATAATTAAATAACTTAAAAATTTATGTTCAGTGTGATTTTTAAATTATTTATTTCATTGATAAAAGTGCAAATGCATTAAATTGTATAATTTAGAAATATTCAACAACTTAGAATGCGTTAAAGATTCATCATTTTAATGATCCAAATTTAGACAAATATCCTCATCTAAAGTGTAGAAGAAACACCAAATTTTGAAGATATTCTGAGCAGGGGATTTCCTCTTCGTCTCTACTTCACAGCCGTGCATCAAAAAAAAAAAATACAAAACTATTAATGACTTCAAGCGACAGTTGTTTTCACTCATAAAAATATAAATTTTCTGTGTATATTCTAAAACTCTTGTGAAGAGTTGTGTAAAGCTGGTTATTCATGTTTATGCCTATCGTGCGTGAAGCTTATGACGAAAGAGGTGAACATCCAAAAGAAAGACGCAGATTGATCGTGATACTATGAATCAATAAATCTTCATTTTAATCCTACATCGTAACAGAAGCGATCCAATTCAACTTTCCTAATGTTCTACTTCCATCGTGATGAAATGAATTAATTTGTGTTATCTTCGTTAAAGAGAGAATGAAAAAATCCCAATAAAAGTTTCAACAGTTTTGGCATTAAATCGACGTAAATGTATCGAAAACAATTAAGATTAATTGTTAAATTGCGTTTGGCCTTGCGTGTACAAACTTAATGCAATTTAATTCTTAATTCGTTCTTTTTAAATGTTCTAGGCTCTCATATTGGAAAGGGAAGTAAACAGAGAAATTATGTAAAGATCTATATGGAGTTATCATGTGAATGATGTGTTTATGACAATACCGGAAGTGCCATAAATGTATTAAGTGAAACGTCTAACAAATTTAGAAGACGAAAATACAAATTGAAGTTCAAATACTTATTTATGTGAGAAGATCGATGGATCAAATACTTAACATATAAACTCAAATCTTATCACGTTCGAAACTTTTGAATAAACAAAATGAAATCCATTTATTATCTAATAAACATTAAAGAGAGAAAAGTGAAATGCTGCTGCCATATAATCGTTCGAAAAATCGAATAAAAGTGTAATTTAGATAAAGAATTTCTTTTCTATTCTCTAACAAATAAAAACAATTAAAAGGAGTGTTGGTTGGATAAATCTAGCTTGTGAAAATATTTGAAGGGTTATCTTACACGCTTTACTATACAAAACCGACTGGTGGCAAAGAAATAAAAAGAAAACAGAAACAGAAGTGAAAAATATTAAATTATCGATGCCACATGTTCTCATAATGGATCTTAAACACAATTTGCTGCTGTTATGGATACTTCTAGGATTATTTTTATCATGTGTTGATGCTGTCAAAGGTATTTGGTTTGATTTATGATTTATGTAACAATGTTTTCTTGTGAATATGATCAGATGTTGATTGAGTATTTAAAACGATCATTTGCTGGTTTAGAAACTTCGACCTTTTCCAGTTTTTATCAAAACAAACATTTTGTTTGTGCCACATGTTGACAGAAAAATTTTTTTTTGCTTCCATTTCATGCGAATCTGAATTAATAAATCATAGACATAAAAAAACCAAAAAGAAAATGAAGTCACTCTGTCATTAAAATTAAACATCAAAGTGGAAATATAATTCAGCATTCTTATTTCCATTTTCTATTTAAATAATCTCACTTTGCAGGATTTGTCGACAGAAAATTTCAACCGTAGAAAACAAGCGCGTCTTGATGGAGATTCATATATTAATTATATGTGTTGATTTTTCTCATTAATTTCCATAAACATTATTCAGCTCGCGACTTAAAAATAACATTGAAAACTTTTATTTCGTTTCTTCATTACATTTACTTTTCATTTTCAAATTAACACGCGATTCCCATTGACGACGTTGGCATATCAAATTTCCACAGATCTCAATCGAATATCGTAAAAAGTCAAAACTTGATACACAGAAATTTTGTTTCTTCCCTGTAGCTTGCTGAAAATGTTTTTCTTTTTATCAAATTTCAAATTCCTAAAATAAAAGTTTTAGATATATTTAAGACCCAAACGAAAAACACATAAATTTTATGATGATTCAGAAAAGTTTCAAATAAAAAAGTCAGGAAAAAATGTTTTAGAAAGTATTTGGTCGACTTGTCTTAATTATGTCCGCATGTTTTTTATGATAAAACATTTCGGACTGATCTAAACTAAATTTTCTTACTTTTTGATCTTCTAGACTTTTTAGAATTCCCTGAAGAGTCCCGCCGTGTTTAAAAGCCTACAGCGTCACCCATTAAAACTGTTTAATTCAGATTTATTTTCAAAATAAATATGTCTGCGAAGAACGGAAAATTTTCCTTTTCGCGAGAAAATAAAACAATTTTGTTGAGTCTGTTGACGAGTTCGGTCATAGACCTGATACTTTGTTTTCCTTAATTAGATTATATCCCATAATGTGCAGTAATTTATGGCGGAAAATTCGGATTTTATAGGTGACAAAGTGGAAATGCTTGTTGAGAGAAAGAAGAAAGCCAGCGGTTAATGTAGATCAAATGAAATAAAATAAAAACTAAGATGAATGGATCAAGTAGCAAATATAAATCTTAGTTTCGAGTTGTTTCATTTTTCATAAAGCTGATTTCTTAATTTTATTAATTTCGTTATTAGATGTGTCGCCAATATTTACATAAAAACTGTTTTGATTCCTTTTTGTGGTTCATATTCAATTAAAAAGTTTTATTAATTGATGAATAATTACAAGAGACTGAGATCAAGACAACATCTAATAAATTATTTTTAATGAGACTGATAGTCGTTGTTCTTATTCATTAATTTATTTCACAACATGTATGAAGGTTTTAAAACTTTTCATTTTCGTCCATGAATCCAAATTTTCGCGAAAACATTGAAACGTCAAGTGAGAATTGCTTTCGCTGTTCCATTTCCAAATAAATTTCATATCTAAGCATCTCCAAGAATACATATGTTTGATGCTTAACTTTGACAGGCTAATTTATGAAACTCTAAAATGTTTACGACTGCTGCTTACGTGGGCAATGTACGAATTTTACGTTCACAGGAAATTATTTCTTTTTCATAACTTTTCATGACATTTTAAGAGAAACCAATAAAATTTTTAAATCATTAATTTCAAACGTTCCTAAGTTAGATAACATCAGTTAAATAATTTCCCACCATATAGACCTGAATGTTGAATGTTCCCATGTCTAAAGAAATTTTACACAACATGAAAAATATAAAAAAAAAGTCCATTGAAGAAAATTATTTTTCGACTTCTATTATTAGAAGAAACACGAAGGAAAAATCCGAGTGGCCTGAATGGGAGAAAGAGCAAAACTTGTGTCGATTATCGTCACTCTCTACGACTTATAGTAAAGATCTTTCATCAGCAGTGAATAATTAAATGACGGTTTTCTCTCTCGTTCTTTCCCATGTGGTTTTTCGCTTAACATCGTCTGCCTTTTGTACATAGAAATTTTATTTTCGGGGTTTTCACGCACAATGAAACAAATAAAATAAAATGGGTTGGTGCACGATTGTAAACGTCGTTTGCTTCATTTTTTTTGGGGTTCAAGGTTGCACTTACTCAATCGCATACTTACTTCTTCCGACATGAATGTTTATTTTGATTCATTCATTCATTCAACTTGAAACATTGATCAATCTTGTCCCATATGTCGGCTGTAATTGTTTTATGACTTTTTCTTTTTATTTCAGTTTCATTTTTTGGCGCGAGTCATATCAACATGCCACTACAGGAAGCAAAGCTATCAACAAACATTCGATTAAAGTTTCGATCGCGACAAGATAATGCGATGATATTTTTGACATCTGGAAGAACTGATCATTGTTTGTTGACAATAAATGATGGACGAATAAAGTTTCAGTTGAAGATTAACGAATATGAAACTGAAGTGAGTTGTAATGTCAAATGAAAATTGTTTTTAATTAAATTTTGTTTTCAACTTTCACTCATTAATAGCTCTGGTCACCAAAGCAATTTACTTTCAATGATCTTGTATGGCATGAAGTTGTCATCCTTCGATATGAAACGAATTTAACATTACAAGTTGATGATCATTTTGTTCGTCGAACATTACCGACTGATGTGAGAGAACTTAACGTTCACTTTGGAGCATTTCTTGGTGGTGTCGGCGGTTACAGTTTTTCCTATCTAAACGGAATGGAAAACTTTCGTGGATGCATTTCTGATGTGTTCTATAATAACATAAACATTTTAAAACGTGCACGAGAAAAATCAAATCACGTTGAAACTGAAAGAATCTCATGGAATTGCGCACCAGAATTTGATGCTGAAATTCATGAGACAATAAGTTTTGTTGATGAAGTAGAAGGCTTCATGGTTTACAAGAAATCAATTGATACAAGAAAAGCAAGAAATGGCGACATTTGGTCATTTGACTTTCGAACTGTTGAAGAATATGGAGCGATAATGTGAGTTGAAATTCGATTTTATTTGATCAAAAATCTTCATTTTTTTCATTTCAGTTATAATATTGAGTACTCGAATCGCTACGATTACATGGCGCTTGAAATAATCGACAGCCGCTTAAGACTTCTTGTTGGTAAAGGTTCAAATGCTGTAGAATTAATTCCCGATAAGAATGTCACTGATGGTCAATGGCACAGCGTTATCATTTCTTACAATCCCAGTGAAGTAAAAATCTCAGTTGACGATGTTTTAAATGCTGCTGCTTTTGCCAATGGAAGTTCAAATTATCTCGAACTTGGTAATGAGTTTTACATTGGTGGACTAGATGCAGAAACGATAAGAAAGAAAGCAGCTAACAAAGGATTTCATGCAAGAGATGTAAGCTTCAAAGGTTGCCTTCGAAACATTTACGTCAACTCAGATCTTGTTGGATTTCCAACAATGAAAATCACTTATGGAACAGCTGTCGGATGTGTTTGGAGATATCCATGCATTGAGAGTTCTCCATGTGTTTTAAGTGCAACATGCCATCAACAAGGAATCGACAATTTTATCTGTTCATGCGATCAGAATTTCTGTATTCGAACTGATTATCATGAGCCATACAAATTATTCACATCTTTCTCACCACCCGAACACATTCCATTGCTAGAAGTCAATCCGATGGAAGTAATTGAAGGTGGTTACAAGTTTCTATCTCCAGATTATGTTCGTGTTGTTTTCGATTTCTCTCGACTTAAACTACACGAATCAAATGTTCTGTTCAACATCACACAACAACCGAAGTATGGAAAGCTTGCAATTCTCGGAAGTGGCGAACATCACAATGAGACGCATTCAAGAATCTTTTCATTAATTGATCTTCAAACAGATAAAGTGAAGTATATGCATGATGGATCTGAACATTTAAGTGATCACATGGGACTTGAGATGCAATTTGGAATGAAAGATTCAATTGGAATAATTCTTGAGAAACGCAGATTCATTCTACATGTGAATGTTACGCCAGTTAATGATCCACCGATACTGGCACTCCCACCGAACAAGATTCTTCGTTTAATTCAAGGAATTCCGAAGGTCTTAGGACCTGATTTATTGACTGCCATCGATCCCGATAGTTCCAATTCAAGTCTGATCTTTACAATACTCATGAAACCGGAATCTGAAGGTGAGAATGGCGTACTGGAAGTCAATGGGAAGCAAACTGATTCATTCACTCAAGAAGATGTCAATAACAAGATTGTGACTTATCTTGTCAACTCGCAACATCACGAAGACACTTCATTTGACATTGCTTTGCAAGTTTCTGATGGAATGGAAACCAGCGGATCTGAAGCATTGCATGTGTCAGTTCAGCCTTTGCAGCTTCGAATGATGAACAATACGGGTCTGGTTATGATCCACAAATCGCCTTCATTCATCACACCTTGGAATCTCTCATTCAGCACCAATTCTGATGATGATAATCTCGACGTTCGATATGATATTGTCAAGCAACCACATCATGGAACGATTCAGAAACTTCGATCAGTCGATTCATCGTGGATATCTGTTGAAAGTTTTACCAGCAATCAATTGCAATTGGGACAAATTCGTTATCTCCACACATCATCAGAATTTCCGCAATTTGATGAATTTAAATTTACAGCGACTTTGGGTTCTGTTCGATCTTCAATTTATGATTTCCGAATAACATTTACAAAGCTTCGAATTGGAATACAAAAGCATCAGAATAAAGTCATAAATGGAACGAAAGATTCGGTGATTGAGAATGAATATTTGTATCATCAGACAACTCCAATTCCATCATTTAGTCGAACGATTATTTACACGTTGTTGACAGTTCCACGTTTTGGAATTCTCTACGTTGCTGGTTATGATGGTTCAGCAAAAGCAGGCGATTCATTCACTCAATATGACATTGATGAGCGGAGAATTCGATATAAAACTTTCAGAACTTCATATTCAACTTTTGTTGACGATCTCGAATTTATTGTGACGGTTCCCGAGTGTGAAGACGTCATTGGATCGATTAAATTGATTTACAATCCTGATGAAGAATTGGCAAGCACTTTAAGTTACCAAAGAAAAGACAAACTTTATGTCAATGAAGGTGAACGAACGCCAGTGTCACGAATTCACTTTGATGTTCTTCTCAACAGATTTAACTCTTTAACATTCAATCTAACGCATCCACCAAAACATGGCGATTTGTGTTTAGTTCAACAAGACTACCGACAATTCATCGAAACGTTTCAACTTGAGAATCTTTATCTTGGTGATGTTTATTACTGTCATGATGATTCGGAATCAACAGAAGATTCCATGAAGATTTTAATTCTTTCCGACTCTCAAACCGACTTTCAATATATTGCCGAAATCATCATTGACATTGATCTTCAAAATGACAATCCACCTGCACGTTTGATCGAGAAAAAGTTTCCAATTGTTCGCTATGATTCTAAATTAATTACTTCAATTGATTTGAAATATTATGATCCTGATATTGATTCGAGAACTGCTGACATTATTTACAGAAATATTCAATCAACAAATGGTGAAGTTATGATTGGTGGCATTACAATTCTCTCATTTAATCAAGATGATTTGGACAATTTACGAGTTTACTTCAATCATTCAGGAGATGATTTTGGAAGTGTCATCTTCACTGTCACTGATGGAACATTTGACGTTCCAGGAATGTTAGAAATCGAAGCTTCTGACCCATTTTTAAAGATTATTGAAGCAAATGCATCGATTGTTCAAGAAGGACGATTAGTGCCGATAACATTGGATGATCTCAGCATTGAAACGAATCTGAACGTCAAACCCGAGCAGATTGAATATAAAATCATCACAGATCCTGTTCATGGCGTCTTAAAATATTATCGTAAGAAACTGAATCTTACATACTCGGGAAACAATGTCACGTCTTTAAAAAATTTTACTCAAGCTGAAATAGAGAAAGAACGAATTGCTTATATGAACACTGAAGTTGCTTCCATGGATCGATTCAAATATCGTGTCACAGCGAAGGGTGTTTGGACAGAAGGAGAAGTTTTGATCAGAATTTATCCATCAACATATTGGGAGCCGCTTCAAATTAAAAGAAATCAAACACTTTATGTTGAAGAGTCAACAAGCATTACGATAACAAGAGATGTGCTTGAGATTGGTCATCCAAACATTTCACCAGGTGAGATGAAGATTTACAAAAGTTAATCAAAATAAAACTAAAATAATTTCTTAACAGGCGACATAACGTACTTGGTTTCAACATCACCTCAACATGGTTACCTAGAAATTCAATCGATAACATCCGATGATGAATACAACTCGAAAGTCTTCGATCAGTCGACGATAAATTCAGAGAAAATGTTTTACATTCAAGCTGGTGTTAATCAATCTACAGATTACTTCATGTTCGATGTAACGAACGGAATTTATTGGTTGCGAGATTTACTTTTGAAAATTGTTATCATTCCGGAAAATTTATACATCAAAACACGAAATTTGCTTGTTGAAGAAGGAAAGTTTGTGAAACTTTCTCCTGAATACATGACGCCTTACTCTGAATATTACATTGGAAAAATTATCGAATATAAAGTTCTTGAACTTCCTCGATTTGGATCGTTACGGTCTGGTAAGTCGTCAAAGATTAATCGCTTTACTCAGAAGCAGCTGGAAGCGGGCGTTGTTCAGTACATTCACAGTGGAAGTGAAGATCACTTCGACACAATGAAGCTTGTTGCTTATGGAAAGAACAAAGAAAGTTTACCGTTTTTATTGAATATCGAAGTTCAGCCAGTTAACGACGAGGTTCCCATCGTAACGACAAACACAGGCTTGCAAATGTGGATTGGTGGGAAATCTGTGTTAAGAAATTCTGATTTGTGTGAGTATTCTGATTGAAAATTTAATATTTGACGATAATTTACTTCTTGTTTTTCCTTTACAGTGACCCAAGATTACGACACTTCACCTGAAAACTTGATATATTATGTACAACATCTTAGTGGCGGATATTTAAGCTACCGAAATTTGTTTAATCGCAAAATTCACAACTTCACACAAGACGACATAAATCGGGAAAATATTTTCTTCATTAATGATCACAATGGACAAAGTGGCCAAAATGGTCAAGTCGTTTTTTATGTTTCTGATGGCATTCACAATACAACTGAACAAGTTCTTTATGTGACTAGTAACGCTGTTACATTAGAAAGTGAACATAATGAATTTCTTCATGTCTTTCCATTGACAAGAAAGCAAATTCTTCCCGAACAACTTCATTACAAATGTTCTGATCTTGATCGTGAAATTAATTATCACATAACCGTCTTACCTCAAATCGGTAAAATTATCAGAGAAGACACGTCACTTGGCGTCGTAGAAGAAGTTAAAAGATTCACTCAAGACGATATTGAGAATGGTCGAATTTTTTATGAACACACATCACCAATGGTTGAACTTCGAACCAATGATTCATTCTTCTTCGATGTTAATGCATTATTTGCTCCAACACTCATTGATCAAGTGTTTAACATTGAGATTTCAGTTTCTTCTGGTGGACTTTTAAAATTCCTTCCAAATATTAAAATTGAAGTCGATGAAGGTGACCAAGCACCGATTCGTCTTGATTTGTCGAGAGTGTTGGAATATCTCGAGACACGTGTTGCCATCATATCACCTGAGTTGTATGTTGAAACATATCAACCAGCTCATGGCATCATCAAGACAATGGATTCGCGTAAAAATATAAATCGATTTAATTTGAATGAGTTCAATGGAAATAAAATTTATTATCAACACGATCATTCAGACACAATTGAAGATAAGATTTCGATGGCCGTTTATCTGTCATTTGGAAATATTTTCCTATGCAACATCACAATTCCTGTGACCATTCGTCCAAAGAACGATCAACCGTTTTATTTGATGACGACATCGCCACGGATTTCTGTCATTGAAGGAGAAAATAAAACAATTACAAACTTTGATTTGCTCACGGAAGATGCTGACACATCGCCCGAGGGAATTATTTATGACATCAGTGGCGGTCCAATTCATGGAATGTTACAAAAAATATCTGATGAAGGTTACGTTCAAAGTATTGTTTCGTATGGAAATCAATTCACTCAAGCTGATATCAACAGCAATCGAATAATTTATACGCACTCAGGAAGCCCTGAATCTACGACATTTTCATTTCAAGTTTGGGATGGTGAACATAAGCCAGCTTTTGATACATTCTCGATTAAGATTCTTCCGATTGAAATTCTACCTCCAACTTCCCCAGCACAACCAATGATTGTTCAACAAGGATTGAATGTTGGAACGCTTGAATCGAAGCATGTTCCAATTGAAACAAATGTTCAGAAAAGTCGATTGATTTACAACATCACTAGACTACCAAATGGCGGCGTTCTCAACAATAATCATAAGCAAATCTTTCGATTTAATCAACGACAGTTGGAAGATGGAGTCATTCAATATGTTCAGAATGATATGACACGAAGTAATGATTCGTTTCAAGTTAATGCTTATATTCCTGACTCGTCTTCTTCCCTTATTGTCGACATTTTGATTGTCGTTCAACCTTTCATCACAATCAGTCCAATTTATATCACGCCAGGAGGTAAAATACGATTGTCATCAACATTTATTCAAGACAACCCAACACAACTCAAATTGAATCGTTACAATCCAAAGATTTTCATCACGAAACGTCCACAATATGGGAAGTTGAGGAAAATTCGACGAAGCACTGGCGATGTCGAGAATGTCAACGACAAGGAAGTGACAACATTTACTTACAAAGAGATGAAGAGTGGAATCATTTATTATGTAGCAAGGAAATTTCCGTCATCGTTCACAGGAATGAATGATTCTTTCGAATATATTTTAACAACGAAATCAGCACAACCAGCTCAAGGAGTTGTTCCAATAGAACTTCATTCTTCACTTTTGTCTGGTGAAGATTCATCACAACCTGATGTTGTTGTCGCTGATTCGACTTTCCTGCCATTTGATATTTTAATTCTTGTCGCAATTCTCATTGCCATAATCGTTCTTCTCATTCTTCTAATTCTTTTTATCAAATGTCGATCAAGTAGTAAGAAAATGAAGTCTAAAGATCCACCACAACTTCCACGTCCACCTGACTTTATGACTATCAATAATACAAGAAGCATGTACACACCTTCAGAAAACGAATCTCTTCCAGTCACACAATCATCAACTCCACTTCCTGTTCTAAGCAATGTCCCGCACTGTAAGGTCATCCCAATTGGATTGGACATCCACGATTCTGATCCTGAAGACATGATCGATATGCGAGAAGATGCACGAGAGCAAATGCTTCGATATGCAGCATCTTACAATGATGATCCTGAAAGTTGGACATCTTCAATTGGTGACATGATGGGAACAATTCCTGAAATGACTTATCCATCATCACTTGCCCAACCCCAACATATTCCACCCAAGATCAATCCATTACTTCGACGGAATCAATACTGGGTTTAATTTTCATTTAAAATATTTGCAACAAGGAAAAAATTTGAACTGAAGATGATTAGCTTTAAATTTAAATTTTTCTTTGCCTTTTCAATGAAACTTTTGCAGTGATTGACAAATTTTGTGTCACTGTTGAGTTTGAATTTCTAACTAAAATGAAAACTTCGAGATTTTCTTTTTCTTTCACCTTTTTTCATCACAATTTGTGACATTATTTATACTGAAGATGGTTTAATACAATTCAATAAAATGAAAGAATTACATTTTAAGTCCTAATTTAATTTAAACCGTGAAAGATTTTTTGTAAAATATAAAATTACTTAAAGTAATTTACTTAAGTCATATGAAAAGTATAATTAAATAAAACCGAGTGACTTGAAAGCATTTTCCACAGTTTTGATTGGACGGTAGTTAGACGAGAAATGTTTGTGATGTTTGAATTTCTTAAAAAGTTGTTTCAATTTTCGGTTTCTCTTCACCGACTGGAGTTAATTGTAAAGCTTTGTTATCGTAGGAGTAATCAGTGTTTACGACACTACTTGTAAGAGTATCTTCAGCGGGATGACGGGAAATTGGTGTACTGACAGTTTTCTGATCATATTCTGTTCCAGTTACTGTGAATATCGAAGAAGTTCGATTGATGTTGATTTGATGGTTGTTTTGATGTCGTCGCATCTTTGGACTTTCGGTGTTTGGATTTGCCATTGTTACTGGTTCAATTGGGATTTGTTTCTTTCCCTTTTTCTTTATCGAGTTAAATGCATGTCTGAAGCATCTGAAAATCTTCGTTCCATTAACAGCAAAAAAAAGAATCAACAGCAGCAACGTCAAGATGAATGTCACGCTAAGATAAATTTTCAGGTTTTGTATTTCAGCTGAAAATCAAAACAAATTAGCAAGTTCCACTAATGATCTATGTGTGTAAATAATTAAATTAAATTACCTGCATAATCTGAAAGTTTTACAAAGTTGCGATCGTGAAGATATTCTGAAAAATAATTTCAACATAAAAATATTTTTCTTTTGCATATTTCCGCCTACAAAATTAAAAAACATTTTTTCAGTATCGAACATTTAACTTTACCTCGACATTCAGCCATGCAAACTTCTTGATCAAAGTTATGATGTGTCTCGTCACAAGTCATTGCACAATCTTCACACTCTTGATGATACGATGAACAGAACTGGTAAACATCACAAAGTTTCGTTCCACATTGAGAACCTCCAACAGCTAAAGTTGAAAATGCTGTCGTGCTCAAAGGCATTGTTGTGACTAACGGTAGCATGTTGTTGTTCTGAATTGTTTAACAATCACGTAAGTTTTATTTTTTTGCAACAATTTATATAACTATGATGTCAGTTTTCTAAATATGTACTTTTGTCTTATTATCACTTCAAGCTTTTATCAAAAATATTTTATTTCTTTTTCACAAGAAAAATATTTTCACCAACAAACTTTACTGTTGAATGTATAAGCACCAAATGACTCATCCGCAGATACAATCACGGTCAAATTGTTTCTTTTTTATTTTTTAACAGAGATTTTTTATGAAGAAACCAGTTTGTTCTTCAATTCGTACTTTTCCACCGTCAAAGCCCAATTCGACGTCATAGACGATTTATGAGAATTATTGATGGATGTTAATTCTAATCTTAATTATTGCTAATGTGATGTTTTTTCGTTTGAATTCCAACAAGAACGCAACAGGTAATTTCTGCGACTTCACTCAAAGCACCAACACTTAATGACTGAATATTGTGGAAGAAAAAATAAAAAAATTTGTTGCTACATCCAAGTCATGAAGTTTTTTTATTGGTGTTGATTTGTTGAGTTTTCATTGTTATTATTTTATGAGAAACAGAGAATAAAATGCAAAATGTACAGGTGAATGTGAGATGGAGATTAATTTACGTTTGTATAGAAAACCATCAGAGATATCTACAAAACACAATGCTAAAAGAAAGATAAATAATTTATTTTACTGTAGTATTAGTTTGGATTTAATTCCTATCAATTTAAGAGTCTGATAAGACTGATCAATAAAGATAAGTTCAATAAGATTGATGCTCAACATTGAAATTGGAAAAAATTTGAAAAGATTTCAATTGACGGATAGAAAGAATCCTAAAAGGATTTTTAATCATTTCTTTTTGGAATTTTAACGGCTTTTTGCAATTCATTCCTTTTCTCTTTTATGCTGTCAGCGCCATAATAAACATAGATTTAATAGCTTACAAAGCTGGTTTTATATTTTAACTGACTGTCATGAATTCAATGAATAACTTTCAGTGAAACCTGCACAACATTCCATTCAACCGGATATTCGCGTCTTGTAATATTTATCGCGATTCTTCCTCGTCTTGTCAAATTATTGTTGTAAAATTTTTCATTCTTTTTGTGTTTTGTGTACGTCTTCAGTGTTTTTGTTTCGTTTGATAATTTCGGAAGCAACCGAAATATAAAATCATTTTTATTTGATATCAAATGTTAAACAGTGAAGTCATAGAAGTTATAAAAGTTTGACAAATAAGATGACGGAAACTCAAAAAAATCTCAAAGGAAAAGTGAAGTCAGGTAAATTTGAAGACCTTTAATTGCCATTCGCTTACGCTTGATATGATGGGAAAATAATTTAAATTAGATTCACCATTGTTTTGAGTGCAAAGCAATCTTTTTCATCTTTAAAATGCCCTCATTTCTTTTGTCTTTCGACATCAATTAACGTCTTTTGGAAGTTTACAGTCAATTTGATCTTGATTCATCAATGCTTTCTTATTTTGATGACAAGATTTTGTGAAATTGTTGAGTCAAGCTGCAGTGTAAAGTACTTTAATGGGTTTATTAAATTTGCAGTGTGATGAGATTAAAAAAAGGTCAATAGAATTGTGAACATTCCAAATATCCAGTCACTTGCTATATTGGAAGAGTGGAATAACTTTTCATTACAGTTGTTGTAAGAAGTTTACTAAACTCGAAATAAATATTTTTACGATCCTCTTAATCACGACTCATCCACATCACCTAAATTATAATCGTTTTTGGAAGTACAACAAAGAATTAAGCAAATTTCTCGGTCTCCAAAATAAAAAAGTTTCTCTTTCCGCTCACATGAAAGATAAAACTTCGTTCGTCTCAGCGTGTAATTGCAGTTACAAATTTCATTTCTTCTTCTTTTTATTTATGTTTTAAGATAAATAAACTAAAGATTGCTTTACGATTCAGACGACATCATTCATAGATGAATCATAATAATTGTACTTTCAGAAAAATTGAATCATCATTGAATGGAATATTCATACCCTTAATGAATTAATTACTGATTTATGCTAATTTCGATTTCATACTCAATTAAAAAGAAATTTTTGAACATCAGGAAATCATTAATGTACAAAGTTTCATTATTTTCCACATTAAGAAGAAGATAACCACGAAGAACAATCAAAACCAATATTTTTGGATCATAAATTTTCTATTCATGATGCTTTTGAAAATAATGTTACTTCGTTAGTGGGAAATTGTCGATTAGCAGCGCACTAGTTGACCATGAAAAAAAATATAATAGAAACGGGTGCAGCTTCAGTTTTTTTTTCAATTATTATGTTTCGCTACAATAACAAGAAGAAAAAAATTGCTTAAAAGTTCCATTTTTTCTCTGTTTATAAACGCTTATTTTGCATATTTTCAGTTTGTCAAGAGTGGCTCGTTCGGGAAGACAATGCTTTGGCTTATCAATTGCAGAATCAAGAAAGTAAATGCTTAGCTTTGCACACTTCATGGAAGCAGATTTTCTAAAAGTTTCATATAAATATCTCTTATCTTTTTAGTAAACGATCATTACAAAGGAAATCGTTATCGAAATCAAATCGTACGACAAGACTTTCCAACTGCTTTATCAGAGCAAATTCGAGAAAAGGAAAATGCGGAACGTCAAGCAATGTTATATCATCAGATGGTGGAAGAACAAGAGCAAGCTGATGCCATTGTCGCTAGAGAGTATGCGGATCGATTACGTCGTGAAGCTGAAATAGAGAGAAAAATTCAACAAGAAAAAAGTGAAATGCTTGCAAGAAAATTAATTCAAAAACCGAATCTTCATGTGAAAGTGAAGACTGAGGAGCCGTCACTTCCAATTCCACCAAGAACTCAAGCAAAGCCTTCAACAAGTAATAAATATATGTCACATTCTCCCGACATCTCTCCTCAACTTCATTATGCATGTCTTGACTTGATGCCACCAGATCCTCAAAGAAAACTCGTTCCAGTATCGCCAGATAGAAAATATACGAAAATTAGTTTACAATCTCATACACCGGAGAAAATTGAAGAAATTCCTCCACCTCCAAGACCAGCAAAAGGTGCGCATTTAAGAAAACAACCTAAAGCACCTCAACAGCAAATGCCTAGTGACACAATTGACAGTATCAGAAACTATTCTGATGTTGATACAGCACTTGATGAAGCTTTAGACATGGAACTTGGTAATCTTGATATTAACAATCTTTATAAACCAACACAGAATGGTGCTGGCACCACACAATTTAATCCAAACATTCATCAACGTCATCCACATCATCAATTTCTTGAAGATAGTCGAAATATTTTAAAGCAATCTCCCGAAAAAATAAGCACAAAGCATGGTGTTAACAAGTATTTACATTATGATGATGATGATGAGATTGAAGAAGAAAATGCAGTTGGTGGTGTGATGATGACAAATGCACCGTCAACGTCAAATGACCCTCAACCATCATCATCATCGTCAAACTACCGAGAGAAGATTGAAAGACTTCAAGCTTTGAAAGTTTTAGGTTTGCCGCCTGAAGAAATCCGTGAGATTGATAAAAGAATAGAACAAGAAAAGAAAGATGAAGAACTTGCAAGAATGCTTCAAGACAGTGAAAATAAATTCGCTAATCAAGAAGAAATTGATAGGAAATATGCAATGGAAGCACAAGACAAAGAATTGGCAAAAATGTTGCAAGAGCGTGAAAAAGCTAAAGCGAAGCGCGCTAAAGAACGAGCAAGACAGAAGAAAGAAATGTTGAGACAACAACATCAAATGGAGAATGGCGAATATCGTGAAATGTTTGATGTTGAAGGCGGTGACTCATATTCGAATCCTGTAGATATGCTTCAGACTGATGTAAATCGTAAACATCAGAAGTCACCTGACAGTGGCCATCATCAGTATTCCCATCAGAAACAAAGCAGTTACAACTCTCAAAGTTCAGGTGGAAGTTATCATCAACATCATCATAGTGACGATTCTTATTCAAATCCAGTTGACATGGTTCCGCCACCATTACATCAACGATCTCCACCACAACGTCCCAGTCATCTTGACATTCGAGGACAGTTGAATCGGCCACAACCACCAAGAGCTCATTTGCCTGATGATCATCAAAATGTTGCTGCAATGATTGATCCAACATATGCCACACCTTCTCCTCCAAGTACTTTGAATTCAACTCCGTTAACTAACAATTCCATGACACCAGACATTTTAGAACATTATGATGATAATTCACCATCAACCGCACCATACATGCCCATTCAAGGCACAAGACGTACATCAAACTCTAATGAAAAGAAGAAGAAACAAAAGGAACGTTGTAATCAACAGTAATCATCATCCATCCTGATTATCGGTTGTAATTTAATTTATTTTTTTATTTCCTTCAACACCCTTGAAAATAATTTATCAAATATGACAATAAGTTTGCATTTAAAAATAATTTGAATGTTTTAAATCAGTTGTCATAAGTCCGATATCCGATAATCAAATGAAGTTAAAATATTTCGTAGCCAAGAAGACTTTTGAGAAGATCTTGAAACAAGTTCTAAGTAGATGAAATTAATTCCAGCTACTAACAAGTAGGAAGAGTTTTAAAAAGTGGCCAAAGAATTTGTTGAACTTAGAACAAAATAGTTTCAAGCTCTGTTTCATACACATAAATGTTGATAATCAAAGTTAAAAGATTTGATAGTTTTAAACTCGATATAAGAGTTTTTAGATTTGATATTTTTATCCGATGATATTTTTAAATGATTCATTAACAGATTTTAATAAAGATTTTAAAGATTGCCCTTAATAAATGATATTGATTAATTAAAAGTAGGATATACATGTGACGATGTTAAAGCACTTGCAGCTCCATCTGTCGTCTCGCGAAGATGATAAAAAATTGCGCATTCTCATTGCTTCCATCGCTTTTTCGCCCCTAAAAAGTCGTCGTTTCAGGGTGGAGAGTGTAATCACGAACGGAGAATTTATCAGCCACGGAGAAATTTTTTTGCAAAAGTGTATGGAATGAATTCCTTCTCGCTCGATCCGGTTCAAAACGATGTATGAAGAAAACAAAAAATATAAATTCAAATATTCGCTGCACCAACACACAGCACGCTTGCTGAAATTTTGCTCTTTCGTGTATGCTCCTTCAGTTAGTTTTCGAATTGCAGCGAGTGCTCTTGCAAAAATGCATTTTGTGCAGAATTTTTATTTCTTTTTCACTGACTTTTGAGCTGGAGAAAAATTAACTTTTAATGCAACAGAAAATTTTCCATTCGCTTTTAACGATTAGAGTGCAAGATTTTTATTTAAATTTTTTTTTTAAAAGTGCATTGAAATATTTTTTGTGTTGTTTTTTGTTTATTATTTCTTGTCTTATCATAAAAGTGATTTTTTTCGCAATTTTAAATGCTGGAAGAAAAATCTTATCATTTATTATGTGTTTTTAAAGCGATTAAATTGTGGTGAACTTTATTTGTGTTGCTGACAGAGTGCAGTGATGACGTCTACAAATGAAGATTTGATTCATCAATATTTAAAGAGGTTCTTCGACGGACGACAAACATTTCTTTCATTTAATTTAAAAAAGATGAATAAGAAGCTTTCGAAAAATAAACGATCATAAAATGGATGCAATTGCACCAATACACACATATACGCAGGCGTGATGAACAATTGCAACGAGAAAATTTTAAAACGAAAAAAAATGTAGAAACACCTCAGTAATTTTAAATTCAAATGAGAAAAACAACTTCAGTAGCGGAAATGTCTGGGACGGAAGCAGGGAATTTTTGCTTAAGTCGTTTATAGGATTTTTCTCAACTTTTCATTACGATTACATAAAATTCCAACAATTTCACTTAACGATTATATAAATATGAATTCATTTCCATGCTTTTCATTCCTAAAAGTTTTCTTAACAAAAAAGAAATCCTTTGACTGCTTTTTCAAAAGGATGCATACGCAAACCTTTTTAATCGCAACGTTTTTATATTTATTTTGTCTCAATGAATTTTTTACACTGATTCCCAGACAAACTCTTTAACTCTTTCTTTGTTGTTTTAACAAAAGGCATTTTTATTCAGTGTATAAAATGCATATATAGTGAACAAAGCAAGGTAGTGGTGTTAAGAAATCAAATTTCACGTCGATTTTTTAATATATTTGAACCTGTACATTCGCAATATGTTCATAAAGACTTTCAAACCCCCACGATAATCAATCAAACTGAAGATGTCACAAGAAATAACTTGATAAAGGAATTTCTAGGCAGCTATAGGTGCATAAGGTAAGTTTGAAATATTATTTCACTTTAATTATATTCACAACATGAAAATTATGCATGAAGAAAATTTTATATAATATTTAGAAGAAAGAAAATTAAATCAGTGCAAAGCAGTAATTTTTTTATTCTTGAAAATGTAGACAAGAACAAAGAAATATCTTCCGCTTTCAAATATATAGATATTAAAAAGAGATGCAACAACAAAACTGCAACTTTGTGCAATGCGTTTGCGCTGCAACTCTAGCGAGCTTTTTCACTATATCAGGAAAACTATGGTGAAAGTTTCTCCCCATTTTCCAACATCGAACAATTTCAGATATTTTTTTTGTGTCTCTTCCTGTCGAGCTATTTTTAGACGACATAATTTTAATTATTCACGAGACTTTGTCGTATGACAAACGTTGCCATCGTCGATCGATGGGAAAAATTATAATCAGAAAAATATTTTATGAAGGTAATTTTTTGCAAAGTTCATCAAACTTTTGCGAAACAATTCATCAAGCTCAAAAATTGTATCTTTCGATCTACTCATTCAGCGAGTGAAGGGAATAACTTGAACAAGGTTCTTTCGCTACAATGTTGCACTTTTGTCGGTGAATAATTCATTGTATAAAAAAAGTATAATCGTTTACTCATTGATTGGTTGAATGTATAAACTCGCATAAAAATTAAGATTAAGGCAATTGAGCTTATTGGCAATTGTCCGTTCGATAAAAAATCCAATCAAACAATTTGCTTTTTGTTTGAATTTCAATCACCAGATCTATATTTAATATATCGTTAAAAGCTTTCCATATGCAATTAACATTTTTTACTCCTCAATTCCAATATCTTGTTATCGAGTAACAAATGCAAGTCATTATTATCTGTCGTTACTTTACTACATGAAAGTAATTCATGAGAGTGTGGGTGTAAAATGTAAGCAGCTTATTTAAAATGCATTGTGAAGCGAGAAACTTCCTGAATAAATACAAGTGCGAAACTAGCGAAAAATGAAAGTCAACTTACTCAAAAAACATGGCGGCTGAAAAGACTTTCATTCGTTCAATAAAGTAAAACAATGAGACAAAAGAAAGCAAGAAATTGATTTTTTTATCAGGAAAAATATAAAAAAATGTTAAGAAACAGCATAAAACTGTTTCCAATTGGCAAATCAACTCAGAAATAAAATAAAAAATAAATTTAAAAAAGAAGACAGCAGCAATTGGCATTTCGTGTTGACCCCTTTCACAACAATGCTTGTTCCTGAAAAATAAAAAAACAGCAAACGACGCCAATAACCGAAAACACGGAAAGAGGTCAAAAACCTCAAACCGATCACAAATATTTTTTTTTTAATTTGAAACTTTTTATCAAGGAAATTTTTCAGTTTGAATCTGCGCACAGAATTTTACAAAATTAAATTTATAAATAAATAAGGTCTAAAAAAGACATTTTCGACTGCTATGGAGTTCATTGAAAGAAAAAATATTTTAATTTCATTTCGTTTTGAGAGCGGGGGCCTCCATTGAAAAGTTCTCCAACCCCAACTTGTCACACACTCACGTCAGAGCTCAATAAACACCATTCATCGTCGACTGCAGTGAAACAAATATTCTCAAAAAGCGAGAAAAAAGGCAGCGAGCAACGAAAAAAGTATTGAAATAAATTTATATTAATATAGGTCAGTTATTTCTGTAATCAACAACGCTCTCTTTCTCTTGCCCGCCTCGAGCTTGCAACGGAAAGTCATTCAATTAATATTGCACATTTACATTCCTTGATCAACTTTTTTTAATCTCCTTACATCTTGCAGTGAAGGGGCAAATGCCGGGTAAGAAGAATTAACGTGTAAGCCGTTTTTTTCAAGGAGAATAATAGTCTGAAGTTGAAATGACTTCAAAAATCAGGCCAACGTTTGCGCAGCAAATATAGAATTAATATTTCGAATTAAATTTGCATAAATTTCTCGGTTGCGTATAAATTGCATTAAAGAAATCTTCTCCACTCATTTATTGGAGTTTTTTTTCCTTCTATACATTCGCAATTTCAAATCAAATACTCACAAAGACACAAAATTCCAGACATCGTGAATAAAAATGGCAAAAATTCTTATTTTTAATGTTTTAGATATAATTTTATATTTTTTTTAATGAAAGCGTAGGCCAGAGTACAAATTCATACTTGAGTTAATATAATTAATTTAAGATCTACACAAGAAGATTAAACTTTTCATAAATTAACATTCAAAGAGTTATGTTGTGACGCAACATTCATTAATATTCAATCTAAAATATTTATTGAAGAACATAAAAAAGATGAAAAATGTTAAATTAAAAACACGGAAACATAAATTTTCAATTTCACATTCATCGATGAAGCGAAACGTTTCACGATTATATCAACATCGCTGAAAATATCCTCGAGGTGAAATTTGCTTCTCCACTACCCATTAATTTATGAAACGCGAGATTTTTGTGCAATTTGTGCAATTTTATGTCTGCTCACATGTGACGTTTACTAGATGTAGATGGAGAAATATTATTGCAACCCCTTTTCACACAATGTAATAATTTTAGATTTCCATGTTGCACGTTATACTCTCACGATATTTCTTTTTTGACCAAGATGCATGCATGAACAATACGCTAACTGCTAAACAAAGAATTTCATTTCAGAGTGTTGTTGTAATAGAAGTTTTTTTAAACGTGCAAATAAAACAGCAATTACACCGTGCTCGATTCGGAAGCATTCTCTTTTGTTCTGATGCTTGATGTTAAACATAAAAATTATGTTTCATGAACAATTTTTGAGTGTTGAATGCGAACGTTTTCTGTAATAATTTTATGGTGAAATGACCAAAGGGTGTTATGGAGATTTGCGAATAAACAAGTTTCATTCAAATTCTAATAAGTTATAAATTCAGTTGGGGAGGCATTATTATTAAGCTGTTGAAGCATTATCAATGTTTTAATTAAAATAACACAAACTCCATCATTTTGATAAAAGAAACGGAAAAAAATTAAATCACATACACTGAAGTCCGCATAATTTATTTATTCCTTCTTTTTTGAATTCAACTTTTGATTTTTCATGTCTAGCCCTACACCAAACCGTATTCGTAATTAAAATTAATTTCAATGCAACTTTGTAATGAGCGAAACTTCATTTACAGTCCGGCTGTTGTTTTTCCCTAACATCGCCTTTTGTTGTGTCTGTGAATGGGACAATATTTTAATTTTTATTTTTTCCTCCTTTACGAAAATACTTGCAAAAATGTTGAAAACATAAATTCATTTTATGCTGCAGTGAACGAATGCAAAAAAAATAATAAAAAAACTTGAAAATGAATCCACATACAATGTGAGGTTCGAGGCTTTCTTCATGTATGCGTCGTGAGGTTTATGTAAGTTCATTAAAGGATTAGAGTTGCCAGAGTGCAATGTGCCGAATGCTTTTAGGATTTAATTCCTCAATGAAAGAAGCATTTTGGTTAACGACCCCACCAAGGACGCCACCTCTGGTCACCCATTCTCCACAATCTTCAGTCTCATTCCAACATTCGAGTCAAAGTGCATTGAATTTTATCGTCTGGCCTGTGCGAAACTGCGAAACAGAAATTACAACGATAACCGAAACACAAAGAAAAGAAGCTTGAACGATGAAACTGGAGAGAATGAATAAGCGATTTGTGTGTATGTGATATGATGGACATCGACATCTTTTTATCTCAATCACGACTTCTCTGTATGCGTAAACATCAGACGAAATTCAAAAAAAAATATTAGCAAGAATCGTTTTTGGTTTTTAAGAAAAGGAAAAAAGAAATAAATAAAAATTCTAATGATGCAGTGCATCGCATTACATCAACCCGATTCCTGAGTGAATCGAAGCTAAAAGAGTTTACAAAATCCTCTGCATTGGACGCATATTTTTTGCATTATGTTTTGCATTGTACGTCCTGAGAAGTCTCACTGCAGAAAAAATTGTCCATTGTTGCCAACTTTTAATCTAACATCATGAAATGATACTTGAGTATGCAATGGGTTTAGAAACTGAACTCGTCACATGATTTATTATTTAAATGCGCTCTAGTAAAACCTTCTAGGTGGTAGCAAAGTTGTCGCGACAATTTCACAACATACAGTCAGAGGACGAGTTTCGAAATGTTTCATATTGATGTGACTTTTTTTTGCTCAACTCTCATCGTATCTCCATCATAATTATTACCACAATTTCCAACACATCACAGTGAGTTATGCAGTAAACGAATAAAAAGTGAAGGCCTTGTCGTTGCAGCAATGATTCCTACACCTTCGAAATGTTGAAATTAAAATTGGCGAGAAGGTGAAAAAATCTTTAACATGATAGGTGCATGTACAGACATATTAAATATGTTGACTTTTTCATGTCCCCCAACATTGTGTTTTTTTTTTATTCGGAATTATTATGTTTATGTTGGAAGAGACTCCCCGACGGTGTAACATGGAAAAGCGAAGCAATTTAAAGTGGCGGGAACTTCATCAGACTATTATTATCGATTTATCGCATGGAAGCATAGGAAAAATGTTGTTCAAAATTAAACGGGCGAATGAAGCGCTTTTATGAGGATGAGTTTTCTATCCAAACGGTTGGTAAGAGGAAAAGCGCAGAAATCGATGAATTGAAGGAAAGAAGACATAGACAGTGAATGGTTTATTTATTTAGAAAGGATACAAGATAAAGGAAGAATAAGTTGAGAAGAGATTAAACTTTCATAATTCTAGAAATGAACTTAAGCTTAAGCTACCTTCTATTTGAAATAAATGAGCTGTAGACCGAACACATGCTTCTTTTCCGTCTATACAGGGTGTTGAAAATCCATTAAGCAAAGAAAAATTGTGGGATGATAAACGAGACGTGCAGGATTTTTTTGTAAAAATTTGGAACGTGTTAGAACGATGCATAAACATTTCTTTCAATGCATTATGTAGCATTTACATGAAATTGTAATATTAATATGAAATAGCAAATTGAATTTTAATATTTACTCGATTCCTTAACTTCATTTGAAGATTTCTTTATGGCATAGGTCATAAAGATATCAAATATTTATTTTCTTCTCTTTTCTTGTTACTTAGCATAGATGAAATAATTGTTAAAGAAGAAATTTGAATTACAGATATTTTCCTTAGCTAAAATATAGAAAAAGGAACTTTTCATTTGAATTAATATTTCAGTTCTTCAATTTTCTATCATTGCCATTATGATGTATGAATTTTCCGGAAAGTTCCTCAACTTGAGATCATTGATGATGATAAAGAGAAAATTCAAATTTATTAAAAGTCTGGTGAAAGGAAGAAAGTCATTGATTGATAGTTTGAACTTCTTTAGCTTAAAAACTTTTCACTCTTCTCTGTTCATCAATGTTCATCTGTTATGTCAAGTGAGATTAAATGAGAGAAAAAAGAATTTTCATTCCATCAATTGCTAAGCAAGAAAAGGGAAAAAAGAAAATAAAAACGTGCTTTTGAAAGATTTCACAGAGTTGCTATTATTCATTTACCCCCAAAGAAAGAAAAGCATTGGAAGGTGTCTGGAATGAGAGAAACTTTTTTGATATTGGAATACTAAATTAGAAGCTTTCAGATTAAGTTAACGAAGAAACATTATGCTGCATAAAGAACGCCTTACAAGACGACTGATGAGACATGAAAAATCTTTTATCTTCCGCTTTTCCTCCCGCTTTAGAGTCTGTCAGGATTGCGGGAAAATGATAAGAAAGCTTAAGATAGGAAACATAATTTTGTGAATTAAAACTGCATCGAGATATTTCTATTCAAGTCTTGAATAGAATCTTTAAATATTTAATTTCAAAATGAATTTTTCCGATTTCAGAGAATTCTTTTGTGCTGAAATTTCTTTCACAAACTTTTCGTTTTTATCAATACAAGAAAAAGGTTTTTGAGATAATTCTGATTCACAAATGCTATAGCCCAACAGGGATATGAAACTTCAAGTTTCCTGACATCTCGTCTAAACTTTGCCGTTTTAAATCCCCGTGGTGGTTGTCGTAACATTTACAAGCATTTCTATTGCTGAAAATTTTCCTCACACTCATGAATACCGAAAAATATTCGTCTGAAAATCGATTTTTGATGACTCCAAGGAGTTATTTCAAATAGATTTGACAATAATGCGAAATTTTCTCTTTCTTTCTTGTTGAGAATATGAAATTTAATTAATTTTACTAGTCGTTTTCATAGTGATTACTGTCCACTTCCGATCATAAATATCAACACTGTCGCATTCACTCTTATGAAATGACTAAAGCTTAAACAATTATGATAATTATCTCGTTAATTAGTTAATAATGAGGATAAGCAGTGCTTCTTTCTCTTTTTCAGAGCCATTAAATATTTATCCACTTTCTTGATTTTCGCTTTGACTTCAGCGACACTCAACAACGACCAAAATAAAATGAAAGTCAATGTTGCGGGCAGTAATGATAATTGAGAATAAAATGAAGATTATGGACGATAACTTTTTGGTTTTATTTGTTTAAGAGATGAATCTGATAACGCGATAAATGTTGGCTGCTTCTTCAATTTCCCATTTCATCTCATACCACAAAAGTCATCTCCAGCTCCCACTTCTCGAGGAAACTCGCAGTAATTCACATCAATTTTCTTCATTGCTTTGTTGTTTTTATTGTTATGTGTCATTGATCCCGTCGTCTCTCCATCTCCAAACATTTTTCCTCGTTGCTTTCAGCCCCAGTCCACTTCCACTTCCCACAGTTTTACCGATCATAATGCTCGATATATGTTTCTCTCTGTTGCACTCACACATCCATGCATGGTTCCGTCTGGCTTTTTTTTTCTCCTCGTTGTGCATGTTTCGGGGGAAAAACGAGGAATGAGCTTTTTGTTGGGAAAGCTATGAGGATTAACCATATATTTCTACTCAACTGTAAAACACGAACAGAGAGCAAAAAGAGATAGCAACAGGGAAAGCTAGACGATATTACTACAGTTAACGTAAATCTTGCGCTTTATAACGAGCGTGAGCGAGACGAACAAAGGAAAAACTGAATCAATTGAAAAAAAATGTTCTTATGCTATTTCGAGTTTGCTTTTGGCAGTAATGGAAGCTTATGGGGGAAATGATAAAGCTTTTTTTTTCATGGTTGACAGCGTCAGCTGCAAAAGTTGAATTATATTTTACTAAGCTTCCTTTATATAAATCATAAGTTGAAAGGATGTTTCATGACTCTGGGATTTTATTGGGAGTGAAGTTGAAACTTCCTTTCTCATGCCATTTTGTATTGCACTTTACTGAAACTTCGTTACTCTTATTTGAATATCAAAATGCATTTGCTTTGTCTTAGAAAAAGGAAGAAAATTTACTTTTGAAGTTTCTCTGACAATTTTGTAAATTCTTAAGAGGTTTGACTAGAATTTCTTAAAAATTTTAACATTTCCAATTCAATTCATTCATTCTCTCGTTTATTTTAATTATCTACCAATTTCGATTTCAACTTTTCCATTGTTTAAACTTACATAAAGAATTTTCTTTTCGCTTACTGTAATACCCCAACTGGAAAAGTAATTTTCCTTGAGATACAATTTTATTTCTAAGCATTTGAGCATTGCAGAAATGTTGCAACAAGGACGCATATAAGAAAATCCTTGAATCATTACACAAGCGCAATGTGCACTTGTTCCAGCTAAAAATAGCTTTTCATCGACCATGAATGAGAAGGAGATAGCAAAAGTATATTCGAACAAAGTTCTCTATAAATTAATTTATCGTGAAACGATTATCTACATACATGAATTTGTGCAATTGTAGATTACTCTGGGGTATTGGAAATTTCATTGTTACAATATAAATTCACATTGAAATTTAATGAATATGGATTCAAGGATGTTCTTTTGTTGTGCCCTTAATGTCTATCTACTTATCAATGGGGAATTTGACACACTTTTGAACAAATCCTTTTATTTGAAATGTTCAAAATTTACTTGATGAACAGAATGTTGCATCGTAAATGATTCAAAATGAGAAAGTTCATGATTTTCATCCTAAAATAAAATTCAATTAAAGTCGAAGAGAGGTTTTATATTGTATTTTGAATTGTGATAGCCAAAGCCAACACTTTTCATTGAAACAGTGAACTGATATTGTTATGCATCGACCTACATTTTTGAATCACAAGCATTGCACACACACGCAAACATAAACTGTAACCTAGTTTTAGGAATCAAATTACTTAAACGATCAGTTTATTTCCAATTGAAATTAAAGTTTGTGTAATTGAAACCAAATAAAAAAAGAATATAAAAATATTTCAACTTGAAGGATGTGATGAAAAATTAAAGGAAAAGAAGCTTTTCCTCGTTTGTCAGCTGCAAAATATCACATCGAATGATTGTAAAATAACTAATCTCCCCCTTGAGGTTCTTCTGACATATTCTATAAATAAATCTGCTTTAATGATCGTATTTTGCGATAGTTTTTCCGCTTCCATCGAAATAAAAATAGATTTTCCAACATTGGGAAGGAATGCAAAAATTTTCAGCTCGTTTAAAATTATCTCACAATTGTTGGAACTAATTTTTATGATGTTGCACAACAACTTTTCACTTTTGCAAACTTAAACATGTAGAAACAGAGTTCAGTTCATATATAAATAAATCCTTCAAGAATGAAACATGAAATGGATTAACATTAAATTGCATGGTGAACATCGCGAAACATAAAAATCGCAGACAAATTGTATTGCGTGGTATGAAATTATCCAGGACATGATAGCTGAATGTCGTGCGATTAATAGACATTTATTCAAACATATAAGTACAACTCAAAGCTGGGTTCTTTCATTGACTAAATGAGAGTTCAGTAAAATTTTTATCAATTAACTGGGACATCGTAGAGCGAGGAAAATCGGAAAATCGTCGGGAAAATCATATTTAATTTCCCTCAATCGTTCGTTTCATCAAGACTTAAAAATATTTATTTCTAAAAAAAGAAAAAATGGATGGAGTAAATCAAATTAAAGGACGATGATGATGATGTTGTAGACACCATACCGAAAGTTAATAGAATTATGAGTTTCAACATTCGCAGCATTAATTGCTGAGTTTCACTTCAAAATATCCAACGAATCATACACACACCAAGAGATTAAAACAAAAACAAACGACTAAATGCCGTCTGGAACTTTGTCTGGCGTTTCTTTTATGTTTCTTCTTCTTGTTGGTTCTTGACGAGCCTCTCGCTCCCTTTTTTTATCCCTTTTTTGCTTTGATTTTCCTCTCGTCTGTTCGACAACACGCTCTTTAGAGATGAAGCAGTTTTTGGCTTGATATTTATTATGGAAGAGAGTCTCACATAGGCATCTTCTCATTTATTGAAAAATAATTTTCGTGGTGCAGACTGAAAAGGAAATAGCGAAAATGTAGAAATATAAAAATCAAAGAATTTCGCGCTTGAGGATAATCAGACGAAAAGCTCTTAATAACGACTTCTTCTTTGTGTTGAAAATTGTCTAGTCGTTTGAATTAATTTTACATTAATTTTCTCACCAGAACAGAGCTCAGAGCTTCAACTTACAAATATATGACTTTGCAATATAAAATGAGACTCATAAAGATAACAACGCAAGCAAACACAACATAAGAAACAACAGAGTTAAAGGAAAGATTAATTGGACAATGACTGAAAGTTGTTCCTTGGTTGTGATGAATTTACAAAGAAAAGCTCAGACGACATTTCATCAAAAAGCCAATGAGCGGAGAAAATTCATTGCAATTTATTTTCATTTTTAAAAGATCTTGTATAGGTCGTCATCCGAAGCCCTCACCGTCACTATGTTATAATGCAAAAATGCAAACACATGAGTTGAAAAATAAAGAATATTTCTACATAAGAGAGATAAATAAAAAGAACCTTTAAGAAAACACAAGAAAATAATTCCACAACAACTGACAAACAAAGAAGAAGTTGCAACGTTTAATGTAAAGAAAAAAATTCGCGCGTTGTGCCGATAGACAGGCGAGAGTTGACTAACCTTTTCAACAGCCGCATTCAACGATAAAAATATTGTGAATTTTATATGAACGTGGCTGTGTGTGCAAGGCAGTCTTTTGTGTTCTGTTCTTCGACTCTTCTTTATTACTTTTAACTGCATTTTCGTCTGTCGAAAAATTAAATCTTTTTTCATTCTTTCTTGATAGGTAGAAGATTTGAGAGTTGTATTAAATATAATTTAATCCCTGTCGATTTTATTCATCCTGATTTTCTAGTTGATTTAAATCTCATTTAATGCGCATCGTTACAGAATGAGACTTGACAATGTCAGCGAATTAAATCAGGAAATCATTGAAAAAGTTTCGAATCAACATTTTTTGATCGTAATTCTTAAATGCAATGTGACAAAATATTTATTATTTGATTTACTAAAACGCGATTTGATGCCAAAGATTTATTTATTATGCTTACATACTGGCATAGCTTATGGCTTGTACAACACAGATTATAAATATTTATTAGGACCGCTCTTCAGAAGACGAAAGTTTTGCAATTTTAATGACGTTTCAAGCAACATTAATTTATTTATTAAATGTTAAGTTTTCAATTTTTCTGGCTCGCTGCCCACTTTGACTCGAGGGATGCAATTTAAAAAGAAGAAAAATATTTTTGCCGATGATTTGAGTGAGAAAATCTAGTTCAGTGAACAGATAAAAATTTTTTATAGCGTGGAATGACATTAGGGGCAGAGGAAATGATAATGGGGAGTATTTGGCAATAACGTTTTACAATCTAAATACTTCAAAATGTTGTGTCAGTGACAACTGATGAACTTTCATGAAACGAGTTCATTTTCATTACTTGTAATTGCATTAAAGATATGACGATTAAATGAGTTGAAGTGATAAATTATTTCTTTTAATCTCCAATGACAAATAAGCTTTTGTCTGAAGCTGAAGTTCATCTTTGTGCTTCAGCATGAGTTCAAAATGAACTTTTTAATTCTCTACAGAAAAAAAAGGATTAATACAAACCATCTGCTTATTCAAGTAAACTTTCTCATATCCTTCTTCTTACCGAGAAATTAAGATCATTTTTTATCGCAAAGCTTAAAGATATCATAAATATTTTAAAAAATGTTAAGATTTTCTTGCGTGGATTGTCAAGATAAATAACATCAAAGAACACTAAAAGCTCTTGTAACAAATTGCATGGTATTAGATGTTGCGCAAGTTTTGCAAAATGTTCATGTTTTTATTAATTGGATTTCTAATTCGACAAAGCATTTATAAAGAAAATAAATTATCGTACATTAAACATTAAATGAACTAAATAAAGTTTATGGCAATATAATAATAAGAAGTAATGAACAACAGCAGTTACACATTAGTTAAAGCAACATCGTTTGATTTCAAGAAAACAGTCTCGACACTTCGTTCCTTTTAATGCAATTTAATTAAATAGATGTTAAATTCATTCACTTTCGCTTCCTGAACTTTATGGCATGAATCTGAATCGGTCACGAACAGGAAGCTATCGATGTCCAATGATTCACAATAGAAATTTTTATGTAAATTAGGAAGATTGAAAATTTACATCTCAACTTTCATTTATAATTTGCAAAGTTTGATTAAGCAGCTGAAGCTTCCGAGGTGAAAATTAACAAACATTTGGAATTATTGTAAAGTGAAATGCATTTCTGCGACAAGAAAGAAAACACTGAAGGAGACGAGTCTGTCATCGTTACCAAGTCTCTTCCGATAAAGTTTTATTGCCAACAGCGTTGTCTCTCTCACTGGTATGCAATGACATCCATCGGACAGATTAAGCTTCAATCTCCATGTAAACAATTTTCTCTGCTATGTCATCATAACTACTAACAATTCTGCTATAGAAACAAATGAAAAAAATGTCGACAGACAGACATTGATTAATTTTTTAAAGGAACATGGCACAATCCACACAATTTTTTTTAAATCGCATGTTAGAAAATAATTTACCCTCTCGAATATGAATTGAATATTGTTTTTACTTATGATGGTTACATTTTATTTTCTAAGAAATAGCAATTCCAATATTATTCATGAATTCTTGTTTGATTATTGACTTTTGTCTGCAATTCACATGTTTACTTGTTTTCTAACGAAACTGATAAAACTTTAATTTTCCACAGCTCTGCCTTTTCACATCAAACGTATAATAACTTAAATGATGAATACCGTTTAGATATTTTGTATGAATTTTAATTTTTGAGGTTTATAAAAGATCCATAAAGAGATTATTTTGATTGACATTTGTGACAGCAGATAAATTAATGCGTCAAGTTTAAATATTTTGATAATCTGTCATATTAACTCAAGCTCTTTAGTGGACATGATATTTACTTGATGCTTAAATCACGATTATGATTTAAAAAAAATGTACAATCAAAAACTGCTTTTGTCTGGTGTTTCTGCTTTGCGACATTTGCAAATATTTCCTAAAGGAAAACACGAAATGAATTTTTTCCCAGACAGACGACGGGAAAACGAACAAACCTTCATCTACAAACCTGTCTATATTGAAGTGAAAATCTGAAATCAAAACGAATGAAAAATAAATTTTCATTTCTTTATACAATTTCGTTGTTTTTGATTTGGCTTGTGACAGCATGTGGATGGTGCAATAAAACGAAGTTCATGGTAACAAAATGACTTGGTGAATCTAATGGCAACATTCTATACTTTTTTTTAAAGATATTTCATCATTTGCTGGATGAAACAATGGCAATTTCTTTTGGAAAATATCAAATTATTCACATTGTTGAATCATAAAATCATTATTTGAACAGAGCATAAGAAAATTTTTGATTCTAAAATCACAAAAAAAGAATCTTCAATGTCTAATAAGGTTTGAAATTTCAAAGCAAAACATTGATAGAGTTGGATTTCAATTTGAATTATTTGCCAATTTGCTATTTATTTAACTCAAGCACATCTGCAGTTGCATACGCGACAGTTAGCAATGACAAAAAATATGAAAATGATGACATTTGAAAGCGGATATCTTAAAAGATAAAAATTGAATAAAACTTTCAAGAGAAGACAAAACACTTCGTTTTACTTGCGTGTTTTACACTTAAACGAGTTTTTCTTCTAAATCTTTTGTGAAGTAGAAAAAGATGCTTCGAGACGAATCGTTTCAACCCCTTTGACATGAAAGACCTGAAGTCATTAAAATATAACCATCTACGAGAACATACCTAATGTGATTCAAAAAAAAGGATATTTTCACGAGACTTCCTTTGTCTCTTCAGTTTGTATCGTCATGAAAACAATTTTTTCTCCTTCTTTTTTGGGGGTCAAATGGGGAGAATATCTTCGTCCTTTCGTCTGATGCTTTTGCTAGACATCCCAAATCATGCATCCATTAAAGTCAGACATTTACTTTAAACAGATGCTTTTTTCTTTGTATTTCTTTTTTATTCTTGAATTTGTTGTCCTTTCATTTTATTGTGATTACAAAATGATTTTCATTACTTCAACATCGTGAAAAAAAATCTTTCCACTCAATCTTTCTGCAAGGAATGAAAAAGAAACCATAACTGCAAGGTTTTTAGTTCCATAATTTTAATAATGATTTTTTTCCTACAGTTTTCCTCGTCTTGAGGGAATACGCAATAGAGAACAGTAGAAATTATGCATAATGGGGATGAGAATAAAAGGCGAAATGAAGTAAGAAGAATGAGAGAGAAAGAACTTAAGCAGTTCAAGACTAACGCTTTTAATCATAATAATTTTAATGGATAATGTAAAGTTTGTTGAATCCTCAACTTTATGAGAGATTTCAGAATAAACATCATGCGATGAATTCATTAAAACTCGATTCATCATTTCCTCAATTTCAATTCACTCGACCTCGAGCCGCATTGCACACATTTGTGAATCATTTTGCCTCGTAAATTGTTTATGCAATTGATGGTTTGCAGTTGGCAGTCACAAAGCTAGGTCAGGTTTTTAATACTTCGCTGCAAATGCACATTCAGTGGGTCCAAATAGCTACAAAACATGAGAGAATTGCAAAAAAAATATTGCAACAAACTTTTTTTATTGTTTATTTACGAGGCCCTCGCCCTGTTGAAAATAATTGACACAATACTTGCAGCGTCATAATTCAAACATTTACTTTATTTTACTGTTCTTATTCTTTCCTTTCACTAACTAAATGCTATTTTAAAATAAAAAAAAAACAGCGAAAAAGGTGAAAAGAAGGAGAAGAAGAAGAAGAAGAATGCAAATAAGAAACGACAATAAGCCGCAATAAATTTGCATTCAAATTGGCAACTTGTTTTTGAGAATGAATCGTTGTCAATGCAAAATTATCGAGTGTTGATATCAACGCTGTATGGAGTCTACTGTTCAATTATTCCATGGCTATCGCCTCGATCTAAATCACATTTGTCCTTGTCAAACAGCATAAAATGGCTTTGTTTGCATTCGATATGAATGCAATGTATTTGCACCATCAATCATAGATGAAACAGAGGAAGAAGAATTGTTTGCATCTAGATCAATGAAAAGTTTTTTTTTTATCTCCAACATTTAAATGAATCTTCTTTTATTTGGATTTGTTTTTTTAGAACGGAAAATACGAATTCAAAAATTCAGTTCAAAGAAAAAGTTTATAGCAATGGAAATCATTTGAAAACATTCATTAATAACTCACGATGACTATTTTTAAGGTTTGAGATTGTAAAAACAAAAGTTTAATCTCTCAAGTTTACACTCCCTCATCACCATAAAGATTGAAATCGTTCACAGCAATGCTGTGACAGCATAGAATGCAACTTGCAAACAAATAAAACTTACTAATGGCCTCAAATTCTGCTTTGTCATTGTAATGATAAAAATTAAAAAAGCGCATTGACATAAAAGACGAGAATTTATCGTGGTGTCTTATTTCATGGTTTTCTATTTAAAAAGAATTCCGCGGGCAAGCGTCTATGTAAGAGATAACACCGCAAACCACATCAAATAGACTGATGATATGAATTCACCACATATCTACCAGAAGCCACCAAGGTTGAAATTCCTAAGCGCATATCTAGGGTATTGACAATATTGTAAGATACTACACGACCCCAATGTTCAATGACTAATTTGATGGCTGCAGTGTGTACATTGCATTTTAATCGAATGTTTTTCCATTTTTCATAGCTTCTTAAGAACACTAAACCTCGATTTTCAATGAATTGTCAAACCAAAAGCGCAAGCTACGACCTCGAGTTTGAGAAGTAAACTGTTGAGTGAAAGGGAGAGAAGAAAAACTCATGTAAATTGATGTTGTGGTGTTGCATTATTGAGTGGGTCAGGGATTTGTGCTCCGCGTGAGTGTGAGAGAGGGAAAATTTTCCAGTGCTTTGTTCAAAGCAAATAATCGTCATCATAGTAAATATTGTTTTTAATTTACTTTGCTCATCAACAGCATCATCAAACGAAGGCTAAAGTTTTCCACTGCAATTTCATTGACTTCAAGGGTGATTCAATGCAACATGTTGAGAAGATTTTTTTATTATCTCTTTAAATCTTTTGAATATTTAGTTTTATAATTTATTGTGATGAACATTCCTTTCCGAAGATTTTCTTATGTAATTTGAAAAATAATTTCCTGTCTTGACGTTCATGAAATTGCAATTTTAACGAAATTTATTGAATCTCAAAAACAAAAGCGTAGAAAAGTTTAAATTGCTAACAAATGGAATTTTCGCTCTTTAAGATGGAAAAAGTTGTGGAAAGTTTTCATGGTTATGAAGCAGAAAAAAAACTTTTTAGGCGTCGCTAGATCATCGCAATCGGTTTTCTTGTCTTCTTTTTGTTTACTGCCCACTTCAGTATTTAAATAATTCAAGTGAAAAATAAAAGAAAAGCCAGGAAAACCCAACAAGTGTAAAAAATGTAAAAAAAGCTTTCCTGCTTTTTTTAATAATTCATGTTCATGTATGTTTGTAATGAACGATAATCTTCAGCCCAGACAAAACTTCATCCTACGACTTCTCAACAGTCTCCTTTATATTTATCATCAGCAAGTTACCTTCAATGGGGCTGAAATTGGGGAGCTAAATGTTTCATGTTTTTAATTTGAAGTGAAGTGATTTTCCCGACAGTCCTCGTTATTCAAGGAACGAATGATTTTATATTGTGACTGAGAAGGTTTGAATATGAATTTTCAGACACGGCAGAATGTTGGAATAAACTTCCATTGAAACTTCACATTTCAACGAATTTTCGTTGAATTTTTAACCAACAAAATACTTGCACATCTTATCTGAATATTCATAAATCTTAACTCATCCTCTTGTTATTTTCCTTCTCTTTCACACACCATTCTGAATCTCACAATGCTAAAGGAAAGGAAAGTTGAGCCTCCCAAACGAAGGTCAATGAACCCAGTCACGATTTATTTTTAAAGCATATCAAGAGCGAAATGTGAATAAAAATTTGCTAATTTTATATTCCACTCTGCCTCAGAACGGGGGATAAACAAATAAATTTCTTGTTATTGCTTTCTGCCGGTGCCACGAAAATTTTGAAGACGAAATAAAAATATCACTTCATTTATTTACTTGCATTTCATCCCACGTTGATGACTCTGAGATGAGCTCATTTCAATGTTTTTGTCTTCCCTTTTGACACTGTTGAATGGCAGAATTTTATTCGACTCGAATCGCTTGGAAATTGTTGACAAAATACATTTAACAAGCATCATCAGATCACAAGACAATGAATCATGACATAAATAGAAGCTGATCATTATTTATAGATACAGATCAAAAATTGCTTTTAATTCCAATTAAATTGGAAATTTCATTTCAATCTTATTGAATTTAAAAATTCATCAGAGAAACACTGCAAATATCAAACTAAGCAAATTGTGATGATGGCAAATACGAATAAACTCTTCGTGCCTGATTGATTTTTGGCATCAAAAAGTGGAGCGATGTTTTCACATATCCACAAAATGCAATCTAATTGACACTCGTTTGTGGCTGTTCTCATGACAAAGAGAGAGAAAAAATAAAATCGTTCTTCCATTTTTGTTAACACATACTTTTCTTATCACGGGGAAAAATGATTGAAGAGAGAAGAAAAATCAGGAAATGCAAAAACATCATCATTAGGTTAACTAACACAATGATAGTAATAAAGAGTGTTGGCTCCACATTTGCCTCCCACCTCAAGTTCCAAGCTCGTCTTTACGTGATGAAAACCAAGGAAAATTGCATTTCCATTCACCAACACAAAGAAGAAAAAGTACGAAAAATCATTGAATTTTCCTTCTCTCTATTTGAGTGTTGGTGCATAAACTGGAGGATGTTGGCGCGCCGGCGCAGCTTTTAGCTTGTGAAAAAACAGACACAGAACGTAGCGAGGACAAGGAAAAAATTTTAAAACTGCCAAATTTGTGGAAATTTCAACGAATTTGAGATAACAGAAAGTAAATCAAAGCAAGTAAACACAGTGTCTATCAGTTAGCGTTGGGGAAAAATTGAAAAATATGTTTTGAGTGTCGTTTTGAAAGCACGAAAGCTTTTGTGTGAAAAAATCGAGAGATTGATGGGGAATGTGTATTGATGGGGAAAATTTCCTTCTATTTCTTTGTTTTTCCTCTATAATAAAGGAAATTTGTTGGCTTAAATGCACTGAAAAGTTTTATTTTAGTGAAAAAGCGATGAAATATCGAATTTAATGTGCAATAGAGCTCATTTATCATGAAAAAGTTTACAGGAAAATTTGTTCGTTGTCGAGTTTTTCTTTTCTCATCGATAAAAAGTTTTTTTTTCTTCTATGAGAGATGAAAGTTTGACAGAGGAAAAATTTTGTGGAACGAAATGCAATTATTTAGAAGAAAAACAAATGAAAATCAAGCTAAGGTTCTTCATAAACTTTTTATTTGTGAAGATTCTTGAAGTTTTCTTTCTCAAAGAAACTTCATTTTCATCCTTTGGAAGTTTGCAAGGAAAAAAAGTTTCGCAAGAGCAATGAAAAAAAATCGACGATCATAGAATGATAGACGTCAGAGAAAATGTAGCGCAGCTTGTCATAGTTTTTCTGTGTCATGACAGCGAAATATTTCGAATTGTTCGTTAAACAAAATTAACAACTTCTTCATTTTTTATTATGTTGTATCGATAAAAATTTACTAAGTATAATTTACAAATAACCATAAATTTAAATGTTTTCTCTCATTTCAAGCTTGCCAATAAATATGGAGAAATTTTGAAATTTATTGCAATTGCTGCAAACGAGGAAAAAAAATATCAGAAAAAAAGAAAAATTTTAAGCTCAGGGGGAAAATAGTCAAAGTTTATTTGAAGTGAAAAATTTTCTTGTTCTTTTCATTTCCGACGCTTTTCTTTTTCTTTCTCAAACTGAAAACACTGCAATTAGTTCGAAAAGCATTCTCGGCTGCTACATTAAAATTTATGTAATTTTCTATGAGCTTTAAGTATGAATTTCTTCGTTTCGTTTCAATTATACTTGAAGTCTTTGTTCACTCATGTAATGTCTCATGTAAAATAAATTGCTATTAGTGAGTCTCATTCTATAAAATGGCGTCGTGGATTTACGATTTAAAAAGCACCAAAACGACGAGAAACGAAATAAATAAGCCAAAGCCAATAAATTTACACTATCATGAGACCATTCGAATGGCTTAATGTAAAAAATATGTAAAACGTTGTCGTTTTTTTCTTCTCTCACTCTCTCATCTCTGATTCCTATTTACAACGAATCATTCCCTTTGAGAATGGTCGAAACAAGCTAAATAAATAACATAAACAAGTATAGAAAATAAAATGACAGCGGATTTAATTAAATTCCTTTATCGAAATATTTCAGCACTGCCTAAACAATCGAATGGTTTACTGTTTTATGAATTGGGAATAAATGATGGGAACTTCAAACTTGCTAAATTTCTTTAGAAACATTGTCGAATGAAGTTTTGCGAATAAAACATGCGTAATCTAGAACGAGATAGCGTAAAGATTGTGCGTATGAAGGGAACGAGTGAGATGGCAATGTACGAAAATCGCCTTCAAAATGTTCGCAAAAAAATCTTGATCTTGAAATGAATGATGGAGACCTCGCCACCAAGGCTTTTTTCATTCGCAATCTATTTCTATTTCATTTATCGCTGTTTACGCACAATTGTGTAAACAAATTCGCACACATTTCCACTCAGCTCTTGATCTTTGTTGAAGGTTTACGCACTTTATAGAGGACGCACGCAATTTCTGATAGACGTTTAAAGAAAGTTCGGAATAATTCTCATTCTACGCTTTCCTTTATGAAATCATTTTAAATAATGAATCTTGTATATTTAATGAACTTTCATTTAAAATTTCAAATTGTTGGAATAAAAAATTTGCAAATGACGTGATCGCGCAATTTGCAACACATTCGCGAAAATAAAGAAAAAAATATTTCGGCACAAAACCTTGTGTGTCACCCACACAATTGCGTTAATTCGCACAAGTATTTGAAAGTGGCTTTGGTTGAGTTCATGATCGTCTTTCAATGTCTATGAGAATGGAACTATTTCTACAATTATTTAATGACTATTTCTATCCTTTTTCTTTTCAGGGCAATCATTATAAACTGGGGAGGCCACAATGATTAAGCATGAAATTTGAAGAATTTCAGGGAACCGAAAAAATGTTCATTTACAGAAACCCGTAGATCCGAACTTGTGCTGAATCTTAAAGATTTTTTATTTTGAATTTTCGACGACATCTGATTGAAGACACAAGCACGAATTTACGGGAATCTGTCGATGTTTGCTTTCACATTCGGTTTCCACTTTCCGACGGCCATTCCAATGTTAATGAATTGTTAACAACAAACAACCGGAATATCTTGAAAGATCACCAGGAATTTTAATTGTTGAATTGAAATTTGTGTGCTGTTTGTGAGTGTTTCTTGGATTTAGTTTTTTTCTTCTGTTATTGAATCATGAAAAACTTCCTGACAATCGAATCGTTTAACAGGAAGTTAAAATTTTAAAGTTTTCAGGATAAAAAATTACAATTTCGAATCTGAAATAGTTTTAATTGGAAACAAGTTTCATAAGAATATAAAATAAAAAAAATGAAAAATATCAAAATTAATTGGCTTTTGACTGATAAATCATCTCAAAATTATTTAATTTGGAAATTTAAAAGATTTTGTTTTAGGAAATGCCACGGTGTTAAGTATGTTTGTAGCATCACCATCAACAACCAATCAGATTAAATAAATTGTGAAATAAAAATCACACAAAACTCCCACGAAACTTTGTCATCGAAGAAAGTTCATTGAAATTGGAAATCTTGCAAAATAAATACAAATATTGTTTCTTTTGAAAATTATTATAAACACACAAAAAAGTATTCGCAATTTAATCTCCATTCAAATCTTTGTGAAATGATTTCAGCTGTTCTAGTCTTTAGAATAACTTTTTAAATGCTTTTATTTCTGCACTTTAAACTTAGAAATTCAAACAATTAGATTAACGAGAATTTAATTTGAGTTTTCTCGTTCGAGGTTCCAACATTAGATGAAGGAAATTTTATCAACGTTGCTTTTTTAACATTAATTAGCAAAATTTTCATATTTCCATTCTCTTAATTTTCAAAATTTTCCATTCAACGTTAAAGATCAATAAAGTTTTCATAAATCATCTAGTTTTCCATCCACGTCAAAAGATTTGGAAGATTTGATTATTTCAATTCTCTCATGGTAACATGTTCAATTAATTGCATTTAATTTTTAGTGGTTTCTGTTTGTCTAGAAGCGACGAGACTTAAAGTCTCGCTAAAACCATGAACAAAGAACCAGATTTTGGTACGTAGTCTCAACGATGATTATTGTTGAATGAATAAATTTATTCGGTAAGTTTTTTTGTCTCCCTTGAGTATGCTAAAATATCATCAGGAACCAGAATGGCTGTGGTGTAAATTCATGGTCTATAAAAAATCATTTGAAGCTTTACGCAACCTGTTTCTTGTAATTTCGCAAAATCATTTTTCCATTACTCCATTGTCCTATTTCGCTTAAAACATCTGTTTGCGCTACATCAAGCGATAAATGAAATACGCAACAAAAAAAAAATCTAATTCGCTTAGAACATTTAAAGATTTGTTTGCCGAATCATGTGTGGCGAAAACAAAGATTTTTAAAATCAAGGCTGTCAATATAGAACTTAGGGTTACATTCTAATCTTTCAGATACGTTCTGCTTTTAACTAATCAATTGATATTCAAGAACCTGTTTAAGAAAACATTTAAAATGGCGTTGTTCCACATATTTCTGTAAACTCGTAGTAAATAAATATGCTTCACGGATTTTGATAACGCAAAATGTAATGTCTTCTTCTTATCGACCCTGATGTAATCATTTAACCCAAAATCATAGTCATGTGTACATTTGATTTGAAGTTCTGTGAGATTTTTTAAGCTTTCTTAAATTTAAAATTGATATTATGGACATTCACTACACTCATTGTCCAGATTTGGATAATCAGGCTATGTAGAAAAGTTGAATTATTTTTTATATTTCGAAGGTTATTGACCAGCAAATGGTTACAAATTGAAATAAGAGAAAGATGATACGAATACAACCCGGAATTGATCATCTAAGTGAGAGGAATTTTTGCGTGTTGAGGTAGTAGGTTGTATAGTAATTAAATATGAAAATATTTTACGAAAAAAGTGTTCGTATGGTTATGTTTCTTAAACTTACACTAGAAACTTATTATCTACGACATTTTTTATTCTCCGTAAAGTGATAATTTACTGTACAGTGTGCTACCTCTTTATGCGAAATTTCAAGTTCATCAGACATCAAGAAACATCAACTATGCGACATATTTGTGTAAGTTATCAGAAGTGATTGTTTAAAAACTTAGTGATAATTGAAATCTGAAATTTTAAAACTTTAAATTTTAAGACAATCATTTGAAATTGGAAAGAGAGATAGAGAAGGACATAAAACATCTTTTGACTTGTTTTAAAAGTGGGGAAATTAAATATCAACTGTAATAAATTATTAAATATACTGAAAGTTACATATCTATAGTTTTGTTTCTTCATCGCTACCAACACAAAACTATACGAAGAAGAGAAAAATAATACAAGCGAGAAATGAAGTGAATACTAACGAAATGGTGGTCCTTGAAGTTTCGCGAGCTGAATGAAATAGAAGCCGAAAAAGAAACTAATATCTTCGCAGAAATTTGCTAGTTCAGTCAGCTAGCGAGTTTTGTCTTCGGATAATTTCAATTTTTTTTTCTATTACACGACTTTTTGACTTTATCGCTCATATGCTGTTGCGATTAGATTTTTGTTTAGGACTTCGGTCATCTCGGAGTGTTAAAGACGCTCGTGCGAGACCCATTTCTGTGATGAATTAGCTTGTGATCATCATCGACGAGGTGGAACCATACAGAAACAAAACGAGATATAAACTTTTTTTGCGAATCGCAATTATATGGTGTGAGTGAAATTTTGTCGAGTTCATTGGACTTTCATGTGCCAAAAAAAAGAGAGAGAGCGAGAGAAGTGATCTGCGGGAAATTTGGCTACAAAGCTTTCGCATAGAAATAGTTTTTCATTTGTCGGTTGACGCTGTTGATCGGTGGAGTCTGAAATATACGAAGAAAAGTCAACTCTTGTGTGATTTATGACATGAAAGAATTAATATTGAAAATAGTGAATGAGAAAGGGGAGCAATTAGCATTTAAATGTGAATTGTGGTGATTAAAACATATGTCGGAAATGTTCAAGAGGTGTCAATTGTTATAGAAATCAGAATGAGTTTAGAACATAAAGTTAATCGCTTAAAAGTATTTCTGGTTGGAACCGCCATTTTATGAGACGTGAAAAAAAAAGTTCTCTGACTGTGAATACAAAAAAAGAAAAGAAAAATGAAGCATAATTGAAGTTAATGTAAAGTTCTGCTGGTTAAACCAAGTTTATTCATTATGATGTGAAATGAGAAAAGCCAAACTTTTACATTCACTTTTTCATATGATTTAGAAAAAGTTGAAGAAAATTCAGAAGAATTTTCGTGGAAATTTAAATTCTTGTGAAACTATTTTGTGATGCAGATTTTATGTGATTTCCCGACGGCAAAAGTTTAACTAACAATGACTAAAACTATTTTTTAATGCAAGCACCGAAAAAAACGAAACCAATTAAATTTCGTAAGAATTTCTCCTTGAAACAAGCTCGCAAAAAAATTGCTTCATCAAACCTAAAACGCTTCACACAGATCTACGCTTGTAATTTTTTTTTATTTTCGCATATATTGATTCAAGGCTGCGACATTACTCAAATGTGATATTTATTGTGTTCTCTAGGATGTTTAGTTTTTGCAAACGTTTAAAGTTTATTTATGAACAGTTCAAGATCGTTACATGAAGATTTTACAAAAAAATTTTACGATAAAAATATTAAACGCTAATAAATGTCGAATCAAGGAAGACATTTATCGTTTTTGTACATTTTTAGTGAAAACATAGGTATTTAATTTAATTAAGACAATAAATATTTGGAATTAATAACTTTCCGATGACATGTTAATTGAAAAGTTTTTCAATATTCATTTTGAAATCGTATAATTAAAATGTTAACCTGGTTCCAGTTTACAGCAAAATATTTAATCTTTGATGACTTTTAATGTAATCATTGAAAATGTTTAAATATAATCAATTATTTATGGCAATAATCATAAGTCAATTATAATGGAACTTGTTCGCACTGACCTTTAAATAATTCATCGCAATTGTCACAAGAGAAATTTTTATTTAGTGGTTAGTTCCGCATTGATCAGAGTTTTGTATAACAAATGAGAATTGTGCTTGTTTTGTTGATGATGATGATGATGATGATGATGTCTTATAACTTATAACTGACAAAGAAATAGCCGAAGTAAAATATTAACATCTTCGTAAGAGAAATGAAAGATTTGCAAAAAAAAAGAAGATAACAAACCGTGAGAAGTTCAATGAACTTTCGACTCGCACCGTTTGCCTTAGATATAACACCCAAGGACTGATTTTGCGAATCATCGGAGGCCACTCGCGGAAATCTACGCAAGTAACAGAAAAGAAAGAAAAATTAGATAACGACTACAGTAATAACCCAGAAATAGCAACGAAAGAGAAAAAATGTTACACACAATTCGCACGCATACTGAAAGCGTCATGGAAGAAGAAAACAAAGTTGCGGCACGCACTTTTAGTTTCATTTATGATCAAGAAGAAGTCGATGAACATCTGAGAGTATCTAACAATTGAATATACGCAGACAGTTCATTCAATGATCATTGAAATAATTAATTTATGATGTCAACTCATCGTAATGACAAGTAAGAACCTTGTTCGATATAAATAATTAATGCCTTTGTGTTAATATTTGTCTTATCAGATATGACTCTTTTTTTTCTGTTTCAACGACCTCAATTTTTTTCTTTTTTTTAAAAATGGAGCTGCTAAAGTAACTTAACTTCAACTACACATGTACGAGCTTCTGAGACATATTTTGGTTGAAACAAGATTTGATATTCAAACATGGCGGAATGAAATTCTATGTCGGTCAATGATCGAAAAATATCTTGATTATTGCGAAATTACGGCAAAACTTTTCAAGCGAATGTATTTTGAAAGGTCTTTGAATATATCCATTTGAAGTCTGATTTTGAGTATAAGTTATTGTAAATTTACGTTCAACAGTGTTTAAGTCTGTAGACTTTTCTTAACCTGCTTAATATAGTTTCAGAATAATTTGTCAGCTGAACAAATGAAATTTCAAGTATCGAGTTCTTTAATGATGAAGAAATACTCTAGCACAGCATTCATTTTGCAAGAAAAGAAAGCGATTCCAAAGAAGAAATAAACGTGCTCGCATTGAATTCGCAAGTTATTGACCCCAAAATAAAAAACACTGAAATGTGAATTTGTGTAAACAAATACAAACGAAAAGTCAATTTTTGCAAGCTCTTCTCTCTTCCTCGTTGATCGGCGCAATATTATTTTTAGGCGAACAAGACAACATAAAAAAATCTTGTTGCGAATTTCATGCAATACTCTCTTACCAAACATCTGTAGCCAGCCGATCATATAGCAGTGGTGTGAGGTTTTAAAAAATCTTTCCAAATGAAGTTTTTGCGCAGAGCGGCGCGCGGTTCAGTTTTTGCGTGAAACCGCTTAATAGTGAAAGTTGTTTTAAGCAAAGATTTTTTTTGCAGAAGAAAAAAGCGATTGAACAATTCACGACAATCCTGTTGGTATAAATATCACATAACTTTTTTTTTATAATTTCCTTGCAATTTTTCCGTAGATCAAAGACCGATTAATTAAATTGAGAGATTAAATAATTAAAATAGAGATTTAAATTTCTATGTGGAAATTTCCTTTCTCAATTTTCAGCGCAACCACGGCAACACTCGTCACATAAAAAAAAAGAAGGGCCGATTTTCGGCCATTTTGCGGCTAAGAGAGACAAAGAAGCAAGAACAAAGTGTGATCTTATTGGTGTAGTTCCCAACAATGATTTAAGAAATTGTCTTGCTCATTAAACAGTGATCAAATGATTGTTGGTAGCTGCTGTGCAATTAAATGTGGTGGTTGATTGAAAGAAATGTACTGAAAAGTGATTACGTGTGTCGTTTGACAAGGCTGATTCCCTGAGACCCTAACTTGTGACTTTAATTTCACAGTTTCACAAGTTTTGATCTCCGGTATTGGCTAACAAACTTCCAGCGATAGTTTATATAACTTCCAGTGAGTGTAGAAGAATTTAATTTCTGAAATATAACCTAAAACTTTTTTATGATCATCATTAAAGATGGAAAAGCACATAAAAGCAGCTTAAAATCGATTGAGTTTATAACAAACGACATGCAAGTGGTTGCTTTACAATGTGAAACGATTAAACTACTGTAAATTGCATAATTAATTGAACAGTATTCAACATAAAACTGTGGTCGCATCTGTCGTTTGTTAAGTTGCAAGTTAAAGGGTGGAAATTTCCATGATTTTTCTTTTATATCATGCAGATATTTGCACCATTATATGCTGCAGATACATGTTGCTTGTCAAGGAATGAGGGTTCAATGAAAAATAATTATTCTGTTTATATTTATATTGAATGGAGCAAGGATCATTATCTACCTTCCACAATTCAGTCAGCTTAATTATCACAAACATCCGAGTATTTTATTTATAGTTAATGTGTCTTCTTTGTGAAGATTAAAATATATTTAAAAATTTCTTTGTTCTTTTCCTTTTTAGGTATACTTTAGAATATTTGTAACGCAGCGATTCGATTGGATCAGTTTTAAGTTGATGTACGACACAAAATGGCGAAAGATGAACTTTGATGTAGACGTTCTTATGAGACTCCAACAAGAAAGAAGAATTAATGGAATAGCAACAAAGGACAGCATAAAATGTGTACACATTTAGGATGTTAAAAGTCGTCTCATAATGAAAACTTTTTCTCTCTTTCAACTTCCACTGCATGTTAAAACTTTTTTTTATCTAATTAATTCTAAGTAAATCTCAAATGTTAGAACATATGCTGTTGTTGATTTGCATCCCAGTTTTGTAAACATGCTGAGAGAGTACAAACTAGAAATGACTTTTCTATTCAAAGAAATAAGTTTTAAGCAACATATAAATGGGGGTTTATGTTGTTACGAAAAAACAAATAAAATTTATGCTGTTTCTGTTTTTTTTTTCAGGGTTCGTTAAACTCTTAAAACACCAACACAATTTTGCAATCTCCGCTTTAATTTTGCAACACTCTTCAGGTCTCGCGGCTTGCACTTTTCTTCCTTGCTTTCCTTTTTTGCTTTTCATCTTTTGTTTGTTTTCGCGCGCAAAAACGAAGTAAATTTAGGTGAATGCACTTTCATTTATATCTTTCTCCTGAAAAAAAAATTAAAATCATAAAGGTACTTACATATGAATTGCACAAAACAAGTTTTTTTCTTATTTTCACTTTTATTTCTTCAACTTCTTTGTTCCCTCATTCACTCTTAAGTTTGTTTTATAAATGCAGGTTTGCATTTTTGATGCTGCGTTTTATGCTTATTGAATAAAAAATCTAATAGATATGTTAAATGTCTTCAGCTATTAAAAAGCCTGAGTACGGTAATATTGAACAAAAACTTTCGCATTTTCTAATTTCCCCTAAGCAAGTTTATTTCATTTAAAACTCAGTTCAAACTTTAATAATGAAGCAGATGAATGAAACTAGATCTGAAATCCTTTTTTTCATTTTTTTGTAAAATAAAATATAAAAAACAAAATATGAAGTAAAATGCGTAAGTTTCTTGTATTAAAAGTTGTTCTGAATAGAAAGGAATAGAAAAGATTTCTAAGTAGCGGAGAAATGCTCAACAACCCTTTTATCCTCGCATGAGTTGCATCTGATGTATGCAAATATTTTATATCTAATTAAAGACTCATATGGTCATTCTTTAGTCAAGCACCAGACTGGTGCAAGGATTTAAATCAACGAATTTCGAGACTTTTATCAACAAACTTTATTTAAAACTTTTAGATTAAAAAAAATTCTTCCTTCATTGAAACTTAAGATGTAAATAACATAGAAAACTTTATTATTGAATCGAGTCTCTCATTTTGCTTGAAAGAATTTATGAAATTTTATGCTTTCATCAACTTCCTGAATGTGAATTAATGCAATGCTTGGATTCCTTTTTTGAAATTAAAACTACAGTCTCACGTTTAAATTTCCTCATTCGAAGCACTTGGCTTCATCAAATCATAATTATATATAAAAGATAGTATTTAAGCGCATCCTCTTTCATTCTGGAATTTGAATTACAAGATAAAACGCGTAGACTTCAACATAGAATATTTTCATCAACAAATGGAATTTAAATTTTCAAATTTTTACTTTTATTGAAATTGAGAATGTAAATGAAAAGTTCCAAGTCGTAAATTTATTCAGTCCATCGGTGAGAGCAGTTTTGATTGGTGCACACGTAGTAAAGTCTCATTTCTTCTTCCGCTCGTCGTGTTTGTGCTTGGAAGAAAACTGCTTCTCGATGTCCACACTTTGGACACGGATGGTCTTCTGTTCTTGGTAATGTAGGATCAGAAATCACATCAGGGACAATATGAGTTAATTCACTGAAAGAAAATGTTTTAAAAGGCATCTAAAATTAATTTGCATCCAGTCTTACTCGATTTCGTGCATAATTTTGTTAACATATATGCAGTAAGAGTCGGCTTCAGTTTTGTAGTCACAATTTCTACAAGCATAAAGAAGGATCTTGTTTTCTTTGTCCTCTTTTGGATACAGCATGTTATTACATTCCTAAAATGCGTTGAAAATTAGTAGATTGAAAGGAAAATGCATTAATTTTGATTTAAGCTTGGAATTTACCTGACAAAATCGAATTCCGACAAAAGCTAGTTCGTTTTCATATGTTTTCTCCATTATATTAATGCTTGCTTAGTAGTTATGAATCTGCAAATACTTTTTCAATCCTCTATATTCTTTAAGATTGCTTTATTTAACTAAATGAACAAACACTTTTATTTCACGTTTAGAATTTGTTTGTTCGAAATTTCGAAGATTATACGACATGTAAGGAAATGTTAGTGAGTGGTGAATTTCATGAATTTTCGAAATTGTGATAATTCACCACACTTCATGGTCATAAACAGCTGACAATCAAATAAAATTGATGACTTCTGAAAAATCTCCCGAATGGAAGAAAAAATCAATAAGAAACGCACCATTTTGTTTCAATTTCATTTTATTACTTAAACTTATTTTTGAAAACTATCCAATTTCTCAGTTGATTTTATTTTTTCCCATCATAATTAAAGTTATTCATTCAATTTTTTCTAATTTCATGCTTATTATTAATATCTAGTTAATCATGTAAAATATTACTTTTCTTTCATCATCATTTTCGCATAGGAAAATGAACGACAGAGTTATATGGAAAATTAAAAGTAAACGTATGCAAAGGCTTCTTTGTAAAATGGAAATAATGTTAGCAAATTGGCACATAACAAATTTGAAAATTTATTGAAAAAAATGATTTAATTTGAAGCATTGACCAATTGCAAGTACGATATGGCGTCTTTTTAAATTATTAATTTTATGTAAAAGTAGTCAGTAAAATTAGCAATTGAATTTCAAGCCAAACAAATGTATTTCCAAAAACCAGCAGCTTTTATGCAGCTCAACAATCACACTTAAAAGCAAGACGTTTCTTTTTTCCATAAAACAAAATCGATAAGCAAAAACTTTTTTATATTTTATTAAAAAATGAAAAGAGTTTGCATTGAAATAAAGCTTGCGATACCTTAAATCAAAAAAGTTGTTAAACGTGATGATTCATATTAATAACGTAAAGATAAATTGTACTAAAAATTCATAAGAAACTCAGTCATAAAACTTTTTAATTAATTTGCTTCTCAATTTCATCTAATTTTTTTTCCTTTACTAAGCTAAATGATAAATGGAAGTACCGAAAGAACTTTTCCTAAATATTATAGATACTTATATGGAAACGTAAGGTAGAAATGGATAAAAAGAGATCGATCACTTAATCTTATTTAGTGGTAGAAAATCATGGGCTAAAAGCAGCCATAGAACTCATCAGTTTGTGGGTGACACTCACTCCTTTGTCATTTCTCCACCCTCACATTTTCATAGCGACAGCTTAATCTACTCCTATTTAACTTAATACTGCGTTATTTGCTCTTAATTTTTTTTTCATTTCATATTTTATTTATTTACTCATCCATATTATTCGATTAAAAATTTTCCTGATCAGATTAAGACTTTGCTTAACATCACCAACTCAAGAAGAAAGAGAAAAAGTAAGAGTTCAACTAAAACTATGGTAAAGTTCTAAATCAGACACTGCTAGGTTTAGAATTTATCATATAAGAGAGTTTTTGTTTTGCTTAGACATCAGAGAGGTAGCTCTGTCATATTCATTTCAATGAATCATATATTTGATTAAACTTAAACTGCGCTGTGCTGTGTGATATTTTTTACTTTTGTAATGGTTTAAGAAAAATCTTTTCTTTGCTATTTTCTGTTACATAAATATCTTTATGTATGTCGTACTATCTGTCTCCTTATATTTATGTAAAGTTTATTATTACATAACTTACTGATATTTATTTTATGTGGATATCTTTTTATAGGCTTATTTCATTACTCAAAATTAATTTTAGTACTTAATAAAAATAATTTAATTTGTCTATTGTTCTTTGTAAAGTTTGTAGTTTAATATTTTTTGTTTTTGGTTTCTGGTTCGTAAAAGTTACTTGTGGGTTGGTTTGATGCGGATAAAGTGTTTCAAGTCACTTTGTAACTTTTCAATCTATTTCAATATAGTTGGCAATTATTTGGTTGTTTGTTTTCTTTAAAGATATCAAAATAAAGATTTAAATGAAAGTGTTTGTAAAAGGAAGGAAAAATTTTGTTTCATTTTCTTGTTATCATCAGCAATAAAATAAAATCCGAACAAAATTCAACAAAATCTTTATTATTTCATGGAGTGTGAATTTTTGATTATTTAAATATTTTATGCGCATTTCGTGTGGAATGGTTAATTATTTATAGGTTTCTGCATCTGTTCAATATGTATTCGTTATACTTAATAGTTTCTTTTATTTTTATTTCTCTTCTCTCTTCTTCTTAATATGAGATCTTGGTTTGAAAATTATTTTAATTCCTTTTTTTAGCATTCCTAATTTTAGTTTTTTGTGTGATTTGAAAGTTTATATTTCCTTATTGGAAGAAAGAAAAAGGGATAAAGTCTAAAGAATAAATCATTTTAAAACATAGAATCGATAAAGAAAAAGAAAACATTAGACCTGACCTACAATTCAAATCATAATTTGTAGATCTGGTTAGAAATATAATGTAAAAGTAAGTAAATCATTTCTTAAAGAATGAAGAATAATAAAAAAAAAGATTTAACGAAACAAGAGATTTAATCACTGAAAGAATTTTCATTTTTTTTCATTATGAAATTAACTATCTAATAAAATAAAGAAGATTGAAAATGATAATAAATTTAATCGTCTTCAACTTGAGGAACAAATTGTTGAAGTTTGAACACAAAAAGATTAAATCCTGGAATGAATTAAAATGATTAAATATCAAAGGAAATTTTTTGTTAATTAACAAAACTTACCACTACCATGAGTGGATTCTTAAATTTCAGTAGAATCTCTGACGTACTTGACGAACGAGCTTCTTCTTTCCCTTGTAAGCAATTGTGATGTTTTCAATAAGACGTGAAAAGTGAGCAGGACCATCACGTGCAAGTACAAAAGTGTCTCGCGCTTTGCTTAAGAAGTCAATAAAGTCTCCATAATGTCGTGGCGAAATGTGAGATAATCTTAAAAGATTAATAGAAAATTTTAATTTATTCCTTTCAATTCAGATACAGTGAAATCCCTCGACTTATCAAAGAACTTCACTGTAGATGTTTACACAAACAATGTTTGAATATTACCTTGAATGCGTCGTATTTACATAAGCTGAGATTGCAGCTTCAAGCAACTGGTTCAACGGCTCACGATCATAACTCAATTTATTACATGATCGCATGTTGTTGCCTTTTAAGAGAAAAAGAAATTTGAAATGTTGATAAATAAAAATAAATTTAAATATTTCTTACCACGATGATGTCCACTGAAATGTGACATTCCCGGATTTGGAACGCTGCATCGTCTTAAAATATCAGACAAGACTGTCGCACATTGAACATTTTTAACAACCAACGGTATCATCTTCGACAGTTCAGCCTTTCCAAGTGTATGTGACAAAGCACAAGCCCAATGAATGTCATTTATTGCTGGATGTGAATCTTGATTATAAGCCAAATGAACATTTTTCATCGCCAAAATTGCTAAATTATAAGCACGAACAGGAAAGCCACGATGTTCCATATATCTTGCAATTGTAAACAATTGACTACTTGTCATTATATGATTAGCTGCATCAATAACAATATGATAAGCAGTTTCAAACGCCATCGGATCACTTTCACATAATGTTAATGCATTTAAAGCGCAATTTGGTGGATCTTTCGTTGCACATTGCAATGCTAATGTTCTTGCACAATTCGATAATTCTTCTTGCTGTTTGATATTCAAATTTAATCTCATGATTGTTGAATGTGACATTATTGTCGTTGCAACAGGTCCAGTGGCTTCTGTAGGTGTAAATAATTCATACCAGTTTTGCATAATCGACAATGTTGCTTCTAATCCCAACTGTGTTGCACATGTTACCAACCACCGAACCATTTCACGTCGACGCCAATTAATACATGTTCGTGTCATTCTCATAACTTGCAAGCCCAATTCAAATGCAACTTCCAATAAAGTATGAGATCGTGGGCCGTTCTCAGGCGTTGCAAATCGAAAAGCGTCTTGCGCTAACTTGAATAAATGTGTCGAGCTATGAATGTTGTGTCGAGCGTTTTCAAGTACAGCTGACAAACGAACTTTATCGCCTTTACTTGCACTTAACATTGTCGAGCTTAACGAACATTGCTGACTTTCTAAATGTCCCAAAGTCCACCACCGTGCATATGGCGATGAAGGTGATGATGGACCATCAACAGATGTGTTGTTAAGATTCTCAAAAATAGGAAATCTCATAGCTCGCAAGCCAATTTTAAATGCCAAATCAGGATGTTGATTTAAAAGCGAAGCAAAAAGAAATCTCGCTAATGTATGCATTGGAACAGATTCGGGATGAATTGATTCCCCAAAACCACTTGTCGGACCACCGTCCATCATTTGTGAACTGAGATTCTTAATAACTTCAACGAGAAGTTGATCTAAATCAACATTTCTTAAACGAGCAATGAGTTGATCTTGTTGCTTGCAAATCAAATGTTGCGAGTATAAACCTTGCGGCATAATTCTCTGTTTGCCCAATGCTAAGATTGCTGCTTCAAATGCCAATGTTAGGAATGTTTCATTTGAGTCTTTTGATCCGGGAACTTGGATATGTTTATATTTCGGTGCAATGATATTTGAATCTTCCACAGCACCGCCATTCAATCGAACAACGTCTGTTGTTGTAATGCATGATTCAGTCAAACAATCAAAAATACATGCAACAGCATCGAGTGGAAAATCAATTTCGCATCCAACAGAACAGTCAAGACATTTCGATACACAACTTGGATTCTTCTTATTTGATAATTTTGTATCGTTTGTAGTCACTTGTGGTGGTGTTGTCATCACTGCTGATGAACTTGAGCTTGCACCTTTTGATGTCGACGCTCCATAATTAACGATGTTATATTTTGAACTGTCAGCAGTACTCTTCTCAATTGGAATTGGTGGAATTGATAACTTTGCTATCGATTTCTGTTCACTCGTCTTACAATTCTTGCACAAAGTGACATTTGATTGAATTTGAATGGGTGGTGGCGGTGGTGGAGGTTGTTGAGCCATTGGTGGATGTTGAGGAATGTTTGGCATAATTTGAGGAGGATTTTGTGTCTTCAACAAGCAATTACTTCTCATACATCCATTGCAGAAAGACGATGACGATGCTGATGATGGACCTGGCAATGGATATTTACTCATGTAATCATATTTCGGTGCACCACTGCAATGTGGCCGCTGATAATAATGCTGATGCTTCTCAGGTGGTGGCACAATTGCACAACACATTGTCTTTATACATGGACGCTTCTGGTGCATTGCACATGTACTCATTGGACCAGCAGAACACGGCGGTGGAAGATTTTTACAATCGTAAAATTTATGAGATCCATGATTGGCTGATGACGATGATGATGATCCTGATGACGATGATGAGGAAGGTCCAGGTGGATATAAATTATTTTGAGATCCACTCGGTCCAGGTTGCATATTTAAACGATGCTGATGTTGATGTGGTGGCATTGGAAGTGGAAGTGAATGGTGATGATGATGATGGTTTGGTGGTTGAGGAATGTTGTGATGACGACTTCCATTTGTGTTGTGACCATAATGACACAATGGTTGTTGACAACCTCCCGGGCCGTTATTCTTCATGTAATATCCTTGACTTGGTTGTTGGCTATGATGTAAATGCTGTTGTGGTGGCGTGTAATGATGACACATGCATTGAGTCATTACTTTTCTTGGTGGGGGTGGTGGCATCTCATGATTGTAATTTTTTATCGATGACGATGATGATGATCCAGACGATGAACTTGACGATTGTTTCGGTGGGTAATGAGAGAAATTTTGATGGCATGTCTTTGATGGTGTTGAGTTTAATTGATTTACTTTCTCATTAACTTCATCTTGTCCATTGCTGTTGCTTTCATCAGAACATTTATGGCAATCTTTATGTTGTTGATATTGTTGCATTGAATTTTCATTATTATTATTGTTACTATTATTATTATTTGGCATCAAACATTTATTATTACTTGAAGTCGATGATAACGACGAAGTGTATGTTGACGATTTATGAATCGTGAACTCAAAAAGTTTATTTAATTGACAGTCTTTGCATTTCGTGTTATTGCAGTCGGATGATGATGATGATGATGATGACGATGATGATGATGATGATGATCCATTTTGCAATTTCAATGAATTTATTGAAGTAGTTGGAAATTGTTTTCGACATTTATGCCACAAATGTTGAGCATCTTGTTGAACCTGTTTCATTGTTCTGACAACGCTGACACTAAGTCGAAGTGCAGCATCAATATGACCATGAGATCTTAAACTATCAATGCGAGCAGCGCACATTGCCATTGGCTCATACCAAAGCGGTTGTCCCAGAGCATTGAAGTTTGATTTTGACGATGTACTGTTGGCAGTCGTCATTTTACTCGAACCTGCTATTTGAACAGCATTTTCACTCGCCAGCGAGTAAGTGTCGCTTGCTAAAATCAATTTTAAATGATTATTGTCCCATGTCATATTGACAGCGTCGAGAGCTTTATGGAAAATTGTACGAGGAACTTTTGTTGTTGTCTTTGCAACAGACGATCCATTGTTAAGTTTCAACTTCTTGTTAGGTTTGTTATCGACATCAGCCGCAGCCGCTGTTCGATGGTTTTTCTTCTTTTTATGTTCTTCCTCGTGTGCATCGTCTTGTGCTTGATTATTTGGCAATTCGTCATTGGCAACTTCATTATTCTCATCTTCTTTAATCTGTTGATTATCGGGAATGTTTTGAAGCTCATCGAGCTCTTTCGAATGTTCAAGTTCTTCATGTTCATGTTCATCAATATAGTTTAAGTTGTTCATCTTCAAAATCTCCTTTTGGTCGGGAAGAAATTCATCATCAAAGTCTTCTAAGCGTTTCTCACATTCATCTTTACCATTATTAAGATTGTTAATGCTTTCAAGAATCTCATGCTCTTCTCGAATCTGGTCTTCATCCATCGATTCACGACTACTATCGTCGTTATCTCTCAAAGCTGGAAGTGCAAATTTAAACAACTCGGCATCTTCGCCTGCTTCTTGAACATCACGTTGATCAGCTGATAAATCATTCATCACTGCGTTATCTTCTTCTTCAATGAAGTTATTAATTCGTTCGATTAAACGATCATTGTCTTCATCTTTCGGCACCTCAAATAAATTCTCAACTGGCACATCCATCAATGCACGTCCTGGAATTATGTCGCGATTTTCAACATCCATAGGATTTCTTACTTCATTATTCTCTTCCATTTCTTCATCTGATTCACTCTCTGAATCTGAATCTGATGACGATGATGATGACGACGACTCGTCATAATTGTGATTGTTAGCATTGAGAAAGCCGCGATTTTCATTTGCAATGTTTGGTGGATTATCATAGAAACGTTGATTGTAATTGTTGTTATTATTGTTGTTAATATTATTAACATTTATATTGTTGTTATTATTATTGTTATTGTTAAGCGCTTGTTGCTGTTGCTGTTGATATTGATGATAAAGTGCATTTCTTTGATTATTTTCACGAAAAAATCGATTCCTTTCATATTCACGTTCACGTTGAGATCGAAGTCGGTGACTCTCCCTACCAGGGGGTCGAAAATCGGGATCTTCCTGAGGACAAACTTCAATTTTCGACCATGATTCGAGCAACTCTTTCCAATGATTTCGTTCGATTTGTGATGAACGTGGATTGAGAACAATGCAAACCCAAAGTGATCCGAGTTGATCCCAAAGTTGACGACATTTTTCAGACATTGCTTGTCCATGTGACTTCCAAACTAACAAACGAGGATCGTGAAGGAATTGCTCGGTGATTAAAGTCAACATTCTGGCACCATTCGAGTCTTGTGCTCGTAACATCTCACGAACTTTTCCAAACAAGCAATTCAAATGTTTGTTGTTGTTATAATAAGTTCCTTGACCCAAATAACTTCGCACCACTTCGCACACCTGCGCTTCGTCCAAATGCCACGAGTTCTCATCATCCTTTGACGCACCAGCTGTTGGATCTGGCGCCCCCGATATTATGTTGATTTCAGTTTTTTGTCGTAATATCTCATCAGCAAGTTTTTGTGCTGTGGGTAGAACTTCAGTGTAATGCTCGGCAATAAGATATTGCACAAACTTCTGCAATTGCTGACGATTCATTTGCAACAAGGTTTCTGAAAAAAAAAAGAACAAAGGTAGGAAAATGAGAAGACGATGACGTGACAATGTAGGAAATTATTCAATTATTTCTTCTTTTTTTTCACTTAATTATTTATTTTTTTTTACTTACCCGAAATGGGAACACGCAATTTGACACTTGATGCATTGCGAATTCGATGAAGCGCCAATGCAACGACATGTGGACACCAGAAAATATCTTTTGTATCACAACTACATTTTACTGATGTTATCTTGCATCTGTTTTTGAATGTAAAAGAATAGAACGAAGGGAAAGAAGAGAATGAATGTCAGTTGTGAATATTAATGAGATGAGTTGAAAATGACATTTAAGCTAAAGTTTATTGGAAAAGCGATGTAAAATTAAACTGAAGAACATTTCTTACCTGTCAAAACTAACGGAGACTTTAAATTTTTTATTCTCATCGCCACTATAGGGAACAACGCTCGGATCATTATTGATATTTCTCTCATACACGCCAACGTTGTTAATGTTGTTATTTGCGTTGTTATTGTTGTTGGCGGCGTTGTTCTGATGAATAATGTTGAGATTATTTTGTGATGGATACGGTGGAAGGAGAGGCAGCGAGCTATGTTGATTACTTTGTGACGATGATCTTGATTTATTTGCATCTGACACTATTGGTGGATTCGTCCAGACTTCACCGCTCAAATGAAATCCTTTTTGATGTGAACAAAGAAGAGAATTGCGATAAGAATTTGTCATAAAAAGTTTAGGGGATTGTGGTTTCATTGAAATATGGAATTATTTATGTTTCAAGCTTCATTTTTCTACCTTTCAACGATGGTCAAGTTAACTTTAACATTTCTTTGTTCTTTTCTTCATTTGTGTCGATATTTTGATCTCATTACAACAAATAATTTATTCAAGCATTAATGTTTAAATCAAACACAGAAGCTTACATGTCAACATAAATAATTCCAAGCATAAACAACAACCCTGACAAAAGGATAAGCAAAATTAAGGCACAAAAGTTTTTGTATTTCAAGTCATAATTGAGCCGAGAAAGAGCCCCGATTTTGAAAAAAAAACTCAATTATAAATTCACAGAAGAGAAAGATTTTTTTTTTACTAACGATTGCTTCAACCCCCTCCGGAGGTTTCTTTTGCAACATCATCATGTTCTGGGATAAAAAAGTAGAATTCTTCTTCTTTTTTGATATTTTATTTTACCCCCTAGTCCCATTAATCAATTATACACATTCACTAGGCTCACTCTTTCTCTTTCTCCGAGACTTGAATATTATGTAAATGAGGGAATGTGTGTGCTATGTGAGTTTGGTTTTCCTTTCTATTCTTTATTTCTTTCCCATTTCACGTACCAACTTGAAGAACATTCTCCACACAATTGGTCTCCAGTAATTTTAATCCTTTGCTGAAGCTCAGACTTTGCGAATCAGATGCATTGTAAGCTGATGCCCTGTATTGAATAAATAATTACAATGAAATTATCATAATGAAGATTGGGGTTTCATTCGACTTCAAATCATCATCAACATTTTTCTCTTCTTCCTTGTCACTTTTCTCTCTTCTTCTGCTTTTTTATTCGGTCTCGCATCGTTCTTCTCGATATTTTTCGGTGAAATAATCATAAAAAAAGGTTGTTGTGTAGCTTCATCACATATGTTTGGTTTATTAGTGCGAAGAAGAACCACTCGAGACGAGAGAAGAGAATGAAAGGAAAGGAACCAAATGAAAAACAGACAACGATATTAAAACTATTAAACACCTGTCATTATATTAGTGCATGGAATGGATTTCAAAAAATAAAATAAAAAACAACAAAGTTTATTCTTTTCGTGTTCTCTTCTTTTTTTCAGTGTTTTCGTAAAATGGAAGATGATTTCTTTTTCTTTTTTATATATCTAGATATATATCTACACTCAAGAGGATAATTATGGATTAATGATTATTGAAAAAATGTTCCCTTACCTCGATAGCGAGCTATACATTTGAATGTCCCGTTCATCTCTTGGAAATGAGTAGAATATGATCTTCTGCTGTACAGGTTCGGGAATGCGATCATATTTTTCCTCAACCTTCTGGAAAGGTTCATTCTCAGCGACAATTCTCGCTGCGATATCGAGCAAGGAGTCAGGCGTTTTTCCCTTTGAATCATTATGAATGTCTGCGGTTAGTCCATAGCTGAAGTTCCGACTTGTGAAATCATCGTTCATTGTTAACGTCCAAATGAATAATGAATCCCTCGTTCAGCAGAATTATGATTCAGAAGTTTTTATTTCCTTCTTTTCTTTCGACACCGCGAGAGCGAAAAAAATTATTTTATTTTTTTTTTCGTTAATCACACAAGAAATTAAATTCCACACAATCGGAGAAGAACTTTCATCGAAGCTATTTACGATTAAATGTTGCTTTGTAAAATATTCATATATTTTAAAACCATTTTTATTATTTTGAAATTCAAGTTGCTCGACTCATAATAAAATCATAAAAATGAGGCAAAGCGTAGAGAGAGGCCCATTAATTTTATACGGAGCTCACACACAAAGACAACACCAAACTTATGTTTAATTTATTTTGCACTTTTGCACGCCCGCAACTCGTTTCTAAATTATCCTAATCGACAAATTATGAGTTCATTGATTTTTTCAATAGATAAAATTTCACTCCTTCCATTGCACTTTGTTGGGATTAATTATTTAAATTAGGCAAATTTTCGTCCATTTTCGAAAAATGGAATTTATGGATTTTTTTGTAAATTTAACACAATTCTTCCACTTTACTTCATGAATTTCATGATTTGTACTTGCTTATGCACCCAACTGTCATATTTTCAAGTCTTAATAGTTAGTTTAACTTAGTTTTTTGAGAAATTTTCACGGAATATTAAGTGTTTCAAGTAATTTATCACTCTTTATTTATTTTTTATTGATGTTGTGCTCTTCCCCTATGTTGGAATGAAACCACACTTGAGTTCTATGTAGGAGACACAAAGCATTGCCATGAAGTGAAGTGTTCGAACATACATTCCTCTCTCTTTACATTCACAAAAAACTTCATCTCGCTTCAGTTCATTAATATTTTCACCATTTAGAATTCTTAAACATTTATTAAAATAATTATTTTAAAATTATATCATTAATATGAAAGATTACAGTGTTAATATATAAAATAATAATTAAATTAGATTGATCATCATGATTTGTTAAGAAAATGATAAAAATAAATTTTTTGAAAAAAACGGCATGTTGTGGTGAATTTGAAATTTTTTCTTAGAAAATCAACATTGTGGTGAGAATATTCTAGAAAACAAAATCCGAGTCGTTTTACAAGTTGTTAAAAGTTTTTATTTTTAAATTAAATAATCAATTAATTACAATGAGTGAACAAAATGGAAATTCTGATTCACAACAACCAAGAAATCCACGTAATTTGCAAGGACTTCTCAAGTTTGCGATGGAAGGTAAGATAAATTTCACAATAATTTTTAATTTTATTAATTATAAATGTTTTCTTATTGTAGCAACAAAAGATGAAGATCCAACAAAACCATCACACTTTGAACAAATGAGTCCAGAAGATAAAAAATTCCTTGAACAAGCTCTAAAAGCTGTTACTCTTGATGTTGTTGAGGAACTAAACAAAGCAATGGAAATCTTAATTAAAGGAAATGCTTCAGAAGAAGATCAAGTTCAAGCACTTGAAGTTGTTACCAACTTTGTCGCTGACATCGATACTGCAAATGGTAAGATAGAATGAATTATTTTAATGAATACAAACAGTTAATGACAATGATGACTCATCGTTAAAGATTTCTACAAAATTGGCGGATTTTGCATCATACTTCCTTGCCTCAACTCAGAATATCCAGAAGTCAGGAGTGAAACAGCTTTACTAATCGGAGAATTAGCACAAAACAATGAGTTTTGTCAACGACGCTTACTTGAACTTGACGTTCTTCCCAAACTCATTGAACTCATGAATGACGAAACTGAAGTGTCGGGTCACGCTTTTCATGCAATCTCATGTATTGTTAGAAGTTTTGAACCTGGAATGAATTCCTTCATACAAATGGGTGGACTTGAATGCCTTCTGAATCTCATACAAGACCGAAGTCGAGAAAAATTAATCATCAAATCGATGTTTCTTATGAGCTCATTCGCTCAAGATTCCCCTCAAGTCCGACATGATTTAATCAAACTTAATGCTATTGAGAAAATTGTTGAAACTTTAGAACCGAAAAATGAGTACAGTACAAGATTAGAGCAAACACTTTCAGCTCTCATTAGCTTAGTTGAAGGAGAAGAAGCAATTCGGAGATGTCAAGATGAGAATTTAAAACTCAAAGAAAAGTTAAACCAGATCGTGTCGCTTGGAAATGGAAAAGAAGAATGTGACGTAAGTAAAAATAATTCTTCATTAACACAAATATGTCGTTCAGAATTCTTCTAATTATACAAGATTTTCTAAGTCCAATGACTTTTACAGAAATGAGATAATTCTTTAGTCACACAATAAGGAAACCATAAATTTTCCATGTTTAGTCTGCTCCATCATGTCCAATTTGTAAATGTTGTAAAAAAAGTCACATGAAACATTCCTCGCTATTTTAAAATTGCAAAATTTCCTTCAACATTAAATTTAGAAATGTTTAATGTTCTTTGTTTTTTCTTCTTTTCAGGAACAAATCGAATTCAGTCAGACGCTTCTTGATAGAATCTTCAAATAAACTGCAGCAGCTGTTTGAATAATTCTTATTTTAATTACCTACATCAAAACTTGTTCATAATTCAATCAATAAACTCAGTTGGCTTTTCTTACAAATTATAAAACTTTTTTCTTCTTTAATTTTATCTTTGCTTTGTTTTCCTTCTAAAATGGATGAAAATTATTCACGGATCAGTTTAGTGAAACCTTGGAAGATTCAAATGATAAATTTTATTGAAGCGAAGAGATTAAGTGTTCAAAATGATTTCAAACATTGTCAACGTCGATACAATTTGTAAGTTGAAGTAACTTTTAATTGAGACTTTAATAACAAAATATCGTTTTTGCAGTCACAGACTAATCAAATTAATTAAAGTTTTAAGCATGATCATCGTCGTTGCATTCATTTTATTTTTCTTGTTCTTCGGACGATTCTGCTTCAACATGTCAGAATGCGTTTATGATTTTGAGACAAATTATTTCCTAAAACTTTTGTATTTGATTTGTGGAATTTTCTCATCTGTTGAGAAGAACTTCTTGCCATTGTGAATCAAAGAAATTAAGAGAGATGAAGAAACATTGAATCTCCTGTGTCAGTTGCTTTATTTTCAGATAAAAATATGAAATATTTACAGTTCATTCACTGCTTCGATTGTCAGTATTAATTATACTTTAAAAATAAAAGAAAATATCAAATATATTTAGAACGATGTATTTCAATCGTTTTCCTCTTCATCGACATTGACTACATGTGAGTGATCAAAGGTCTAAGAAAGTGCAAGCGTATTACTCTCAAAAGCTGAATGAAAGCCAAGGATTTTTCTCGTCCATCGTTTTTCCTCATTCACCAATCAGAAATATTGTTTTATTTTCATTCGAATGCGACTGTTAATTAATTTACAATGTACAAGATTATTTTTTACCTGAAAGATCAAAGGATAATGAAGATTCTCTTTCAGAATGTTTATCTTTAATATCACTGACTGAGAACTACACCGCAGTAAAATTCAAAAGAGACTTAAAGGTCAATCGATCATATTTTATTTATAAATTTAGATATGAAATCGAAGAAAAAACAAACATTTTCCTAGCTTAATTATCTTTCTCATTATGAACTCGTTTAGTAAAATATAATAAAAGAATTATAAGACAATGAGAGTTCTCGAACATTTATAAATGGAACATGTGATGAACATTGAACGATGGATGAGGTAGACTCATTGTCTGTATACTTAATGGAATACAAATATACAAATAGGTAAAGGAAAGTGTCAAGGATTGATGTTAAATTTAAATAAATTAAATAATACAATTTTGCCAACTAAGCCATCTAAGAAATTGTTTGAACTTTTCTACTTTTTTTATCACGAGACAATAGAAAAGATTTCTTGAACTTAGAATAAATAGATCAACACAAAGAAATACAAATTTCGACATCATACTGACGAGAGAAGAAACAGAAGTTTCATTTCTTTTTTGCGAATTAATTTCGCTTCTATTTTCCTTTCTTTTCTTTCAAGTGATCATGAAAATCTTCATCGTTCCATCTCACTTCGATTCAAAAGAAAAATATAAATTTTGTTCTGATTTTTTTGTGTGAAAAACAAAAACAGATTTCTCCAAAGCAAGACGCACTCGACAGAGAGAACTCATTCTTCAAGTGAAAGTCGATCAGTGAAGAGACAAGTGAACAAAGAAAAATCATTTTCTAAAGTGTTGGAAAAGAAGAAAACGAAATTAGATAAAACTAAATTAAAGGACTTTTAATCCTTACGAACTTTCAAATATTCATAAAAAAGTGAAAGTGACAAAATTAAAATTTATTGAATTTATAGATTTGTTTTTCTTAAAAGTTCCAAGAAGTTTCAGATTTTCTATACGCATTAAAAGTTAGTAAAGTTTACTGTTTAAAAACATTTGCATGCAAAGTTAACAAAATCATAAACATATTCACATCATGCTTTATAAACTGTTTACATACTCAACGGATATTGATTTGAAACGCAATTAAATTATTTTTAATTCCTTTGTTTTTTTTACTTCACTCAACCTTCATTAATTTACCTACGTTATTAATATAAAGTTTATTCAACCAGGATTTTCGTCTTTCATTATATTCTAACATTTTCATTTGACTTTCCATTTTTTTGGTTTGTTTTACGTTTCCATCCGTCATCGAATATTTTCTGGGAAAGTCTGATGCTGTCGAACGGAACAAGGAAAATTTCTTTTGTGTTCAACGTTAATTTAGTCTTATTTTTGGCAAAAGTAAGGCAATTTCTTTTTGGATATTCTGAGAAAGTTATTTTCTCAGCCATATGAAGCACGACTTCTAAAAATAAACAAAAATCAGATGGTTAACGAGATTGCGGAAAATAACTTTTCCTTCCTTTTTTACTTTTTTTTTAGTTCAATTATAATGCGGCAATTTATTTCCTGAAACAGCTTTTCGGTGATTTATTTATTGAAAAGAAATTTTCGTAATGACCCGTGCTGCGTTTGTTTTTCATTAGAAACAATTTATTGATTGCGACTTTCAATGAATCGCTTCTGAGAATTAGATTGAAGCATGTTTTGAGAAAGAAAATTTTTTGGTAAACATGATTTGCGTCTCAGAATGGAAAAGTTTTTATTTTAATCACCTGTTTTCGTTTTGTGTTTGTTTTCTTTATTCAGCTATAAATTTGATCTAACTAATTAAGTCGAAGGAGGAAGAAAAATCGTTTTAGATTCTTGAACTTAATCGAAGTAACCACGAATGTTGTTTCAGCAAGTTTTTCAATAAATAAAACAAAAAAGTCGGCCCCAACAATAAATATCGTGCAAAAGCCCGATATTTAAAACTCCGGCAGTTATAGAATTTCTAGACGAACAG